ATTAAAACTGAAGCTTTCCTGCCTATTTTCGCAATCGTTCCCTTCCCAAGGTCCCCCTTCTTATCAGTTGTCCCTACTCTTCACATATTATCTTACAACTTTTAGAGTGAATCAAAATATTCTTTGGTGTCAAAGAAAAAGACAAAATTTTGTTTGGAAATAAGAGAAAAGTCAAGGAAAAAAAAGACGAAAACAATTTTAAAGAAGTTACAGTAACAATATTTTTAATATTTTTAAAATAAATAATAATGATTTTATCACTGGGTCATCTTCAATTTTTATAAAACATGAAGATGTCGATTGCTCCGAGTCGAAGACTCGGAGTGATCGATATCTTCTTTGAATGTTTTGAAAAATTTTAATTCCTACGGAAAAAGAATAATTTAATATTTATTTTAAAAAGAAGTTATTGATGTTTTCGAATAATTTTCCTAGTAAAGAAATTCGTAAATAAATGAAACAGAACATTTTTTTGAATATTTAATAATTTTGAGAGTAAATCGGAATATTCTTTAGAGTCAGGAAAGAAGTGAAAATTTTGTCTGTAAATCCAGGGAAAAAGAAAATTAAATTTTTGCGGCATTTGTGAAAAATTTATTAAGCGCATAAATAATTTTACTTTTTACATTAAACCAAAGAGAAAATTTAATAATACATTGTGTATACGTATCTGCATTGTTATTTCAGCATTTTATATAAAATTGAATAATACTTATTTGTCAAACAAATAGATAAAATTTTACTTCACAATTTTGTATTGGAAATCTGGCCGAAGTGGTTGGTACAAAGTGGAACTACACAAAAGAGCCACAAAAGTGGTATTGAAAATGAAAACTCTGATAACAGATATAAAAAAAAACTATCAATATAAATGTACATTGAATTATATAGAAAATTAAATATTTCACAGCTATATCAACTTGTTTTTTTTTAAATTTTTTGTATCAACATTTATATAGTATTCAGAAAGAAAAAAGAAATGTCTATTATTTTAACGGATTCAATCTCCGAGTGGAATCACAACTCAATAGTAATTGGATCTTTTTAATCGAAGAAGAAAAACGTTAGAGTATACTTCTTTTGCCATGCAGGTTTTCCAGAAAATAATAGAAGCTTCTTCTACTTTGAAACAAAATACTTTTGTTTGAGAACTTACTTGACAGACTGTTGTCGGAAAAGTTTCCCTTTAATAATATATAAGATTCAATATAATGATTTGTAGAACATTCAGATGGAATATAGGTTTTGTAACCTGATTGTAAACAGGTCAAAAATAATATAATGAAATATAAAATCCACGCGGGCTTGAAAATCGAATAAAAAATATTAAAAATTACGTTTTTCGGCATAAAAGGCAGAGAAGAAAAATAGCCACGTTAATATTCAGAAAGAACAAAAGATTTCATTCGCTCGATTGTTGCCACGTACCTGACCCCTCTCGACAGTCACCTAAAAACCCACCAACGGATTAGATAGTCGAGGTTGTCCGAACCCTCTTACTATGATTTATGGGCATATATGACTCGAACCACTAAAGGAAAAATGATATTTGAGTTTCTTTTGCAAGAAAAATGTGAGAAACGCTATTCATACTTTGTCTTAGGAATTTTCAAATGTCAAAATTTAAACTTGCGATGCTACTGAAAATGTCTATCAGGATCAAGTAAACAAAAAAGAGAAAATGATTTATTCTGTTGTACCAACAGAATATTTATCAAACGATGCTTGTGAAAAATATTAAATTCATATATTTATATTCTCGGCAAATATATTTATCTAGTGAAATGTGGGATATGTGTATTTTATATAAAAAGTGAAATCGATTGAAAATGAAAAACGTAAAAACATTCGTGTAAACCATAAAAACAAAAATTGAGTGAATGACAATACCACAATAGGGAGTTCCGAATATTAATTGCAACGATTAATCATGCTCTATTGATCGTTAAGACTCAGGTTATTCCAAAACACACGAGCAAGTTACAATTTGTCATAGTTTTCGTGTGTGAACACGAGAGATATTCTGCGATTCTATATATAATTTCGAGACTCAGATTCTATAGTTTCGCAATAAATAGTACGGGTACTCCAAATATATCAAATTCTTAGATGACAGTTGGTAATTTAATTAACTGAAATTCAAACATGTAAGAATACTTCGTAAATCCCGTAAACGTCTGTTTCTTTTAAAAAAAAGGTCCGTAAAGTCCGTAATTTCATTGAAAAAGGATAAAAAGTTTGTGAATTGTACGATATAATTTGGAGAAATTTAGAGAAATTACGAATGATTGCGGAAATTCAATTATTTTCAAAAATATTAAAATTCTTCACAGAAATTCAATTATGTTCAAAAATTTTTAAAAATTCTCGTCAAAATTTCAATTATCTTAGGAATAATTAAATACTACTTCCGAAATTCAATTATTTTTCAAAAATTTTAATAAAATTCTTGTCAAAATTTCAATTATTTCCAAAAATTTTCCTCAATTCAATGATTTTTAATATCTAAGTACTTTAATAAAAATTACTAAAAGAATTCAATTATTTAAAAAAAAATTTAATAAATTTCTACTCAAACCTTTAATTATTTTCATAAAATAATAAAAATTACCCAGAAATTCAATTATTTACAATTTTTTTAAAAAATTTCTTCGCAATCATTCAATTATTTTCATAAATAATAAAATTTTTACGGGGATTCAATTATTTTCGTTAATAATAAAATTCGTTTTAGGAATTCAATTATTTTCATAAATTATACAATTTTAATCGAATTCCTCGAAAAATCTAATGATTCTTAAGAATTTTATTAAAATTCGTCAAAAGAATTGAATTAATTAAAAACTTATTGATAAAATTCGTCAAAAGAATTGGATTATTTAAAAATTTATTGATAAAATTCGTTAGAAGAATTCCATTTTAAGAAACATGCAATTATTCAATAAATTGTTTTTTTTTATTTAAATAATTGAATTCTAGTAGAATTTTCTCATAAAAATTAATTTAAAAATGTATTTCAGTTAAAATTTTAGACAATAATTAAATTTTAAAAGCATAAGAGTGTAAATATTTAGAAATAATTAAAGTTTGAAAAAGTTTTAAATTAAAATATTTGAAAATCAGAATTTTTTATATTTTTTAACTAACAATTCTATGGAATTAATTTTTTTCAGAAACTTTAATATTGCGGATTTTTTTTGAAATTATTTAAAGTTTTTATTTTCTAATAAATTTAATGGAAAAAATTGACGAATAATTAAAATTTTGTAAAATTGAATTATAAACTAATAAATTTAAAAATTCTCAAAGAACTTTTTCAAAAATTATTAAAAATAATGCATATGTAGAAGAATTTTAGTTAAAAACACCGAAAAAAATTAAAAATTTTGGAAAAGTTAGAAATTATTGCAGAAATTTAATTATTTTCAAGAGTAATAATATTCTTCGCAAAAATTAAATATTGTTCAAAAATAATAAAATTCTTCTTAGGGATTCAATTATTTTCACAAATAATAAAACTCATTGCACAATTTTAATTATTTTTAATACAATTTTAACCAAATTTCTCGAAAAAATGTAATTATTCTTAAAAAGTTTATTAAAATTCATCGAAAGAATTCAGTTATTTGAAAATCTGTTGATAAAATTCTTTATGGGAATTAAATTTTTAAAAACATTGAATTATTCAATAAATTATTAATTTTTTGTTGAAATAATTGAATTCCAGTAGAATTTTCTAATAAAAGTTGATTTAAAAATGAATTTCAGTTAAAATTTTAGATAGTAATTGAATATTAAAAGCAATATACCGTGCATTTTTAAAAATAATTGAATTTTGAAATTAATTTTTTTGAAAAAGTTTTCGTAAAATTGAATACTGTAAACAAATGGACTTGAAAATTGTCAAAGAACTTTTTCAAAAATTATTAAAAGTAATCGATTTAAAGAAGAATTTTAGTTAAAAATTCTTGTAAATAATAATTAAATTGTAAATGATTTTATCACTCGGTCATTTTTAATAATTATATTAAAACATGAAGAAATCGAACACTCTGAGTACATTTTTTTTAACAAAAAATAAAAAAATATACATGCAAATGGAATTATACTTTTGTTTTGAGAATATAAATCGAGAGGATATTAGAAGAGAATCCTTTTTTCTGAGCGAAACATTGGTTGAATTTAATGCACAGAAAAAATGAGACCGTATTTTTTTCCATGCAGTAGACATTTAATAAAAGATATTTCTCTCTCTCTTTTACGTAATTTTTACTCAAGCTCTTAAATGTTTTCTAAACAAACATTAAATGTTACTGAAATATGTCGTCGTATAAGTACACTAATTTTTAATTATGGTAACAAATATAATAATCTAATTGTACCAGCTTAGCGAATATTCTGTCTGACTAAACCAGATTTATACTACTGCGTTCTCATATTTAAATTTCATACTTCGCGTACATTTTTTACTTAAACTTATAATTAAAATCTTTTTTCATTTTCAAATTCACGTATGAACAAATAATTTAAACAAATAAATTAAAAACTATTTATTTTGTCGCAATTATTATTATTATTATTATTATTATGACAGAAAAGAATTTCTTCAACTTCTTAAAAAAGTATAGTTGGTTCTCTATTGTGCTTTCATGAATTTTCACTTGACAGCAAACAACAATTGTTTTATATGAAAAGCACGAAGAGAACAATCGAAGGTAAAAAAATCTGACCCGCACACGAACAATTGAGTCGTTTATATTCCAGTTCGTTCTTCATCGTTCCATTACATTTATTTTTTATATAATTCAATTTTTTTAAGGGTTATAAAAATTTTGCTATGATAATAATTCGAGAACGCATAAAAAAAATGGAAATTTTAAATTTAAAAAAGAGAATTTTTAGTTAATTTTAGTAATTTGAATTGATTTATTATGTTGATGATAATTGAAATTGAATTATTATATAGTAAGTTCATAATGTATTTTGTTTTGAAATTGCAGGTGGCACTCAGGATAAATTGCCGGCTTTACTAATTATTCATGGAGAATCATATTCTTGGGGTACAGGAAATCCTTTGGATGGAACTGCTCTCGCTGCTTATGGCCGCCTAATTGTAGTTACTATCAACTTCCGTCTTGGAGTCTTAGGTAAATAAGTTTTTAACAATTCAAATCAGAATGTTTTTTTCTCATTGATATTTTACTTTCAAAGTTCTCTTCCAAGTATCACATTCAGGGCTCGAATCAGTGAAAGTATTTAAAAATACGGAACATTTTACTTAAAACTAAATTAAATTTTTCATAACTATAAAACATGAAGATATCGATAACTCTGAGTTCGAAGTGATTCGACTCGGAGTGATCGCCTTTCTTCATGTTTTATAATAATTAAAGATGACCCAGTGATAAAATACATTATTAATTCAATTATTATTTTCGGGAGTTTTTAACATACATTCTTGTTTAAATCGATTATTTTTAATAATTTTCGAAAAAGTTCTTTGACAATTTTCAAATTCTTTTATTTACAAAATTCAATTTCACAAAATTTCAATTATTCGTAAATTCTTCAATTAACTAAATATTAGAAAATAAAAACTTCAAATAATATTGAAACAATTCAATTAAACATTTTCAAAAAAATTAATTTCAAAATTCAATTATTTTTAAAAATTTACGCTATATTGGTTTTAATATTCAATTATTATCTGAAATTTTAAATGAAATTAATTTTTAAACCAATTTTTATTAGAAAATTCTCAGAGAATTCAATTATTTAAATATACAAAAATAAGTAATTTATTGAATAAAAGAATTTTTCTCAAAATTAAATTCTCGTAAAGAATTTTATCAACAAATTTTCAATTAATTGAATTCTTTTGAAGAATTTTATTATTTTTTAAAATAATTGAATCCTTGTGAAAAATTTCATTATTTATGAAAATAATTGAATTATTTTGAAGAAATTTATAAAAAATTTGTAAATAGTTCAATTCTTTTGGAAAATTTTATTAAAATAGTACCTAGATATTAAAAATCATTGAATTTAGAAAATTTTTTGAAATAAACTGAAATTTGGCAAAGAATTTTATAAAAAAATTTAAAAATAATTAAATTTCGAAGAAAAATTTTATTATTTATAAAGACAATTTAAATGTTGATGAGAATTTTTCTAAATTTTTTAACATAATTGAATTTCTACAATCATTTGTAACTTTAAAATTCATTTTTTTTCAGTGTTTTTATTTTAACTAAAATTCTTCTTAATCTATTATTTTTAATAAAATTTTTAAGAATAATTACATTTTTCAAGGAATTCGATTAAAGTTGTATTAAAAATAATTGAAATTCTGCAATGAGTCTCATTATTTGTGAAAACAATTAAATCCCTAAAAAGAAATTTATTATTTTCCAACAATATTTAATTTTTGTGTAGAATATTATTACTCTTGAAAATAATTGAATTTCAGCAATAATTTGTAACTTTAACAAAATTCAATTTTTTTTCGTGTTTTTAACTAAACATCTTCTATAAATCTATTATTTTTATTTTTTAAATAATTTCAAAAAAAAATCCGCAATAATATTAAAGTTTCTCAAAAAAAATTAATTCCACAGAATTGTTAATTAAAAAATATGAAAAATTCAGATTTTGCAAGACTTAATTTCAAATCTTTTGAAAATTCAATTATTTCGAAAAATTTACGCTATAATGCTTTTAAAATTTAATTATAATCTAAAATTTTAACTGAAATCCATTTTTAAAATCAATTTTTATGAGAAAATTCTACCAGAATTCAATTATTTAAATACAAAAAAAACAATTTATTGAATAATTGCGTGTTTCTTAAAATTAAATTCTCATAAAGAATTTTGTCTATAAATTTTTAAATAACTGAATTCTTTTCACGAATTTCAATAAAATTTTTAAGAATTTTTTGCAGGAATTCGATTGAAATTGTATTAAAAATAATTGAAATTCTGCAATAAGTTTTATTATTTGTAAAAATAATTGAATTCCTAAAAAGAATTTTATTATTTAGGAAAGTAATTGAATCCCCGTAAAAATTTTATTATTTATGAAAATAATTGAATGATTGCGAAGAAATTTATAAAAAAATTTGTAAATAACGAAATTTCTGCGAAATTTTTATTGTTATTTGAAAATATACATAATTAAAAGTTTGTGTAGAATTTTATTAATTTTTTTTTTAAATAATTGAATTCTTTTGGAAAATTTTATGAAAATAGTGTCGATATATATTGAAAATAATTGAATTTCGGAGAAGAATGTAATTATTTCTAAAGATAATTGAAATTTTGACGAGAATTTTTAAAAAATGTTGAACATAATTGAATTTTTGCGAAAAATTTTATTACTTTTGAAAATAATTGAATTTCTACAATCATTTGCAATTTCTCTAAAATTCTCCAAATTATATCGTACAATTTACAAACTTTTTGATCTTTTTTTTCAAGTTACGGATTTTATGGAACTTTTTTTTAAAAAAACGGACTTTTACGGACTTCAAGCAAAGTTACAGATTTCTACGGGATTTACGGACCTAGTTCGAGCCCTGCTAATTGATAACAAACTGGATCAAATTGATAACAATAATTTTGATCAATTTATGATTTGTAATCTTTTCTTTGGTTTTAATTCGTTGCAGTTTGATACTTTCAAGTTATAAGGATAGTATTGCGAATGTTGTAATTAACATTTTGGGAAATTTATAAGCATTACGTTAAAATACATTATTGAAATTTAATATCTTGCATATAATATGCATATAAATGAATGAAAATGAATAAAAATGAATATAATTATGAATAAAAAGTAATGTTAATCAAATATATTTTCATGTTTGGTGTAAATTTTTGTACACTTAACTAAAGAGGAAGTTTTTTGCGCGATTTCATATCAGTTACAGATTCATTGTATATACCTGGAGGCAGTCAAAGTTAACGATCTGGTTTTCAAGTTAAACTGGGATGGAATCCAGTTGGAAATAGTTATTAGTTTACTCTCGCGATGCTCATTTCAATGCGCTGAATACTTCTCCAACATTTCGTGAAATGAATTTTCTTTTTTTCTGCGAAATTGCAAATGATAAATTATTAATTGAATTTTTTGTGGGCTTGTGTAAATTCATTTAGTAAAATGGTGCACTGCATTAAGGGAGACAGGAGACGCGAGTTGGAGAAGGTAATATCGACTGGGGATCGAGTTTCCTGCAATGTTGAAAATCAGTTTCCATAAACTTCGGCAAGAGCAGGCAAGAGCAAGCAAGAGAGTTTGCTGGTTTCCATCCAATTTCGTATGTCGTCTCGACAGGCTATCGAAACTAAGATTTCCTTCCATTTTCATTTAGCAAACAATTACACCGCCTCTCATTTATCATTGAGAAAAGGTTGTTCCCTAAATTCCATTTACTTTTTTTTAATGTTGTGTGAAAATTACACGTTTCGTTTTCTCATTTTCTTCGCATAAGTGTAGAATGATAAATAATTTTGATAGAGAGAAATGTTGTAACCATTTTCTTTCTGTTGAATAGAAAGTTGAATAGAAGAAAAATATGACAGTATAATGAATGACCATTTTCATTGAAAAATTCATCGCACAATTACCAATGAAAAACCATTTCTCCAGTTCTTTTGTTTTTTTTTCTTTTTTTTTCTTTGAAACAAAGGTATTCAACCAAGTGCATATTGTCATTTCAACAGACAATCCTAGTGCATAGTGGATGGTTTTAAGCACCGACTAATCGTCCAGTGAATATTTTAAGAGCTAATCTTCCCCATGAATTCCCTGAAAAGGGTGTGTTGTTTGGTTCATTCCCTTTGAAGAGGTTCAACGTCAAACCACAGGATGACCGCAGTTCATTACACACAGCAGATGCGACAGAAAAATGAGAAATGCTATAAAAAAAATAATGAAGACATTTTTTAAAGCAATAAAGTTAATTGATGAATATTCGCTCGTTTGAAAATTACGATATTTACCTCTCGTTTTAATAGAGTTGTATTTTAACGGAAAAATATGGTATATTGAGGTAATTGGTAGTTTTTAATAATTTTATCCGTGTTCCAATTTGTAACCACTCTCTCGTATTTTAATTCACTTTTTTATTATTCAAAGTTTTAAACACACCGTTAATATTGAATAACTTTTATTCGTATAAGATGAAAATAATATCTGTTTTTAGATTTGAAAATTTTTCACATAATAAGTGCGGACTTGTCGCACATTTTGAAAATGAATTCTTTCTATTTTCAATAGTCGCTATTTAATTCAGACCAAAGCAAAACAACTTTAAATATTAAAAATACAAAGCTACTAAAAAAAGATATAAATTCAAAATTAAAGTAAATATTAAATTATTTATTAACTTCTCACCTAAATATTAGTGTTGGCTTTCATGAATCTCTTCTTTCATAAAGGAAAAAATAGAACTGTATCCATTTGTTATCCATTTATTTTTCACGAGCTTCTCGTTTTTTTTCGAGCAATTTCTCACTCGAATCCATCACTATTAAATATTTAAAAATTAGTTGAATTAAAAACTGGAAATTTAATACTTTTTGCATTTAGAGTTTGAAAAAAATTAATACAGACCTCGGTAGTATAACTTTATCTACTTTATTCAACTATATTTTTTTAAAAATATTTATTTGCATCAAAATATTATTTTTGTTAATTATTTGATTAACAAAAATAAAAATAATATTTTGATTATTTATTTATAATTTGCTTCAAATACTGAAATTATTGGTTCAAATATAATTTATTTGATTTAAATAAAAATTATTTGCTTCAAGTAAATATTTATTTGATAATGGTAAGTAATCAGTTATTAGCATCAAACAAATTTTTTCCAGTTTATCCGTATTCAGAAGTTAAGAGATTTTTCTCTTAATAATAAAAAAAACTTTTTTTTATGATTTTATTCAGTTTTATATAAATTAAGGCATTTGGTGAATGGGGAATTTTTAAATTATTTATGAAGTTTCTCGTGTTTATGTTTCTTTTATTATAGAACCTATGTTTTATGTCTTAAGCTTAAAAACATTTTTACATATTTTTCACATTGATTAATAATTACATTAATGCAAATATACTTTTTATGAGAATTTTTAAATTTCATAAAACTTTTATCACCGCACTCACAATTTTAATTTTTTCTAATATTTTATAAGCTCGGAAAATTGGAGTTTGTTTTAATCGAGGTTTTAATGATAATTCATGTTTATAAGAATGTTTGTTTACTGTAACGTGTTTTTAATAATTTTGTATTTCATTTTGTATTTCATAAAATTGTATACAGCAATTTTTTTTACTGAACATATTGCATAAATACATGTATGGATATACACAAGACAATCATATTACGTTAACTCTTGCACCAGACTTGAAAGAGGGTTTTCCCTTAACGAGCTTGAATGTCATATATCGGACTATGACCTTTTAGAAATACACCACGTACTTTAAAACGTCTTTTTTCTTTTTTTTTTTTATTAAAAACGATAAATGATATTGTACAGTCTAATAACAAAAATTGTTTATTGCTTCGAGGATTAATATTCTGTTATTATTATTTTTAATTAGTTTTTCATATAATATTTTTCCACGCGAGCAATCGATATTTTTAAATCCCTTTAAAAGCAGCAGGCTATTTGTAATTTTCATGCCAACATGGTATTTTCAATTATAATGTTTCAGGGTTTTTGAAAACCGGTGCAAAGGGGAGTGCTCAAGGTAATTATGGTTTGATGGATTTGGTGGCAGGGTTACACTGGTTAAGAGAAAATTTAGCAGCTTTTGGCGGAGACCCTGAACGAGTTGCTGTTCTCGGACATGGCACCGGTGCTGCTTTGGCAAACATTTTAGCAGTTTCGCCGTTGTCTAAAGGTGATAAATTACTTTACTTATATTAAAATTAGATACATCGTAAATTAAATATAGTGTATCCGTTATATTTAACTAATTATGGTTTATTGAATTAGATGTTAAAATTACAAATGTTAATAAAAGAAATTTGTTTTTTTTTCGTGACAGTAAATTATCATTATTATTATTCAAATACCATTAATTTTTTTGCGGGTAAATATTCCTGACGATCCGGAGATAATAATGAAAAAATATTGTACCTAATTGACAGGTCACGCTTAAAAAATTTATATATTCATGCAAATTTTTGTTTGGCATTTACATTTCATAGTGATAAAAATGCTTTACTGGTCAAGCAAGAATTATCGAATATTCAAATTAAAGTTTTATATAGCTAACAAGAATTATGCTTTTTTCATAATTTTTGTAGAAAAAAGACAGATTCTAAATAATAAATGGTACAAAGTGGAAAAAAACTTTTATTTAACTTTTATACCTATAATACAGAGATATATAAAGAGATTTAGAACCTTTTCTAGAAAATTTAGAACACATAGGAACAAGAATAGTTAACTATTATAGTTAATAAAAATAGTTATAACAAATGCAATTTAAGGGTTTATATCGATTTAATTAATTTAAAATTTTCTACAACCTCATTACATCTTTCAACATTTCACGTTGTCGAATTTCTTAGGAACTTGAGAAATTCTAAAAAGTTGAGATTTTTGGACAGAAGGATCCTTGAGAGAGGTAGAGAAGAAGGGGGAATGAGGAAGAATGAGGAATCCATGTCGTGGGCTGTGCTCGCGGCAATAGTGTTGTGTAGATTTAACAAGCTTTCTCAAGTATTAGTCATTCTGCTAACGAACCTGGCAGTGGCACTTTTAATACCAAGACACAATGCATCGTATCTGATACCTTTGGTACACACACGAAAGTCTATAGTATAGTGTTGAGTATCAGACAAAAGCGTAAGGATGTATAAAAAGGTTTCGCACTGCTAAATTTGTAGTTAGTGCATAGTAATTTAAAATAGACATCTGGAGAAGAAATACAAGAGACTCATGCATACAATAGGGCACTGGAATTTTCAAAAATCCACTGAATTCAAGTTTCTTTCGACATAATTTGGAGAATTTTAGAGAAATTACTATAGTGATTGCAGAAATTCAATTATTTTCAAAAATATAAAAATTTTTCGCAAAAATTCAATTATGTACAAAATTTTTTTTTAAAATTCTCGTTAAAATTTCAATTATCTCTAGAAATAATTAAATTTCTACGCAAACCTTTAATTATTTTCAAAAAATAATACAAATTTCACAGGAATTTCAGTATTTACACATTTTTTTTATAAATTTCTTCCCAATAATTCAATTATTTTCATAAATAATAAAATTTTTATAATTTACAATCTTTTTATAAATTTCTTCGCAATAATTCAATTATTTTCATAAATAATACAATTTTAATCGAATTCCTCGAAAAATATAATTATTCTTAAAAATTTTATTAAAATTCATCAAAAGAATTGAATTATTTAAAAATTTATTGATAAAATTCTTTAGGAGTATTCAATTTTAAGCGAAACATGCAATTATTCAATAAATTGTTTTTTTCTATTTAAATAATTGAATTCTAATATAATTTTCTCATAAAAATTAATTTAAAAATGGATTTCAGTTAAAATTTTAGATAATTATTGAATTTTAAAAGCATTAGAGTGTAAATTTTTAGAAATAATTGAATTTTGAAAAGGTTTGAAATTAAAATATTTGAAAATCTGAATTTTTTATATTTTTAACTACACACTAAAAAAAAAGTTTTACTTTCAGCCTATTTTTGAGGCTGAATTTAAGGTGTAAACGGAGTCAGCCCCGTTAAACAAGATGTGAAATAAATGGGCTGAATTTAAGGTGTAAACGGAGTCAGACTTTTTTTCCTGTGTAACAATTCTGTGGAATTAATTCTATTTTAGAATGTTTAATTGCGGATTTTTTTATACCTTTTATTTGAAGTTTTTATTTTCTAATATATATTTAATTGAAGAATTTACGAATAATCGAAATTTTGTAAAGTTGAATTGTAAACAAATGAATTTGAAAATTCTCAAAGAATTTTTTGAAAAATTATTAAAAATAATTTATTTATAGAAGAATTTTAGTTAAAAACACGAAAAAAAATTTAATTTTGAAAAAGTTCGAAATTATTGCAGAAATTCAATTATTTTCAAGAGTAATAATATTCTTCGCAAAAATTAAATATTCTTCGAAAATAATAAAATTCTTCTTAGTGATTTAATTATTTTGACAAATAATAAAACTTATTGCAAAATTTCAATTATTTTTAATACATACTTACATACTTACATACTTACATACTTACATACTTACATACTTATATACTTTAATTGAATTTCTCAAAAAATGTAATTATTCTTAAAAAGTTTATTAATATTTGTCGAAAAAATTCAATGATTTAAAAATTTGTTGAAAAAATTTTTTATATAGGAAGTGAATTTTAAGAAACATTGAATTATTCAATAATAAATTATTTCTTTTTGTATTTAAATAATTTAATTCCAGTAAAATTTTTTGATAAAAATTGATGTAAAAATGAATTTCAGTTAAAATTTTAGGTAATAATTAAATATTAAAAAATAAAAACAATATAGCGTAAAATTTTTAAAATAATTTAATTTCGAAATTAATTTTGTTGAAAAAGTTTAATTCAATTTTTTTATATTATTTGAAGTTCTTATTTTCTAATATATATTGAATTGAAGAATTGAAATTGAATTGAATTGAATTTTAATTGAATTGAAATTTTGTAAAATTAAATATTGTAAACAAAATGGATTTGAAAATTGTCAAAGAACTTTTTCGAAAATTATTAAAAATAATCGATTTACAGAAGAATTTTAGTTAAAAATTCTTGAAAATAATAATTGATTGAAGTTATCGATATCTTCATGTTTTATAGTTATGATAAATTTAATTTATAGTTTTAAGTAAAATTTTCTATTTAAAATTCAAAAATACTATTTTTCAATCATTTTGGTTTTAAAATGTAAACAGTAAACTTTGAAAAAAGTATAGTTTTGAAAAAGAGCAATATTTCGTTTTCACTTTTTACAAAATAAATATTTATAGTTTGATCTGAAGGTAAAAATAAAATGAAATATATCCATTTATTTAATTAAAGAAAAAGTATTCCTTTCTTTCTTTAATTCTAGTGTTGGTTTAATAAAATAAAAATAAGTTTCAGTGTATTTAGTAACATGTAAAAAAGAACCGCAGATATAAATTTTATTTTCCCATACCTATTTTAAATAAAACATATTTATTTTTGTTGTTCTATTTATTCACACATTCTCCATTATTGTATTCTTCTTCATCCATTTTAGTTTTTCAACATTATTGGCAACATTTATCTCTTTTTATATACTAAAAATAAATTTCTGTGATATAAGTCTTTATGTGGAACATGTGTATCTGAAAACTTCAAGTTTTATTCCAGTTACTCATTGAAATTTAAAATTCAAATGTTAACGGAAGTTGGAGTGTTATAGTGCTGGCGGAAACAATTCTACTGCTACTCTAAAAACTTTATTTTGAAAGTTACAAGAGGGTTTTCACAGTTTTCGAGGGGATGAAATGCAATATTTTAAATTAATATTTCCCCAGGATAAATACTTACATGTAATTAAATGATTTGGGTTGGGAATTTTAGTTGATTGTCAACAAATAAGGTTTGACAAATAAGGTTCAAATATTCTTTCATAAAACTTTTTGTTAGATTATTTAAAATACTTCAAAATTACCTGATATAAGTAAATTTGTTTAATTAAATTATAAATTTTATATTTAATTAATAATAAAAAATTTGTTTTGCTTGGACTTTTTTGTAGAACTAATTCAAAGGGTTGTATTGCTTGGAGGATCGGCTTTATCACCATGGGCGGTGCAACGGGAACCTCTTGTGATTAAACGACGCGTTGCTGAAAAAATCGGTTGTCCAGGGGATGCTGAAACTGATGACATTGCCCCGTGCCTGCGACTCCACAATCTAGATGAACTTCTTGACATCCAACTTGAGCCACCTCGATTTACATGCGGATTTGCACCTTTCATCGACGGTGCAGTTTTGCCGCAAACTATTACTCAGGTACTGATATAATTTCATTAAATTCCTATTGATTTTTTTTTCAATTCTACATCAGAGAAAACGGTACAAAAAAATACAATTAGTATTAGTTAGTTACCTCATTTTGAAGAGCGAAAAATACAGTCGAATGTCAATTGTTCAAATAACTTCACATCAGCTTTAATTTTGTAAGGAGTAAAAACGATCTTGCAGCAAAAATTACACCCGACTTTTTACTGAGATACTAGAGAAGAGTTAAAATTCTATAGCAAAAACTTCATCATCTGTTTCACTTCGCGCTGCTATTTTATTATTACCATTTTTAATTCCTTTAATTTAATAATTTTTGAACATTTTCTATTGTACTGAATATAATGCTGTGTATAAAGTGTAAAATTAACAACAGAATTATCGTTCCGTTTACTGGAGAAATTTCTGACTCGGTTTATTCACATACAGTCTCTCTTTCATTCTATCGGCTTTCGCATTCTGCATTTTGGACGGACGAGCAATCGATGAGTTTGCTAATTGGAAGGACAACCAGTTGACGAATAGGAAGAGCTTGGTTAAATCCGTTGACCCTTAATACCTTTGAATTATTAATGCACACTTAATCCTTTGTGTGTGTGTGCGCGCTCCTGTTTTTAAATAATAAATCATGTAAATTATATTTTTTTTTGTTCGATAGAATTATCAGCCCACTGCATCCTCCTCTGGATTTATGCCATTAACACCGGGACCTGGTTCGGAATTCGCAACATTCGGTGATCGGGATCTGATAATGGGTCTCACTTCTGTTGAGGCTTGTTTGGATTTGTCCGCAGATGATTTGCAAGTACGTATATAATGCTCATTAATGCATGCGTGTGCCATTATATAAAATAAGTCGTTACTTCTGCTACTGATTATAAGCCTATATACTGATTACTAGAGTAAACGAATAAATTACATAAATTAAATAGTAATTAAAATCGATTCGATAAATTAACAACTATTAGTCCTTCAACCACAGAGTGGTCGCATCATTTATCCCGCATGTGCTTGTCATGTAGCCGCACGTTTGTCAATTATCCCGCATGTGACTGTCAAACATGTACAACGAATTTTATTACCAAACTATCATTACTATTATTTATTAGAAATTTATAACAGGCAACTACTCCTGTATTGAAAATCGAAACTTTTAATTTACTATTTCTCGTGATAAAGCACTGCAATTGGCACACTTTTTTGTCTTTATAATTTAAGTAACAAAGTACTACGAGCCATTTACTTTGCTTTTCGCAGAATGGCTTCAATGAAACGAGGCGAGATCGAATTCTTCGTACCTACGTTCGAAACTCTTATCGCTATCACTTGCACGAGATTTACTCTACCCTTCGAAATGAATATACTGATTGGGAAAGAGGCGAACAGAGTCCCGTGGCTATTTGCGAGGGACTCCTTTCTCTTCTTGGAGATGGTCAAGTGGCAGCGCCTCTCTTGAGACTCGCCCTTCTGCACTCGGCCTCAGGTGGACGGGGATACTTCCTCCATTTTCAACCTGGCGATCAGCCTAGTCAAAGGGGTGAGGAAGTGCCGTACCTCCTGGGAATACCGCTTCTCAGAGACGAGTCGCCCACCTTTACACCCAATAACTACACCCAGGTCGATGAGAATCTCTCCAGATTGCTGGTCCACTATCTTTCAAACTTCATACGGCGAGGGTAAGCATTATCAAACTTTAGTTTATACAAAAAACAAAACTAAAACAAAACTAGATTTTACATTCCATTCTCTTTTATAAAAAAAAGTAGATCAGTTTTTACGAACCCTACAATTAGCAAATTAGAGTTCTCTTTGAAACTTGCCTAATTGATCATTGTACGTATTAATGATACTGGCATGAAATTCCAAATTTCCTTTAAACCTCAGTTAACAGAATTCAATGGTGATATCAATCAATATTTCAAAACATCAAGAAGGGAGAAAAATGTAGAGGGTGCAAATCATGGTGACTGTGAAAAATGATGTTGAAAGTTTAAGCATATTACTTTGCGGGAAAATCTAGAGAGACGAGAAGATGTGAATCATATATACACACGAATATTAAGACGCTAGTATATAAAACATGTTTTCTTATAATCATTGACTTTGCTTTCCTTTAATCAATTTTTCACATGTAGGATAAAAGTGGGATTATACTATTCTAATATTTACCGAAAGGAGACTTATCATTTATTTAAACTTGAAATATTAGTCCACTTTTAAAGTAGTGTGTTATTTACGATTTTGTTTTACGATTTCTATGAAATTATTTACATTAATGGAATACAATTTTCATAAATCTAGAAGACAGTAATTTTAACTTTGCGTCTGACATTTGAGAACTATGTAAATGTAAATGAACTCAATAACCAAAGTGAGCACAGATTGCAAAAGCTAAGCAGTAAAGAGAGGGAAGTCGTATTCAGGGGGATAAAGTAAAGTTAAATGAAACTGCTCATAAGTGTACTCAGATGGGGCAACTGCAAGTACTAAACCTTTTGATCTTATATATGATTTCAAATTTATGACACACGTTTGTATTTGAATAAAGAATTTGCCGTTTAAAAATTCTTTGCATATATAGACAGTGCGAAACTACCACTATTTTCCTCACGTTAAAACTTATCGGAAAAAGTATTTTACTTTTAAAGTTAAACTTAACTGAATCTTATGAAAGGTAATAAAATATTGAATTGAATATTGGAAGGTGCTGGCTGAATGTTGATTTTCGGTAAAATATTCTACGCCGATGTAATTATTGGTTTTATACAGAAAGGTCTGGGAGCATATATATGACAGTAAAGTTAGGCGAATCTACACAAACTCAGCGTTAATTCTAGAACTTAAAGTTGGTCAAACTTAAGTTTTAGTTGAGATTGCCCGATGTAATTCGAAGCCTCTTACACTTCTAAAGTTGCGATTGCGTTGATGTGGCATCCTATATCGCGCACATGTACATAAAATTGTTTAATATTCGCCAACAAAATTTTGAGAGAATGAGGGGTACTATCTATAACAATGAACCTATAAACTCGTTCAGTTAAAACTTTTGAAAACAATTATTAAAATTAGAAATAAATAAAATATTAAAAGATTGGAAAAATCTTTTTCATCATATAATAGATATTATTTGAAACGTGATTTTTCAATTTCAAGTGGAATGCCCCACATGTAGTGGAGATACTCGCCAATTTGGCACATTAGTTCGAAACGACGCTCTCTTTTCTAACAATCTTACTGACCTCATTAAAATAGACTTATACGCTTTACTCACTAAATTTCTAGTTACTCGCTACACGGTAAATAACGGAAAATAAAGTATTTGCAATAGTAATATTTATCGCCATGAAATAGGAAATATTAAATTCATATTTCTTAATCTTTTTTCTGCTTAATAATTGATTAAATATTGTCCCAGCGGGCAAAAAATACATTGACGTTCGAGGAATATTAAACGTTTTTAAACTGTTGGAACTGTTGTAATTTGAAGGTTAGGCGATAGAGGTAAAAAAAGTAGTGACGCCGGGGAAAAAAGGCTCGCGCAGGCGCATAGCGGCACCACACCACTTTTTTTCTCTCTGACGTCATTTAGTCTGTAAGCTTCGACTTTCAATTCACTTCACACGACAATAAAAAGGTTTTCTATAATAAAACATTGACAATATAAATTTAATGTAATGTCTTCAATGTCCTTAAAAAAATAATGAACAATATTAAAAGGAACTTGAAATAATATGTTTCAGAGATCCAAATAAAGCGAGTCCATTAACGTGGACCGATAACAACACCTCGACAAGCCAACCCTTCTGGGACTCTTACGATGCCATAAACCAACTTTACCTCGAGGCTGGACGAATAACGGAGATTCGATCGCACTACAGAGGGCACAAAATGAGTCTTTGGTTGAATTTACTTCCGCAATTACATCGTCCCGGTTATGAAGTTAGCATGCGTCATCATCATCTTCTGGAGAGTGCGAGTCTGTACGAGGGAGCCGTTCGACCCCAATCATTGGCACTGCCCATCCCCGCCCCACCGATTCCCGTTCCATCGCCGACCGAGCCTTCAATGCCCGTCTCTATCTCCACAACCGAGTGCACACCAAATATAACAACAATGATTCCAACCACTGTTAAAAGCCAACAATCCAATCTCGGAGTGGGTCCCAATAATCTTCTTCGGAAACTTGCCTCCAGTCACTATCAAAGCTACACAACAGCTCTAACAGTCACCATTGCCGTTGGAGTCTTCCTTCTGCTTCTCAACATATTGATATTCGCCGGCATTTACCATCAACGTGAAAGGAGTTCATCGTCCAGTTTAAGTGGATTTGGCGATAAGAAGAAGGAAGAGCTTCTTGAGGCCGGTTGCTCGGGGATCGAAACTTCGAATAAACGCCGACTGCCCGCTTTCGCTCTAACTGATTCTCTATCTTCGAGTCCTCCATCACACAAAGTGAAACTAGTCGATGAACTGGAAATGACTCTGCAGGAATTTCAGTGCTCACCGCCCCCCGGAGGAAAGAGACTCATGGATCCTCCGACGTATAACCGAAGTCCTTGTCTTCAACGCTCCAGAACACCGTCGCCCTGTGTTGATGCAACAGTTGCCAGAGATGACGATGACGACATTGAAATCGACGACGGCCTACCTGAACCGCCTCCCCCTCCAAAAGCTCCAGCACCCAATATTGCAGCTTTGGCCTGTCCCGGGATACTACGACAGCCAGGCACTCCCGGAAGTGCCAAGAAACGAGTTCAAATTCAGGAAATTTCAGTGTAAAAAGAAAGATTATTCCGTTCGAAAAAATAGTGATAAGAGACAAGATGGTGATATTTAATAGGAAAAAAATATACTTTCTCATGTGATGAGAGTGTAAAAAATATTCGCTCATAGACAAAGTTATTTCAAAATTATATCTACGCTAGTATGAGAAGATTAAAGTGGAATGTGCCAACCATTATTCACAGTCAATTGTTCAATTGTTGATCAAGTTGGTGATTTAAAAGTGGTGTAGTAAAGGGACACATGGAATTCATTAAGTGAACGTAACATTGGGATTGAGGAAAACAAACCAAGTGGAATTACTCGAGGAATTGGAAGTCGACTCTGTCTTCAGTTGCAACCATCACTCGCGTTAGCTTTTCAATGGTTATTTGAATGTGAATTATTTAATTGGCCGTAATGTCAAACAATTGTGGCTACTGTTAAAATATGATTTTGTGGATAATTGTTGTGAAGTGAATGGGAGTGCACAGGTCCAGCCCTCTATTATTTGATTGCCAAGGGGTGCTTACAAGCGGACTGCTCTTAGGTAAATCCGGTAAAATTGGTATACAATAAACAGTGAAAGTCGTTTTTCCTATTACTCTGTAAGAATACCTATTCGAAATAAGGAGAATTAATGAACAAAATCTTCGAGAACTTAAAAGACTGAGAGACTCGGCCAAGAAAGTTGAAGAAGATACGTAATATGTAATGATACGTAAAATTAAACGCACAATGCAGCCAGTTGTAAATAGAGAAAACAGCTTCCATGTAGAGGATGTTAACTGTAAGCATCCCTGGTGTGTAAAAAACATACACCCGTGCTTGGGGCCATTTTTAAATTTAGGAAGAAAGACGCTCGTGTTTCAGTTGGCGCCTTTGTCATATTTCATCATGTTTGCATTATTTAAAGCTTTTAAAGTGTTAAGTTTAAAGATTAAATTTAAAACATAATCCTCATAAGAGTCATAAGTATATAAATCAAAAAAGGTAGCTTCTTGTTATTGTAGAATTTTATTGTCTATTACTTTGTTGATTCGTGAAAGCGAAACTGAAACCAAGAGCGAAGAAGGAATTGGGCGAGTGGTCACATGTTTATAGTGACCTATCTCCAAAAAAAACAAATTTACGAAATGTCCCAGTTGGTCCCAGTTACCATTTTACATACATATATACGAGTTACACTTATTTAGTATAAACATACACTAACCGTATGAAGTTTCAGAACATTAGCATCATCATAGATTAAAAATGTATTCTTCACATCTAGTACTCTTCAGCTATTAAAAGAAATAATAATACTTTACCATCTGGTAATTTTTATATTGTTACATAAATTTTATTATGAATAATTGCAAAGAATTTAGATACATTGTAAGAAATAAATCTACTGGTGTTTAATATTCACGTGTATCTACTTTTTCTTTTGATTCAAGATTCTTGAATTAAGAATCGAGGGAAAAAATATAAAAGTTATAATTGCATTTATTGCATAACAATTAAAAATTTGTGATTTATGGTGAAGGATGCACTTTCAGTTTATGAATGAAAGGTATTGTGAAACTTTCTGCGGATAGGCATTCATAAAAACGAGTCTATCAATGTTTCGAATGTTGGAGTTTGTTTAATAAAGACGTAAAACATATGAATCCTATTTGTTGACTTATTATTTCCTGATTACTGACAACTTCGTATTTACTGGCTATCCACAATGTTTTTATCAACTTTCTCTAATATTCATTGCTATTGTCTTCAATTATCAACCAATTTGGAAAATTTCATCAGAACACATGTAAGTATAATTAAAAAATTACAAAATTAATAATGAATTATTTTGCGTAATTATTACTAGGGGGCCGTTCATAAATTACGTAGCGCTTCAGGAGGTAGGGGGGGAGGGTCAAGATATTTGTTACACTCATTATAAAAATGGCGCTAATGTATGTAAAAGTTTGTTACATAGGGGAGGGGGGGGTCTAAAATGACCAAAAAAAAGCGTTACGTAATTTATGAATGGCCCCTAGGGAAAGTCTTTTGTTTTTTCTAAGATTTAGAAAAGTTTATGAATCACAGTTAGTTCCCCTTTTTTTACAATTTAATGTTATACAATTTATTCTGGAACTAACGATTTTCAATAGCAAATTTTATATTTCCGCGATTAATTTTTGTACACTTTTTTAAATTTTCTTATACCATAGTATAATCTGTTATCTATATTAAAAATTATTATTTACAGATTAAATTCTACTACTTCCGAAATAAATTTATTTATTCAATAATTTATAAATTACACAGCCACACAAAAAAAAAAAGTTCTGACCTGGGTGTCTCACTATGTAGACTTTATGTTTTTTGGGTCGCTGAATCTGAATCCGAGGTCCATTTAACCCCATCAGATCAGGATTTTGACATAACCTCAAAAAACCAATTTAAAACCAATTTTTTGAAAAATTCATCGGATTCGCTTGAAATTCGTTACTCTGGGGTTTTTGGGGTCGCTGATTACATATCTGAAGTCAGATTTCAAAAATTCAAAATGGCGGATCCAATATGTCTGTGTCAGACATATTGGATCCGCCATTTTGAATTTTTGAAATCTGACTTCAGATATGTAATCAGCGACCCCAAAAACCCCAGAGTAACGAATTTCAAGCGAATCCGATGAATTTTTCAAAAACGTGTTCGCCATGTTGGATCCGCCATTTTGAATTTTGAAAAACCGACATCAGATTCGTAATCAGCGACCCCAAAAACCCCAGAGTAACGAATTTCAAGCGAATCCGATGAACTTTTCAAAAATGTGTCCGCCATATTGGTTTTTTGAGGTTATGTCAAAATCCTGATCTGATGGTGTTAAATGGACCTGGGATTCGGATTCAGCGACCGAAAAAACATAAAGTATACATAGTGAGACCCCCAGGTCAAAACTTTTTTTCTTTTTTGTGTGGCTGTGTTATATTATATTATAAATTTATTTATAAAGAAATTTGAACCAACAATAATAGTATTTGTGAATAGATGCAAAGTGTATTATATTTTTTTAAAAAACCATTTCAATAAAAAGTATTAATTCTTTGAATAACAATGGTTTACGCAGCATTATTCAATTCTTTATTTGCTCATCAATGACATTATATAATTTAAATACATCCAGTTTCAGTCTCATTAGTGTTTCCTTCCTCTTCAGGAAATTATTACGTTTAGGAGCAATTAGTATTACATATGGTTTGTTGTATTTTGTATTCTTCACCAATAGATCTTAATCTTTTGAAAGTATAATATTTCTAATACTGTCTTGATTTAAAATCGCTGTTCTCAAAAGACGTCCATTCATATTTTAAAAGTATATATATCTTTTGTTATGTTTTATATATGCATTATGATTAAAACCTGGCATATATATTCTAACCAAGCAAATAGGAATGTAAACCATTGTTTTCTGAGACATTGTTTCTATTGTGAAGGATATGTCTCAAAAAAATAAAAGTAAATGAAAAATAAAAATAAAGATTGTTAGCATATATTTTTATTTATAGAATCTATAATTTTTTTAGCTCTATTTAAAATAATTCCTCTATACAAATTAATATGTTTAAGTTCTAAAAATTATAATAGTATTGTTGGATTCAATTACAGTAAATTGGACATGATTCATTGAAAAACATATTACTTAAACAAAACAATCGTTTGTTTTTAAAATATATTTTTTAAAATTTTATTACCTCTTCAAAGATTTTTTTTATAAAAAAAATTTTATCTAGAAAACTTGGTGTGCCTTTTATGACAAAATTTACGATCTTACTTTTATCCGATAAACTATTCCTAACATGCTTTTATGAATATCTTTTTTACGATTTAAAAAATTTGTGTAACATTAAAAATAGACGCACATAAAAAAAATTAGCAGACCGATTAAAAAAAAACTTGCAATTTTCCCATATATATTTATAAAAAATGAAGCATTCGGAATTATTATTTTATTCTCTTTTGTTCACGAAATGTCATCATCATTTTTAGCAAATTGCACGATATATGTATATGACGGAAGTGAAAATTGAATTGATTTTTAATTAAACCCTGTAAATAATGTTTCGCTATAATTAAAGATAAATATTATTTTCTAGAACAATTTCAAAACAAAAGAGCGATTAATGATTAATACAAACGGAGACATTAAATCAGAGAATACATTCGTTGAAGGTAATATGAGTCAATTGAATGTTTAAAATATGAAAAATGAGATTTCATATAGGTATAATCTTTTTGTATGGATTCTAATGGAAATTGTATATCAATAAAAGATGAAATTAATATAATAGGTATGCGTAATGGAATTTTATTTTTTTGATCATAATCAACCCTTTATTATGTATTTTTTATTCTGTAATAAATTCACAGTGCGTTAAAAATAAATAATTAAAATTGCAAGGATAAATACTACACAGAGCATTGTCTGTTTACCTGGAATTTTTCTCCAGGTCGACTAAATATTATATTTTTATTAAAGAAACTCAACTTTTCCGTATGTAATTAAATTCTTCCTGTAAAATGAAAAAGAACTAAAGTTGCAAAAATAATTTGCATTTTATTTAATTATTTTTTTGTATTGAATAATTAATCGCAACAATTGTATAGACTATAGAGTAACTAAATTTCTAAATGAGCAGCGCCGTTTTCCAGTTCAAATCAATTGAAAATAATAAGCCCACAGTGAGTCTCGACACCTCGTCGCAATTGTTCGCACTATTTATTTATAAAACACCTAAACAGGAAATTTTGAGTAACCAATTACAACAGATTTCCAGAATCACGCAAGCACTCTATTCCATGTGAATAGTTCAAGGTTTTATTCTTCAGATATATAATGACCCATTCAAACAAAAATTAGTTCAATTGCTGTGCCTGTTGAATTTTCAATTCGCCTGCGTGCATTTCAAATGTTCTATCCGTTAACTGATGAATTATTCTGCTCCATTTTTTTTTCATTTGTGCGATATTACACAGAGAGTGTTGAATAGTGATAGTCTGGTGATTTTTTTTCTGTTTTCGAGTAAGTATTTTCATATATATTTTAATGTATATATTAATTCTGTGATGCATTAAGAAATGCTGTTCTGTTCAGTGGTAAAATGTGAAAATAATAAAAAGAAATTATATGAAAAATAAAATATAAAACAGTTATTAAAATTAAATATTTTAGTAAATTTTATATTAATTGAAAGTTATTTATTTAAAAATGAGACTTTTACACAGCCAAAAAAAAGTAATCATCATTTTAGTGGATTTCTCTAATTTTAATGGACTATTTCCTCTTGCATGTGGAATCAAAAATAATAGTCTTCAATTCAAAGGATTTTCCTCTCGAATATTATTAGTAACAATTATTATTTATTATTATTAGAAAAAAAATTGTTCTGATGCACTAAATTTAATGCTTTTAACGAAATTAACATAATTAATGATCAATAGTTATAAATTAATAATGTACTTACTTTAAAATTTCTAATTTCATTGTAAAAAATAAGTTTTGTTTTGAGCTTAATTTTAACTAAAACAACTTAAATTAGTCCAAATATTTATTAAATTTCTGATTATAGAAAACTGATTTTAAGATCTCAAATTGTCTTATTTTCAATTTAAGCTCCAAAAATGAGTTGAATTTAAGAAAAAATACTTTTTGAACTGTAAGTACTTTACGACTTTGTTTTTACAGTGTTTTTTTTATTAATTATTTTTTCTTTTTCTTCGAATTCAATATTTTTAATAACAAAATTATAAAAACTGGGAAGGACGGAAAATATTTTGATTTTTACAACGTTTGAAGCATTTTTTGAAAAAAAACTTTGTTTTTAGGCTGAAAATACTAAGAAACCATTGTTATTCAATTTTTTAGTTGAAAATTCATTATTTTGTTTATTCTTTTGACTAATTTCAGATCATAATTTTAATATATAAAAAAATGTAAAAAATTATGATAAAATTATGATCTGAAATTAGTTAGAAAAATAAATGAATGAATTTTGAAATATAAAAAAATTGAATAACAATAGTATTTTTAGCATTTTTAGTCTAAAAATAATTTTTTCAATAAAAAAATGCTTCAAAAACTGTAAAAATTGTTTTTTTCATTTGTCAGTATTTTTGTGGATTCAAAAACATATTTTCTACAAAATTTACGTATGGATTTCAAAATCTATCAACTTTTTAAGAGAAATAAAAATTCTGAATGCCTTTATTTAAGACCATTGAATTCTTCTCGAAAAATTACTGTAAAAACAATTTTATTAGAAGAGATAATTTGATAATTAAAAGAAGATTTTTTTCTTTTAATATGAGATTACTTTTTTCTGGGTGCGCCTAGTAAAATATGAAAGTAAATGAAAAAAGTTTCATATTAAAATTATTTTTCAATTAAATCTGATTTTTTTATCTGAGATAAGTTTAAAGTTTTTTTTTTATGTTTCATTTGCTTTTATGTTGCATTTCACATATCCGTATAAATGAAAATCAACCTAAAAACATTGATTTTAATTTATTTTGTTTTAAAATTATCAAAACGAAAACTATGACGAAAATCTGCCTTAAATCAAATTGGCTTGAAAAAATTTGTTTTAATTTTTTTTCAAAAATTAATAAAAATAATAATTCAAAAATTTTGAGACTTGAAATAAGTTCAATTTGTTCAGGGTAAAATTTGATTCTTATAGTAACATGTTTTACATGTGTTTGAAAGTAGGTAAATATATAAAATTTTTATATCAGGAAAGAAGATACAGATATGTAATTGCCCAATAAGATAAGAAAAAGTAGCTACTTTGCTGATTTGATCGATATAAGTTCTTATTAGGTTTAAAGTGAATAGAAATAAAAGAATACTTTTCATGAATATGAATGAAAATAAAATATTGTTTTCAATTCTTGAAAGAACAGTTATTAAAAACAAATTTATTACGAAAAAAATTAAGGTAGGTATGTATTTTTAAGACTAATTTACCAATGGATAATTATTCTAATTAGATTTGAAAGACATGTTTTTAAGGTAATATTTCCAAACTGATGACTTATGGATAAATCTTAATTATTTTGAAATGAATTTAAATCGATGATTAATGATATAATTAGAGTGACATGTGACAAAAATGAAAATAGAAATAGAAAGCGAGATAAAATGACGTTGAAGGAAGAAGAAAATTTGAATAACAAAAAATTGTATGTGACACTATTGATTGTCGTGTGTGTATTAGATCGCAAAAATTGTTACAATGCTTTTGTGGGAGAAGTTCGTTTTGACTGCTAATGAAGTTGTGCCCATGAAATGACGCCGAGTCGTCATCATCATCAGTGTTCACTTTTTAAGCATCTCTACACCAATCGGCAATCGTTCCTCATCTACAAGAGAGGTACATTGTCTTTATGAAATTTTTTATTTCATCACTGACTTTTCCGACAGTCTTGTTGGAATCTTCATCCGCAATGCAATCTTCAATCTAAAGGAGGGGAAAATTTGAAATTTAATTTGAAAATTTAAAGATTAAAATTAGAAGATTAAAATTTAGAGATTGAAAAAAGTGGTATTGGGATAAAAAATCAGTGGTGAAAAGGGAAGAAAAAGAAGAAAAAGAAGAAGAAGAAGAAGAAGAAGAAAAAGAAGAAGAAGAAGAAGAAGAAGAAGAAGAAGAAGAAGAAGAAGAAGAAGAAGAAGAAGAAGAAGTGTGATTGAAAGATCTTGTTAAGTGGCAAAGGAGGCCAAGGTGTCCAAGACGTCAATTGTGTGGAGCGTTATCGTCTGAAGACATTAGCGAAAGAAAACAAGACGTGACGTGCATTGTAGTGACAACTCGTGACCAGTGAGGCTTATCGGTATAGTGGGTTCGATTTGTGATCGACTCTGCGATCGACAATAGTCCAAATGGAGAACGAGACCGGGAGGCCGAGGCCCGAGGAACCTCCTCTCAAGAGAAGAGTGTCGATCAGCGATCAAGTTCTGGGTGTTGACAACCCTGCGTTCGAACATCATCATCACCATAGACGCATAAGTGCAAGTAGTGAACATAATTCCGAGGCGGGTAGTAGAAAAAAATCAATTTTGCACCACGGCGCTAGTCACGAGAACTTGGCTCAGTACAAGTTCGACTTGGAGAACGGTCGAATCAATGGCAACAGGAAGAAGTCTGCATTCAGTTTATCCAGCTCAATTCGAGACAAAATCGAATACTCCGAGGAGCTCGAAAGGTGAGTTTTTTTTATTCTGAAAATAAATCTTCTACATCAAATCAAATCAATTTACATTTTTCATTTTTCATTTTTCAAAAATTTAAAAAAGATTCTCTACTGAAATGCAAATTAATGTAAACATTTCATTAATATTTTTGAAATATTAAAAAGAACTGTTATTTAATAAAATTTAAATTAAAAAAATAATAAAAAAAAGTTTCCAAAGTTTTCAAGTTCACAAAGTTAAACTGAACGAAATTTTTTTTTTAAATTCTTATAAAATGTTAAAATGAAAAATAATAAAAAAGTTCATAAAAATAGTTTGGAACGTTCAAATGTAGAACAATATTTTTCTTACTTCTTTTAATTTGTAGTTTTTTATTAAAACAAGTTATTTTTTATTAAAAAAGTCATTTATTATATTAAGAAAACCATTTCTCAACTAAGAAATTATCTATTTTTAATAATTTTTCTTCTTCTTTTAGCAATTTCTTAAAACGTTTTAAAAGAAAATAATTTCGTTCCTTTTTAAACGTTTAAAACTTTCGAAAGATTTAAAAATAGTTTGCTAAGTTAAGAAGTAATCTTTTTAATATAAAAAGTAAAATTTTTAATAAAAGGTTTAAAAATGAAAAGAAATGAAAAAATCGAACCTTCATTTGAACGTTTAAAAATTAGAGAGAAAAAATTTCCAAATTGTAAGAAATAAAAAAATTACGTGTTACTCTTTAAACATGATTTTATGTTTACAATCGTTCATATTTCATTTCACGGTCAGATTCTGTATCACTTCAAGCTCACGAACTTGTGATATTTGTTAGTGATCAAATGATCATTAATCAGATTACACACATTGATTAAGAAAATTTTAATGACCATTAAAATTATATTTACAGATAATTATTTAAAAATCACGTTTCAAAATCTTATTTATAAAAATCACGTTTAAACATCATATTTAAAAATTGTATTTAAAAATCTTGTTTGAAAATAATATTTAAAAATCATATTTAAAAATTATTTTTAAAATTTATATTTAAAAATAATATTTAAAAATCATATTTAAAAACCATGCCACAGTTTTTCTGCGGATATCAAATTGAGATTTGTCTTAATTTGATATCTAATTTTAAAATAAAAGACTTTAAGTTATTTTATTTAAAAACCACATATTCTTAAATATTTTCATTATAAATTATATTTTTTGAAATAGTTTCTGAAACAATTCAAAGACTTTTAAAAAATTTGCCAGGTCTTATTTTCATCTAAAATGTATACAATCGTAAAACGGCGAATTTTTTTTTTTTTTTTTTTTTTTTTTTGCAAGGTATGTACAATAAATTGTAATTGAGGAACTCCTGCTGATAACGTACACTAAAACTAAATATAGCGAGAGCAACGTACCTATAGACTTGTACCTTTACGTAAATAAAATATTCAACACGCTCAATATGGATTTCATGAAGAGAATTCTCAATGAAATCATGTGCAATATAAACCTTGTACAATAAAAACTATAATATCACGTGGTTTCTAACAGCAACTGATAAAATTGAAAATTTGAAAATAAACTAGTTTCGAGTATTTTGAAAAATTTCCAGAAAAAATATAAAAATTATATTAGTAACTATATATTGATTATAATTTACAATTAGTTTTTATCTTCTAATTTAAAATTAAATATTAACTGAGTTAGGAATTAATTTTTGATTCTTTTTTTAAATACGAATTAATAGGAGTAAAAAAATATCGTGTCGTTTATCTGAACGTTCGAAACTTTAGGAAAATGATAAGAAAATTGTGTATAAAAATATATAATTATAGATTTGAAAACAAAAATTTAAATATTCTAAACTTTTCTCGCAATAAAGAAAAATGAGCTCACTTTTGTCACATAATTGTTAACTATTTTTTTTTTTATTACAAAACGGTGTGTAAAAATGTTTTGCAAGCCATTTTGCACTCGTAATTTTTCAATGAGAAAATATTTTACTATATATTGAATCGTCAATATTTCCGACAAAAGCATAAAATATTATTAGTTGAAAAGCATAAAACCGAGAGAAAGATATTTTCACATCAAAACATATTATGTTCAAGTCAAACTTATTTTATCTTTACTATGCACAATGAAATATATTTATTAAATTAATCCAGACGTATAAAATTTAAACATATAAATTCTATGGTTGAGTATAAAGTATTTACATGTTTCTAACTTTAAAATCAAACGTTGTTTCCAAAACCATTGTTAGATCGAAATATTTGCTCGAATTAAATTTATATTGTTGAGAATTAGTAATTTTGTATAGAAAATTTTTTCTGTTTGTTATAGTTATTTTTCAACACAGGTAGCTTTTGTATGCCCAGTAGCTATATTGTTTCTAAGTTTCTACTCTGTATATCCAATTTTTCTTTTGGAAAGTTTTATACTCTATAAATAATTTGTATATATTTTTAAAAATTCAAAAGAAATGAAACCTTGAGTTAGTAACTTTATACAAGTTTTTCGTGTATGAAAGATTAAAAAATTGTTACCTGTGTGTTTAAATATTCATTAAAAGAATAAACTAAGTGCAGTGATATACATAGTACTGTTACTAATAACAGTTTTATTACTGAAGACCAATTTGTATAATACATCCCATTTTTAGAATTATTTATACAATTGATAACAATTTTTAATATAAAAGAATAAATAAATATAAATAAATATAAAAGAATTAAATTTCTTTTATTTTAATTTCCTTGACTCGGAGTAATCGTTAAATTTCACTATTTATTAATTTTTAATATAATTTCAAGAATTATTTGTATAAAATATAAATATCAGAAAAAAATTATTTTTTAAAAAATATTTATAGCATAAAAAATGTTAAAGTAAAATTTTTTTATTGTATAAATATTATTATTGTTATTAATCACCTAAAAAGTAACTTGACGTGGTGTCAATGAATTATTCTGAGAAAACAATTTATTTAACTTTACAGGAATCTTTTCATCTTAAGCGGATTTTCCTTTTGATATTTATTTAAAAGGAATTTCTTTTAGGACAAACTAAAGTTTTGTAAAGTGTATTCTTCAATTATTTAAAGACTTTAGTTTACTATTGAAAGGAAACGTTTTTGAGACAAGAAGAAATAAATAGATTATTTATTTTCAGATTATTTATTAATTTAAAAAATAAATGAATAAATAAATATTATTGATAATTATTTAATTAATAGTATATGTTATTTATTAATTTTAAATAAAATAAAACAAAATATTTTAAACTACTTAAAGTTTTTAACTTTTATATATTTTATTTTTTTATGAAACCAATCAATTATTGATTAATTATTTACATTATTATTTTATTAATATTACTAATTTTATTAACAAGTGGTTTTGAAGACCCTTTTTTTAAAAAAATATTTTAAATTGGATTTTATATTCCTGAAGTAGAAGAAAAAACCTTTTAATACTTTTCTAAACAATACTTGAAATTCTCGAAAACAAAAATTATTTATGTTCCTAAAATTTTGAACGTTTAAATTAATGACAAAATTTTGTATTTTCTTTCAATTTGAATTTTATTATTAAGTCGAATTTTTGTATTTAAAAAATTTATTAACTTAGTAAATGTTTAAGTTAAATTATTTTTTATTTCAGTATAGTAATTTTTAAAAATAAATTTAAAAATAAAAAAGAAAAAGAAGTTTTTGTTCATTTGAACGTTCAATCAAAACTTTAGGAAAACAATTATTTCTACATATTTTCAATTATTTTTCATTGACATTCTTTATACGCCTTTTCCATTGTTTTGCGAAGAATCAATTTTTAAATTGATTTTAAAACATTTCATCTTTTTCCAAAAAAATAAACTTTCTGAAAATAAAAAGATGGTAAAAATATAAAAGAAATGTTAAAAAGAAATTTTCACTTTTACTTACAATTATTTTAATAACTTTTCGTTGATAAATTTAATTCACTTTTTTTTAATATTCTGAACAATCAATCGTGGGAATCGTATATGAATTCTTGTTGCTTGAAATTAATCCTTTTGGCATAAAAGGTTTTTATTTGAGAAACAAAAGAAATCTTCTATTCTTTACACTTTTTTTTATTTTTTCAATAAACGTCTAAAATTTTGAAATTAAAAAACATTCCTTTTAGAGTAAAACCAATTTAATTTAAAACAATTTTAATAATTAACAAATTTTTCTTAAGAGGAAATTATTTTTATCTTTAATACATCATTTTTATCTGTGTGGATACAAAAATTTAATTAATTAACGATTTCCATCAAATTAGAATCAGAGAAATTTTCAATTTTCAATGAATAATTTTTCTTGTCAAACAATTAGAGTATCTAATTTTTACTGAAAATCAGTTTAATTGTTATGATTCTTAGTAAAATGTTGAATTATTTGAATTTTGTTGAAATTGTGAGAAAATGCCGTCAATGAAATTTTATTGATTTCAATTAAGTGCTAGACTTTTCCTTGATAAAGTAGTGATTTTTACCACTAAGAATGAGTAGAATTTCTTTGGTTTTGAAGAAAAGGGAAGGAAAAGTCGTTCGCTTAATTATAATCTGTGAAATTGTCGCTGTCTTTAAATTTAGTGTGTGTTCAAACACCGAAAGAAAAATATTCATGTTTCCAGAAGATTCCTCTTATTTTAATGCAAATTTTTTTCTTTATGGCTCAAAAAACTCTTATTTTTAGAGGATTATTCTTTACTTGAGAGGATAAAAACTAAAAAATACGTTTGAATTAAACATATTTTATCATTGAATTAAACGTAATTTTTATTGAATCAAACTTGAAACTTCTTTGATCAATAATGTATTAAATCAAAATTATTATATTTAATTCAAAAATAATTTTTTGATGAGTATAACGAACCTAATTATGTTTGATTCAAATATATTGTTTTCTCAGTGTGTACTCTCCAATGAAGAGTAATAGAGGGTCACAATCAAAGAACCGTTATAATTTTCTTAAGATCAAAATCATTGCTCTGTAAGTCAAAAATTAAACTGTTTTTAATCCGAATTTTTTGAGAAACATTCTGGTAATCTTTATACAAATGCGAAATGTTTTCAAGAAATCCTTTTTTTATTTAGAGGTCGAGAATTTTGAGTCTCAAAAACTTATAACCGGTTCTTTGATTGGGACCCTCAATATTCTTAATTTAAAAAGAAAAGAATTATAAAGAATTCTTGTGTCCAAATTCATTAATTGCATTATTTTTTTCCGTCTCCGACTTAAGTAAGCAGGTCCCTTTAAAAATACTAATTCTCCGAAGATTTGTTTGATTCTAGATCGTGGCTGTACGTCTTTTGTTCACGATGTCACGGTCGAGATGACACACCTTCGTGGGAGCCGAACGGATGGCGGAGAGCTTGTCCACAGCCGTTTTGTCCCAGTTACAGGAAATTCGCGAGAACCCTCTGCCTCTTTCTCCTGGGACTCCTCCTATGGGGCATTGTGTACTCGATTATCGGCGAAGATGCCGCACCAGGAGGTCCACTCTTCGGACTGGCAGCCCTCTGCATTGCCGCACACTTTGGAGGGTGGCTCATCTCCCTGACAACTCTTCCGGCTCTCGTCGGAATGCTGCTGACCGGAATCATTCTCCAGAATGTGGGACTGGTCAGCATAGACGGAAAATATAGTGTAGTCGTCTCCAATTTGCGGTAAGATTTTTCCGAAACAATACAATGTGATGATACCTACTTTTTTTCTATTTACTATATTTTTTATTCGATTCTTTTTGATTCTGAATCGAAATACCTAAAAACGCATATTTTAATGGATCATGTGCAGGTTTATTCAATGTATTTACATCTGAAATCCAAACTCTCGTAGCATTAACGAGTTTATAAGTGATCAAGTTTCTTGTCACGTAAATACTTGTGGCAACTTTTGTAATCGAAGCTCGAAGGTTTTGTCATTTCAATTCTTTATACTGACACATAAGGTCAAGGTCAGCACTCATTTAGAGAGTGATATAATGCTCGTTATTCCCATAGGCAAATTAGGCGCATGCAAATGCTGTTAGACTTTTGGTAAAATTAACTAGAATAATATCTGATAATTCCGTCTTTAATTCATTTATTTATTCTGTTCGTAGTTTAAAGTTAGTTTTTGTGTACGCCTTTCTTTTATTTTCTTTAAAAAATATTTTGTTTGACAAATCGAAATTAAGGTAGTTTTTCATGATATCAGAGCTCGAACTATAGGTCCGAGAATCCCGTAAAGGTCCATAAATTTGCTTCAAGTCCGTAAAAGTCAGTTTTTTTGAAAAAAGGTCCGTAAAGTCCGTAATTTGATAGAAAAAGGACGGAAAGTTCGTAAATTGTACGACACAATTTTGGAAATTTTGAAATAGTTAGAAATGATTGAAAAATTCAATTATTTTCAAGAAGTAATAAAATTCTTAGCAGATAAAAGTTTTACAAGAATTCAATTATATACAAATTTTTTTTATAAATTTCTTCTAAATAATTCAATTATTTTCATAAATAAGGAAATTTTTACAGGGATTCAATTATTTTTGTAAATAAAATCCTTTTATTAAGGCAAATTCAATTATTTTCGTAAATAATAAAACTGAATTTCAAGTATTTTTAATATACAATTTTAATGGAATTCCTCAAAAAGTGTAATTATTCTTAAAACTTTTATTAAAATTCGTCGAAAGAATTCAATTATTTAATCATTTGTTGATAGAATTCTTTATCAAAATTCAATTATTCAATAAATTATTTTTTTTATTTTTATAATTTGAATAGCAGAATTTTCTAATAAAAACTGATTTAAAAATGAATTTTACTTAAAATTTTGGATTATAATTGAATATTATAAAAGCATCATAGCGTGAATTTTTAGAAATAATTGAATTTTGAAAAGTTTTCATATTAGAAATCTTTGAAAATTTTAATTTTTCATACTTTTAACTAACAATTCTGTAGAAGAATTAATTTGTTTGAAAAAGATTAATTCAATTTTACTTGAAATTATGTTCTTGAAGTTTTTATTTATAATATATATTTAATTGAAGAATTTCCGAATAATTGAAATTCTGTAAAATTGAATTGTAAAAAAATGAATTTGAAAATTCTTTAAGAACTTTTTCAAAAATTATTAAAAAATAATGGATTTATAGAAGAATTTTAGTTAAGAACACTAAAAAAAATTTAATTTTGGAGAAATTACAAATTATTGCAGAAATTCAATTATTTTCAAAAATAATAAAATTCTTCGCAGACATTTAATTATAATAAAAAAAAAAATAACAATAAAATTTTTTTAGGAATTCAATTATTCTCATAAATAGTAAAACTCATCGTAGAATTTCAATTATTTTTAATACAATTTTAATCTAATTTCTCGAAAAATGTAATTATTCTTAAAAATTTTATTTAAATTCGTCAAAAGAATTCAATTATTTAAAAAAAAATTTTGATACGCAATTTTACGAAAACATTTAATTATTTTTATAAGTAATAAAAATTTCACAGTAATTCAATTATTTACAAATTTTTTACAAATTTCTTTGAACTAATTCAATTATTTTCATAAAAAATACAATTTTTTTTACAGAAATTCAATTATTTTTATAAATAATAAACTTTATTTGAGGAATTCAATTATTTTCATAAATTCAATTATTTTTAGAACTTTTGATGAAATTCTTTTGAACAATTCAATTTTAAGAAACATTAAATTATTCAATAAATAATTTATTTTTGTATGTAAATAATTGAATTCTAGTAAAATTTTCCAATAAAAATTGATTTAAAAATTAATTTCAGTTGGAATTTTAGATAATTGAATATTAAAAGCTTTGTAGCGTGAATTTTTAGAAAAAATTGAATTTTGAAATTAATTTTTTTGAAAAAGTTTAATTGAATTTTTTTCAAAGAACTTTTTCGAAAATTATTAAAAATAATAATTGATTTAAAGAAGAATTTTAGTTAATAATTTCTAAGTAATAATTTGATGATAGTTGTTGAAGAATTAGGAAGAGTAATAAAATAAGGAACTAATATGTGTATTAGGAAGAAGTTAGCCTGGAATATTGTTCCTAGTTTTTTATGAAAATTATAAATTTATAAATTAATGAAATTAAAAAATTGTTATAAAAATAGCAATACACAAACTTGAAAAATGTGTTTCCGAACGAAGATATACGAATGCATAGATGGAAAAAGCATTCTTTAAATTCTGCAAGGAAATAAAGAAAAACTGTTATATGTATACATTCCAAGCATTGAATTTGCCTTGGAGACCTGCGAAATACATTTCTTAGACGACACATGTAGAAAATAGGTGCATGGACCGTGAAATTCTCTCATTCTTTGTCAATGTCAAATATTTTAAACTCGCTTGAAAATCATTCAAAATATTTAGTTATTGAAGAAAAGTTTTCCCTTCAATACTCGAAATGAACACTTTTTAAAATACTTGTATGTACTACAATTAATTTTCATTAATTACTTTTTCCAAAGTAAAAAAATACTCCGATTGTGTAGGAAAATAATTTTCAGGAAAACTAGACTGACCTGGAAAAATAAAGAAAGAAAGAAAGAAAGAAAAAAAGAAAGATCGTAGAAAAAATATTCTCATATCAAATAAATGTACAATGTTTCAGGAACAAATGGAAGCTATTCACAAATTGAGAATTTAAATAAATCACGAGTATTATACAATTTTTTCTTAAATAACAAGTAATATGTGTGCGATAATCTTTTTTCACTCATTAGACCAATTTACGTATAACACATGATATGAATAATATTTGCCAACAAAGTAAAATAAACTTACATTTTTCATTTAGCAACACTTGAGTTGATTCGTTGCTTTTTCTTAGTTAAATAACGACTTGCTTTTACAGAAATGTTTATCTTTTCATTGAGTATGCAAATTGTACACATGACTATTATTATCTCTACAGAAACTTTTGTGCAGAATATTAAGTTAATTAGTTCACTTTGCAAACTTAACGAAACTACATAATAAAATATAATAATAGACTAGGAAAAAAAAGAGGAGGAGAAAAATAAAATAACAATTATTAATACTAGTTCACACTATAAAGTTAAAAGGCTAATTATTATATTTATATTGCAAATTTTACAATTAGTAAGAAATCTATTTTCTAATAATTGACACTCAAATTAATAACTCGATAGTTGTCCGTTAAACATGATGTAACATTCCGTATATGACTTTGTGTTTTACAATTGTTGTAATTACACACATTTGTAAGCCATTCATTTGACTTTAAACTTTGGTTAAACATTGTTAACACAAACTGAATCACATGTACTTGTACATTTGCAAGCAATTAGATTCGAATTTTCTTTCAAATATTGACATAAAAATTCCTTTAAAAATTTTATTCAATTAGCGTTAACTGCATGACATAAGGAAACTAGGATCTTCATAACTATTTTTCAAACATAATGTGATTTTTAATTTTAAACCTGACAATCACGAGAATCTAATTCATCTTTTGCCGATTGTTACAATCTGCTTCCGATTGTTACAACTTTTATAGATTTTCAATTAAAATAATTTTTATCAAGAAAAATTATCTTTAGAAATACTTCGTAAAAAATATATACTTTACCATAAATCTAATGGACATATTAAAGTATAATGATTTCGTCGGTGTTTTTTAATATGTATTGTAATCAAACGTGAATTATGTTACATAAGTTATAATATAATTGATAATTGTGTCTGAAAGTTTTGACTTGAGGTTATGCACTTGGTTTCAAAGTTGCAAACCGCATTAATAATAGTCATACTATATGTACTCTTTAACTAATAGGTGAATAAAAAAACCTAATTTTTTCATTTCTTTTTAAATTTGTTCAATTCTTTATAAATAATGAGTCACTTGAAAAATATTCACGGACAAAAGAGTTTTTAGTTATAGGTGCATCGATATAAACTGGAATTTTGGAAAATAACTTTCTTTACGATAAAACGGCTAAGTTTTTATCTTTAATATAGGTTTCCACTTATTTGAAATATGTGTGAAATGAGTATTTGTTTACGATTTTATCGAAGGTCAATCATAATTGATATACTTTGCATGATATCAAAATGGTATCAATGACATATTTTCCAATACAACTGCGTCGAATTTTTTTCAAATATTGGACAATATGACAATATTGTCCAATGTTCTATACAAAAAATTAATTACTCTTTAAATTTTATTCAAATTTTAAAAAATTCTTAGTTTCTTATTCTTTTATATGTCGTGATTGTATTCACTGGTTAAAAGACATTTTGAACACTTTAAAAAGATAAATATAACTTTGGAGCCGATTTTGAGTATTTAAGGTTCAATTTTGATATCTAAAATCGCTGCTGCCACTAAATTTGATTTTGTTTTTTTTATAATTCTAACTATTTTCATTTTCCAAAAAAATATTGATTCACTCTAAAAGTGATTCGATACAGAAGAAAATGTTTCTAATATATTCTAAAATTCGATTATTTATAAAAAATTACGAACGCAACTCTTCAGAAACTCAATTACTTAGCACTTTATTCATTTTACATTGCAATGTAAAAAAAGAAGATAATTTTTAAATTAAAATTTTCAATATTTAACAGAATAAAATCCTGTATTTAAAAGTTACAAAGTGAAAGTAAATAATCAATTCATGGTATTACGGAAGGTCCTGAAATTTTTATCATTCAGTTAGTGAATAAGTAAAAACATCTCTAACAACTATTGACTATTCAAAATATACGACAAACGTCTTGCAAATTATCCTAATGCTCTAAATAAGTAGAATGAGTGAAATGTCGTCTATTAAATCAAATTAGAGAAACTTTATATACTAATTTTAATAAAATTTTACTATTTTATTTAGAATTCTTACGTTTTTTACGCAAGTTTTAGTGTAAAATTACTAAGAATCAGAAGTAAATTTTACTAGAATTTAAATTATTACTTATGCTTATTAAGTTATAATTTTACAATTAAAAATTCAAAAAATAATTAAATTTTATATAATCGTAGGTAATCAATAATATAATAAATAAATTTATAATTATATTCATATAATTATATAATCACAAAATTATTCCTCATAAATTATTTAACAACTTCACTTAAAAATTCTAAAAATAATTGAAAATTTTTAGAGTTGCATTCTACATTTTTATACATAATTGAATTTTAAAAAGTTCTTTCAAATTGAAATTTTATAATGTTGGAAAAAACGATCTCCAAGAGGACATGTCAATTAAAAATTTCTCAATTTGACGTTTCGTTTTTTCCAACATTCTAAATAATTAACAAAGAAGGACGTTATCAAGATCATTCCATAGATTTATATTATTAGAAATTTTATAAATATATTTTTAATTAAAAATTCTCAAAATTTTTTTTAAATAATTGATTTGGAGAAGAATTTTATTTAAAAATTCTAGATAATAATTGAATTTAGTTAATAGTAAAAAATAAAAAAAAATAAGTTTATTTTACAATATTTATATAAATAATTAAATTTCAAAAGGTTTTGAATTGAAATTTTTAATTATCTAATTTCAATTAAAAATTCTGAAATAATTGAATTCAAAAAGGTTGTTTCAAATTGATATTTTAAATATTTTTAATTAACAATTCTTATAATTATGAAGAAGTTAATAACAGAAATATTTGTATTTAAATTTTCCAGAAATTAATTGAATTTTGAAATATATATTGAATTGAAAAATTTTCGAATATTCGAAATTTCGTAAAATATAATTTTAACCAAGTAGAGTTTAGAACTATATTTTAGATAAAATTTCTTTTTTTTTAAATAATTGAATTTTCAAAGAATTTTCTCAAAAAATTTTTTAAAATAATTGATTTAGAAAAGAATTTTACTTAAAAATTCTAGATAATAATTGAATTTAGTTAATAGTAACAATAATAAAATAAGTTTAGTTTAAAATTTTTATAAATAATTGAATTTTAGAATGTAGGTATATATAATTGAAACATTTTCGAATATTCGAAATTTAGTAAAATTGAATTGTAAACAAGTAGTTTGTAGTATTATTTTAGATAAACTTTTGTTATTTCTAAATAATGTAATTCTAAATAAAGAACTTTTTCAAAAATCATTAAAAGTTCTAGAAAATAATTGAATTTTATGAGTTTTGTTTATAATTTTTATAAACAATTAAATTTCAAATAGTTTTAAATTGGATTTTTAAATAAATTAAATTATAAATTGTTAAAATTCTGAAAAACTTAGTAATTGGAAAATTTTTGTTCAAAATTTTCAAAAAATTAGTTACATTTTTGAATATATATCAGGGAATTTAATATTTTAATTAGAAAATTTTTTCAAATAATCGTAATTTCGTAAAATTCAATTGTAATTCAGAATTATTTTATGTGAATTTCGAAAGTGGAAAAAATTCCTAGGAAAGGATGGAAATTCCAACAGGAAATTTCGATTGAAAATGAAAATTTTGATGAATCTTATTTTTATGGCTTTTGTACACTTTTTTCCATTTTTGTTGGCAGGAGAAGAAGAATATAAAATATTGTAAAACATATACACTGTAAAAAATTTAGGGAGTTGACGGTCACTGGAGTTGGGAGTGAAATTTTTCGAGTTAAAAATCAACTCTAAAAGGGAGTTAATTATTAAATTAACTCCCTTTTAGAGTTGATTTTTTTTTATTTTTTTGGGTGCGATATTTATAGAATCCTCTGGGGAGTTAAAATTTAACTCCCTTTTTTTTACAGTGTGAATAAAATATAATAAAGTGATAAGAATGTAAAAAGAAATTTTTTTTATAACTTATAATAGTTGGTAAGTGAGAAAAGTAAACTAAATAAGTGAATAATGAAGTTTAATTGAAATGTTTAATTTGCAGAAAAATCGCATTGGTAATCATATTGACGAGAGCAGGTCTGGATCTTGATCCGCGTGCTTTGAAGAGTATGAAAATAACTGTGCCAAAGTTAGGCCTAATTCCCTGGTTCGTGGAGGCACTCGTCGTGGCTGTGTTGACAAGGTACTTATTGAACTTGCCATGGATTTGGGGTTTTCTTCTCGGCAGCATAATCGCCGCCGTTTCGCCGGCAGTCGTCGTCCCCTGCCTCTTTCGACTGCGAGCCAAAGGATATGGAGTTGCCAAGGTACATTACAATTATTACAAGAATACTTTTGTCACTGTTTTAATGATGCATCTCTCTCAACCTCAAGTAGTATCGTCCCGTGAGACGTACGTGCTCTGTGCAGTTTGCGCCCTAACGCTTTCATTGGCTAACAAGCCAATGAAAAGCAAAGTGAGAAACATGACAAATATACGCAAATATACACATGGCTTGTTTCATTTCAACTTGAAATCTTCTTTCGAGAGTTTAGTAGGTACTAGCTGCCATTAGCATCGAAGAATGTGCCCTTTCTCTAAAGATCCTGTGGGATTATATATCCTCGCCATCCTCGCTCTTCATCCTCGAATTTTGCTAACGACCAAGTGTGCTTCAATCCAACTTCGTTTCGCGCGAAAACTCGAACCAACTTTTGTTCAGCACAAAAGGAATTATCTCCACAAAACCTTATTCCGCATTCACGCTTGTCACTATCAAATGCTAGAAACTTCGTTTATCATTTTTTTTTTAGTTTCTACTTCAATTAAATTTAGATTAATTTCATTGTTGTACATCAGAAAAATAATTAATTTCACAAAAAAGTCTTTTACAATGTTAAAAAATTCTATATTTAAATACACATTTTCAGATCCTCTCACTTCTCTTTTAATTATATTTCGAATTTTTCTTCTTCTTTTTTTTATTACTTTTTGACCTACTTCCATAGAATTGAAATTCATTAGATCTCTCTTTTGAAAATCTCGAGTTAGCCAAGTCTTATTAAATCCTATTTTACACAACGGCTATGTGTCTTATGTTTATATCTTCTTTTCATCTTCACTCTTACATGTGTACAGTTTTATTTGTAACAAGTTTTCTTCTGCAATGCTTAGAAGTAAAAATTCGAGAGGAATAAAAAGTCTGTCTCTGTGAAAATATTGGCCTGCTAGAGTGCTCATATCAACTATATGAGCTTTTAAAGAGAAATTTCTTTTTATAAAATCACTTTTTTTTAAAGTACAGGGATGCCACGCTTTTGCTTTTTTTCAAATTCCCTGACTTTTTCAGGTTAAAAAACAGAATTTTTTCAGGTTTTTCCAATAATTTTTCTACCAAATTAAATAACTACCTGATTTACAAACTTTTTCCTGATTTCCAGACAAAATTTTTTCTTTGACACTAAAGAAGTTTATTTTTAAATAAATAATCATTATTACTTTTTCAAAGAAATTAAGATTTTCAAAAGTTATAAACTATTGAAAATCTATATTTAATAACGTAATAATCACAGGCTTCGAACTCAATTATTTTATTTAAAAATTAGCAGAAAGTAGCTTTAAGACTTAAAAAAGTATCAAAAAATACTAAAAATTTACTATTGAAAAACTAAATTTTGCGACTAAAAAACTTTTATTTTAGACAATTCACAAAATTCTTAATTTTATTCTGTATTTTTCTGACATTTTCCTGATTTCCATAAAAAATTTTGTTTTTTTTCTGGTAGGAACTTCAATTCTAAATTTTAAACTTCAATTATTTTCCAAAACTTTTAGTTAGAAATTTTAGAATTCTTCAAAAATTCGATTATATTTTTTCAAAATAATTTTTAAGTAAGAAAATTTATTTTTTTAAAACATAAAATTTATTTCAATTAAATTTTACCAAATTTTTTATTAATTGGGAATTTAAATAAACATTTTTAATTTTTTTAATTTCTTCAATTAGAATTAAAATTTGAACCAATTTTAATTTAAAACCTTTTTCAAATTGTACAACATATTCTATAAAAATTCATATTTATAAGGCATTTAATATTCAATTATTATAATCTAAAATTTTAACTGTAATTTATATTTAAATCCATTTTTCTTCAAAAATTCTACGCGAATCCAATTATTTAAAAATTTAAATAAAAAGAAATGCGAAAATAAATAACTGATTGTTTCTTAAAATTGAATACTAAAAAAGAATTTTATCAAATAGAAAATAATTGATTTCTTTCGAAGAATATTAATAAAACTTTAGGAAAATAATTACATTTTTCGAGGAATTCATTTCAAATTGTATTCAAAATAATTCAAAAACGGTAAAAAAATTTATTATTTATAAAAATAATTGAATTCTAGCAGCGAATTTTATTATCTTTAAAAATAGTTGAATTCCTGCAACGAATTTTATTATTTATGAAAATAATTGAATTCCTGGGAAATATTTTATCATTTGTAAAAATAATTGGACTTTTTTTTTCATTTTATAAAAATTTAAAAGAATAATTCAAATACTTTGAATTCATTAAAATTGAATTAAAAATAATTGAATTTTTGCGAAGAATTTTATTAAAATTTTTGAAAATAATAATTGAATTTCTAAAGATAATTTTATTATTTATGAAAATGATTGAATTATTGTGAAGAAATTTATGAAAAATCTGAAAATAATTGAATTTCTGTGAAATTTCTATTATTTATGAAAATAATTGAATTCTTGTAACGAATTTTATTAAATTTTTTTAAATAATTAAATTCTTGGGAAAAATGTTATAATTTGTAAAAATAATTGAATTTTTGCGATGATTTTTATTACTTATGAAAATAATAATAATTTAACTATTATTTTTGAAAATTTCTTCAATCATTTGTAATTGCTTAATTAGATTTTAAGAATAAAAACAATAACTTTAGAATACAACAATTTTCCAGGATTCCGATCAAAATTCCCTAATTTTTTCAGGTTTTTTCAAGGTTTATAAAAATTGCCTGACATTTCCAGGTTTTTCAGGAATCCAGGTTTCCGCAGGTTGCGTGGCAACCTTGAAGTATCAAATTGATACCAAAAATTCGGATCAAACATTTGATCCACATTTTTGGTATCAGTTCGTTGCAATTTAACTGAGTTAACAGTGAAAAATTATATTTTTTCTTTTTAATTTTTTTTTTAATTTTTAATTTTCTTGATTAATGAGAATTAATAAGCGTACTTTAATTTTCAGGGTATTCCAACGTTAATTATTGCAGTGGCGGGCATAGATGATGCAGCCTCCGTTGCCATCTATGGAATCATCAAAAGTGTTATGTTTTCCCATGATGCTCTTTGGTATCAAATTCTTCAGGGACCGTTGGCCATTGTCGGTGGTCTGGGTTTCGGAATTCTCTGGGGATGGCTAGCGAAATATGTTCCTGAGAAAGGCGACGTAAGTTCCTCTTTCTTTGAACGCTCGAATAATAAAAGTCAATATATATTCTTACTTATTGCAGTGCTTTTAAATTTTATATAAAACTCTCTCTTCAATAACAATTTGTGAAACTTTTCAAGCGTTGATTGTTTCATTTTCAAATACTTTTTTCACTAATGTTTCTACTATGAAAATTTAATTAATAATAACTTAAAATTAACCTTCAGACAAAATTAACCTTATTTAGTAATTATTCATTTGTTTACTGATAATAATCAATAATTATTTTTCACTGATTAATGAACCAAAATCTTCCCATGCAATGAAAAAAATTAATTCTGAATTAAGATTAGATTTTAGAATATTTTCTACTAAATATACTAAATTTGAGAATAAAATTCCTAATTTGAGAATGACATTTTTTCGCTGTGGTATTTTATATAACTTATTCAAAGTCAGCAAGTGCAGTTGTGCAGCGAGTACGCAGCGAGTTTGTAGAGAGAAATATATAAAATATTTTTATTTACGTCAATAGAATACTTTGCAAATATGTGCAGGCGATTCCAGATGTCACTCGTTTCTCTCAGCAAAAAGAATACGTAGAATTTTATCCTATTTAATGCCGAGAATCGACAGACCGAAATGTTGGATTTGAGCAAACCCAAATAATCCCGAGCAAATGGATTTCATGATTGTATTCGAAACAAGGAAGTTAATTGAAATCAGAATTTTGACAAAGAAAGTTTTATATAAACTTTGATATTCTAGAATTAATAATTATATTTGCAATTATGAAAAGTTAACATTAAACTACCCTCGCAATTTACAACTGAAGATTTTAAAGTGAGATTTGATGAAAGTTGTCAAAAAAAAAAGTTTTCAAGCAGAATGATTTCTTTTTAAAAAGACAGAACATTTTTAAGAGAGTGATTAAGATCTAAAATAGTTGGAACGACTTCTCGCATGCATAAAAAATTCAATTTTCAACACGAAAGTTTAATCTCCAAAAATTTTTCATTTTAATTTTTCATTTTAAAATTATTATTTTTGCAATCAACAAAATTGAACTTTCTTGTACAAATGTAATAATTAAAATTTCTGACGATACTGTTTAAAGAAATTTTGTTGAAACTGTAATGGAATAATACTGAGAGAGTTGGATGTACTCGATAAAGTAGATAATTTTCTTTATTAGATTATTGAATCAGTTTGGTTGTGGCATTTAAGAGGGAACTCTCGTATTGAACCGACGAATCGAATTCAACAATTTAACGAAATGAATTCGAGTAACTGGATTTCAATGAAAATCAGGGTAGATTATGAAGGTTCAGGTTCTCTCGAAATCAACTACGAACTCACCTTTTCGTAATTAATGAAGCGTTGGTGTCATTATATAGCTTCAAGAGTTAATGTATAGATTCTGCAATCCTTCTGGTTCGAAAACTTTTTGGGGTACGTGGAGAACATAACAAAAGAGGAAAATAAACTTTTGTCTACAGTCTCTAGCTCTTGTTATTCTTTTTTCGAATGAAAGTATAATTTTTCAGTTAATATACATGTAAGCATAGAAAATTGGCAGAAAATTGGCATACAAACTCTTTTGAAAGTTGTAGTCGCGAAATAAGAAGAATAAAAATGAAAACATCGAGTTGATGCTTTTGGCCATCGAGGTAGCGTGGAATGGCAGTTGGGACAAAAGAGAAATTGATTCGTCGCAATTTGCTTCCGTTTCGACAAAGTGGCTCGTTCGAGGCGAAAGGGCTAGAACGCTAGAGGAGAGAACAAAGGAAAGGATGCCAGAAGAGAGAAGGATAGGAACTGGGCTAACAGGTCAGTTGGCATCGGCCATCTGCAGCTATTTTACTCGAAAATATAGAAGAGAATCTCGGTACTTGTTGGAACCCCTGCGAAATTCCTATCTGCTCACACGACTGATAATTCTGCTTAGTGTCAAATGCGAATTTTTAATTTTTCACTAAATTTAGAAAAGAGAAGACGAAAATTCTAAAGGACCAAGTAACAAAAACTGAAAAAGTTTCAACGAAATTCTCATGACATAGCAATGAACTTTTCTTTGATAAAATAGATGCGATGAAAAGTAATCCACGATAAAAACGAATTTTGGATTTAAAGTTGAAAAATGTAGATGAAAGAAAAATTTGTTGTCACTGGAAACTGATAGTGACTAAAGCAAGAAAAACCATCAGATAGAAAAATAGATTGCAAACCAAAATGCGTCGTTATTTATTGAGTATTTATGCAGGCAACCAAATAAAGATTTCCTGCGAAATTTTGTTTTCTAATTTAAAACAAATTCTTTCACTCTTCATAATGAATTTTAACATTAGTCTCACACAGGGCTCGAACTAGATCCGAAAATCCCGTAAAGGTCCGTAAATTTGTTTTAAGTCCGTAAAAGTCAGTTTTTTTGAAAAAAGGTCCGTAAAGTCCGTAATTCGTAAATTGTACAATATAATTTGGAGAATTTTAGACAAATTACAAATGACTGCAGAAATTCAATTATTTTCAAAAGTAATAAAATTCTTCACAGAAATTCAATTATTTTTAAAAATTTTAACGAATATCTCGTCAAGAATTCAATTATACCTTTAAAAATAGCAAAATTTTTCACCAAAAATTCAATTATTTTCAAAAATTTAAATAAAATTCTTTGCAAAATTTCTATTATGTTGAAAAGTTTTTCCCAATTCAATAATTTTCAATAGTCACTATTCTGATAAAATTTATCAGAATATTTTATTGAAAAAAATTTTTGATACAGTTCTACGAAAACATTTAATTTTTTTCATAAATAGTAAAATTTCATTCAGGAATTCAATTATTTTCATTGCAGAATTTCAAATATTTTTAATACCTACAATTTAAAATCAATTGTTCGAAAAATGCAATTTTTTAAAAAAAATTTATAAAAACTTGACGAAAGAATTCAATTTTAATAAACATTCATTAATTTAGAATAATAATAAAATTCGTTGTAATAATTCAAATTTTGTCATAAATAACTTTTAATTCGTCGCAGAAAATCAATTATTTTCAAAAACTTTCTAAGTAATTCTGCAAAAGAATTCAATTATCTTGATAAAAAACAAAATTCTTCACATAAAATCAATTATTTTAAGGAATTTTAATAAAATAGTTTTCCAATATTCAATTATTTTTAATATCTACTATTTTAATGAAACTTTCCAAAAAAATTCAATTATTTAAAAAAAAATTGTGATACAATTTTACGAAAACATTAAATTATTTTCATAAATAATAAAAATTTCACAGGAATTCAATTATTTACAAATTTTTTATAAATTTCTTCGCAATAATTTAATTATTTTCAAAAATAATAAAACTCATTACGTTATTTTAATCATTTTAATATTTTAAATAAAATTTTAATCGAATACCTCGAAAAATGTAATTATTCTTAAAAATTTTATTAAAATTTGTCAAAAGAATTCAATTATTTAAAAATTTATTTTATTTATTAAATTTATTTTTACTTTTTCAAATTTATTAATAATATTCTTTATGGGAATTCAATTTTAAGAAACATGCAATTATTCAATAAATTGTTTTCTTTTTGGATTTAAATAATTGAATTCTAGTAGAATTTTCTAATAAATAAAAATTGATATGAAAATGGATTTCAATTAAAATTGTAGATAATAATTGAATATTAAAAGCAATTTAGCGTGAATTTTTAGAAAGAATTGAATTTTGAAAAGGTTTCATATTTAAAAACTTTGAAAGTTTCATTTTTTCATATTTTTAACTAACAATTAAGTAGAATTAATTTTTTTGAAAAAGTTCAATTAAATTTTTTTTGAAATTATTTTATTTGTTTATTAGAATTTAATAATTATTTTTAATTTCATTTTTAATTACATTTCTTGAATGAATTCAATTATCAAGAATTTTAATGAAATTTCGAAAAAATTCAATCATCTTTACGGATAATAAAATTATTCTCAGGAATTCAATTATTTTCAGAAATTTTTATAAAATTTTTCGCAAGAATTCAATTATTTAAGAAATATCAATAAACTTCCTAAGAATTCAATTATTTTTTAAATAATAAAATTCATCGCAGAAATTCAATAATTTTTTAAAATTTTAATAATAATTTTTCAAGAATTCAATTATTTTTAATACACAATTATTTAAAATGATTTTGATATAGTTTCTTTATTAGAATTTAATGATTATTTTAATTTTTGTTTTTAATTATATTTTTTGAAAGAATTTTGTAACAAAATTTTAATGAAATTCTTCGGAAAAATTCAATTATCTTCACGGATAATGAAATTATTCGGAGAAATTCAATTTTTTTTTAGAAATAATAAAATTTTGACTGGGGTTTAACAATTGAATTCTAGTAGAATTTTCTCATAAACATTGATTTAAAAATGGATTTCAGTTAAAATTTTAGATTAAAATTGAAATTTAAATTCCGTAAATTTTTAGAAATAATAAAGTTTTGAAAAGGTTTCAGATTATAATCTTTGAAAATTTGAATTTTTCATGTTTTTAACTAACAATTGTATGGAATTAATTTTTTTGAGAAACTTAAAATGCGGATTTTTTTGAAATTATTTAAAGTTTTTATTTTCTAATATAATTATATTTTATAGAAGAATTTACAAATAATTGAAACTTTGTAAAATTGAATTGTAAACAAATGAATTAGAAAATTCTCAAAGAACTTTTTCAAAAGTTATTAAAAATAATACATTTATAGAAGAATTTTTTTATTTAAATTACAAATTTTTTTCAGTTAAAAACACGAATAAAAAATTTAATTTTGGAAAAGTTATCACTCGGTCATTTTTAATTATTATGAAACATGAAGAAAGCGATCACTCCGAGTCGATGACTCGGAGTTATCGATATTTTTATGTTTTATAGTTATGAAAAATTTAATTTATAGTTTTAAGTAAAATGTTCTGGTTATATTTTTGTCATTGGTCCGTAAAGTCCGTATTTTTAAATACTTTCACTGGTTCGAGCCCTGCAGTCACAATGTTTGAAAAGTACGACCAACTGTTAGACACATAAAAAAGTTTACATAGAAATGTTTTCACAAAGATGTTTTAAGATGAAAAATGTATACAACCGAAAGTAGTTACAATTCAAATCAAACTTTGCTTTGAGATACATTCTGTGAAAACAAAATTAAGTACGCTCTGGCACTGTGACATACCAACATACATTATATACATACGTACATACTATAATTCTTAAAGGATATGAATTTCGCATGGCAAACGAAGTTTCTATCTCTTACCAGAAGCTATTTTCGATGAAAAATCGATAATCTGAGAAGCGAAACCTTCGATGCTCTGCATCGTCCTAGAGAATACAAGAAGATCACATTCCAGGAAAAAGGATAGCATCTGCAATTCTGAATATGCAAGTGTGGAGCACCGGGGAAGACGCAGAAAAAGGAAGAAAATATAAAGATAGAATTCGAGAAAAGGGAAAAGTACCGACGAAAGAAAATGGAAGGAGAGAAAAACAACTTTAAAAATGTGTTCTGTCTATACTAACACAAGCAATAATTCAAATTGTCATGATTGTAGAGAAATAAATATAATACAACAATAGAGACCACTAGATTGCTAATCGTAGAGGAGACTCGAACACCTGTAATAATCGAATTCAACATTATAAATTTATTCGAGTTGAAAAACGATATGAAATTCCTCTCAATATAAATTTACCGCATATCATTGATTTGTCGCGTTTCAAGCTTGTACATCGACATGCATACAAATTATCTCTTTTTTTATATTTCTACTGTTCTGAGTTTGATCAGTTTGAGTTTGATTATCGCCACCTTTTATGAAAATTAAATTGGAGAATTATTTTTGTACAATATTTTTCTGTGTGAGAAAAAATCTTTGCGGCTTAGGTGTTTGGTAATAATTTGTTTGAATGTTACAGCCTTTTATGGTGCCCATGAGGGTGCTAATGCTGTTAGGAGGAGGACTGCTTGCAGTATTTGGAAGTGAACGAATTGAACTTGGAGGCGCTGGTCCTTTGGGTGTAGTAGCGGCAGCTTTTGTGAGCTGCTATTTTTGGGAAAAACAAGGCTGGGAAGTCGAAGATGTGAGTAACTGTATAAATACTATAAATACACATTTGTCCTCTGATCAGTTGCTAATTATATATACCTAACAATTATATATAGTGACAGCATCAAGTTCAAACAAAAGGCTATATCTGTGCGGAATTTTAATAACTGATACTAGTCTAACCTATGTAATCAGTCCTCGGATGGACAATAAGGCGCAAACAGAGCCGCTTTAGTCGATTAAAAAATTAAAAATACAAAAATTTAATTTTCTATTTTTTTGACTTTTCATTAATCTATAAAAATTCAGAATAAATGAGAAATTATTTGTAATAGTTAAAAACTACTTTTTATACATCTATAGGACTATATTGAAAACATCCACCGGTATTGCTAGCAGAAAAAAATTATTTATGTACACAAATCCCCTCTCCATTACCGCAATATTCGTCATTTGCTTAAGGCTATCCAAATCTCTAACTTGGCTTACATATACTAAGTTATGTGTATCTCCTTCCAACAGAATGATAATTTATGATAACCATCGTGCAGGCTACAGGAGACAAAATCCTTCTTGTGAGAGAAAACAGTAACTTTTCAAGTTTAGAAACTGTCTTGAATAAATCCTACGTCCAAATCTCTTCTTTCTCTACTTCTTTCGAGTTTCTTCCTGAAATTTACAATAATTAATTTGCAGAACAAACTTCAAGAATAAAAAATAAACTTTCCAAGTTTCAGAAATAGCCATTTGTATATATATTAGCAAATTGTCACTTTATGCGAATGAAATGATGTAAATAATATTCGCCTTATATACAAAATATAATTGAGATTTTATCTCATCGCTTCCTGTGGGAACAAGATTGATGATCTACTGATCTTTTCACTTCAAGTCTTGTGTGTTTTCTTGCAACTTTTGCAAGTATCAATTATCTTTTTTATTCGCGTTTTCGTTTTTACAGCCTTGAAATATCGGCAATGCACTTTCGTGTCGTCAATCTATCATCCACAACTATAAGCTCTTGTGACATATTCGTGGCTTCTTCCCTCAACTAAGGTTTCGAAACATCTTTGCGCATTTTAGCAAAGGCGTCTTTAACTTTTTCTCTGTAGGAAAGCATTTCTTATGTCGTAAAAGATGCTATGCGCTATAATGTCAGAGTCTTGACTCAAATAATTCCTTATACAAAAAGGAGACATTTTAATATTATATTTAATTTACTCTTGTTTCAAATTTTCTTCTTGATAAAAAATTGCTCCTACGTGGTCACCAATTATTAAACTCAAAAAATTACAAATTTGATTCAAATAAAAATTCTCTCGGTGAATAAAGACAATTTTTAACAAAATAGGTTTAAACAAATTTGATCGAAAAATAAGCATTTTTGGACAGTTTTACGATTTAAATTAAAAATTAACACTTTTACATAATTTTAGAGTTTTTTTGAAAAAAAGAAAGTGGTATTAACCAAAATAAAAAAAGTTCCTTTGCTCTGCAGAAAAATAAAAATAGTTCGTGCGACAACGAATTCCATATTATAATTAAATCTACTTGTTTTATAGCCGGTACTTTATCTTCATCTTTGACGGATGTTCTCAATTTACCTTTAAATTATTGCAGTGTCCATTATAACGATCTTGATTTGCGAATCATAAGATTTTCTAATCCTTGAAACAAATGATTAGAAGGCAAAATCTATTTTAAGAAATTTAAAATAAAAGTATACGCATTGTATACATTTGTTTGTGTAATTAAATATTCATATACGGAGAAAAAGATTTAAGTCTTCCTCTTTATAATACAATTGTTATGCATGAAGAGATGGAATAGATTTTTTAGCTGCATACAATAGCGTTGTATTTTCGAATTTTCAAATTTTTAAAGTAGAAAATGTCCAAGGTGATTCTCATTATTTGTTTTCTAATTTTTTCTAGGATAAGTGTGTAAAGAAAACATTTTAAGGTTATTTGATCTTATTACTCCCGGAGGAATTTTATATAAAAGAAATTACTTATAAGTTATATTGCAAAGCAATTTGTAAAAAAGGTATTTTCATTTGCACGTGAAGGCCGAGAATGTTGTCCCAAGGGAACTACATATTCCGCATAGAGAAAAAAATTTTAGTTGCTTTAGCTAACATTTAGCTAACCCGGAAACTAAAGTCAATTGCTATTATGTGGATAGTATCCCTAGACAGAGTTGCCACAAAAATTTCATTTTGTTTCCCCTGATTTCCAGACCAAATTTTGAATTTTTCCTAACCCCAAAGAATATTTTGATTCACTATCAAAATTATTAGATACTAAAAAAATGTTCTATTACATTTTATTTACGAATTTCTTTAATTGCAAAATTATTCGAAAACATTAATATGTTCATTTTTCAATAAATATTTAATCATTATTATTTTTCCATAGGAATTAAGATTTTTAAAAATTTCAAATTCAAACCTTATTCTTGAAATTAAACAACTTATAAATTGTTATAAAACATGAAGATATCGATCTCTTTCTTCATGTTTTATATAAATTAAGTATGACTGAATGATAAAACCATTATTTTATATTATAAGAATATTGTTAACTTCTTCAAAATTAATTTCATCATTTCAATTCAATTACTATTTTATAGAATTTTTAACTAAAATTCTTCTCTAAAATCAAATATTTTTAGTAATTTTTGAAGTTCTTTGACAATTTTCAGATCCATTTGTTTACAATTCAATTTTACGAAATTTCGATTATTCGGAATTTTAATTTTATTATTTATGGAAATAATTCAATTATTGTGGAGAAATTTAAAAAAAAATTTGTAAATAATTGAATTCCTACATAAAATTTTTAATATTTATGAAAATAATTAAATATTTTCGTAGAATTGTATCAAAATTTTTTAAAAATAATTAAACTCTTTTGGAAAACTTTATTAAAATACTAGATATTGAAAATAATTAAATTGAAGAAAATTCTTGAAAATAATTGAAATTTTGCCAAGAATTTTTTTTAAATTTCTGAAAATAATTGAATTTTGGAGAAAAATTTTATAATTGAAATTTTAACGAGAATTTAAAAAAATGTTTGAATATAATAGAATTTCTGCAAAGAATTTTATTGCTTTTGAAAATAATTGAATTTCTGCAATCATTTGTAACTTCTACAAAAATTCAATTTTTTCAAAAGAATTAATTCTACAAAATTGTTAATTAATACTACCTATGAAAAATTCAAATGTTCAAAGATTTTAATTTGAAATCTTTTTAAAATTCAATTATTTTTAAAAATTCACGCTATAATGCTGATAATATTCAATTAATATTTAAAATTAAAACTAAAATTCATAACTAAATCAATATTTATTAGAAAATTGTACGAGAATTAAATTATTTAAATACAATAATAAATAATTTATTGAATAATTGAATGTTTCTTAAAATTGAGTTCTCATAAAGAATTTCGTCAAAAGTTCTGAAAATAATTGAATTCTTTGACGAATTTTAATAAAATTTTTAAGAATAATTACACTTTTCGAGGAATTCCATTAAAATTGCATTAAAAATAATTGAAATTCTCAGATAAGCTTTATTATCTATGAAAATAATTGAATTCCTTTGGAAAATTATATTAAAATATGCGATAGATACCTATTGAAAATAATTGAATTGTGGATAATTTTTTAAAATAATTGAAATTTTGCCATAATTATTTATAAAATATAATTGAATCCTTGTAAAAAATTTTATTATCTATGAAAATAATTGAATTAGTGCGAAGAAATTTATAAAAAATTTGTAAATAATTAAATTACTGTAAAATTTTTATAAAAATTTAAATAATTAAATGTTTTCTTAAAATTGTATCATAATTTTTTTTAAATAATTGAATTCTTTTGGAAATTTTAATTAAAATATGTTATAGATGTTAAAATCTTTGAATTGCGGATACTTTTTAAAAATAATTGAAATTTTGCCAAGAATTTTATTAAAATATTTGAAAATCGTAACATGCGTTTTTTGTGGGACTGCTAATTATTAGCTAGCGTGAAAATATTTACGTAGAATAAATAAAAAAATTCTCACTCATGGAAAATAAAATTATATTCACCTATGAAATACTTTTTTCTTAAATGAAAAAAAACCTGAAAAAAAATCTCCCACCAAAGAAAATAAGTTAATAAAATATTTTACTAACTTTTCTTCTTGGTAAGATTTCTTCTCAAGTTATCGATGTTTAAATGAATTCTTTAAAATAATTAGATAAAATTCTCACATAATAATTAGATTAATTAGTAAAAGATTACTTTTGACATCATTTTGGTCTCTTTGCACTTTCTTAAATTTTTAATTCTATTAATTAAACACGATTCTCAGTGCAGTATGAACTCATAAGAGATTTTCAATTTATTTTTATCTCCGTTATTCCCTCTCTGATATAGTATATTGTTAATTAATAATTATATTATTTGTTTCAATATTCATGAACATTTTTAAGTACTCTTTTATATGTATAGTAATTTTTTGAGAAACTTTTTTTATTCCTCAGCTTTTATTACTTGATGTCTCTAGTATTAAAACTCTAATAACTGTTTTTAATTTTATTGTTTTTCATTATCTATCTGCTATAATAAGAAGAAGAAATAAATTTGTGTTCGCAATATTGAAATATTTCAATTTAGTCATGTAAATGCAATAAAAGTTTTAATGAAATTGGCGATATTATTATTAATCTTTCGAGCATTTTATTTTTTGTAGGTTTGATTATAAGGGGTCGTTCGCAAACTACGTCACACTCCTAGGGAAAGGGGCTTTTGCTGGAAATTTTTTTTAGTTTTATATGTAAAAAATGTGATGAAAGAGGGAGGGGTCTAAAATATCGTGACCTAGTTTTTTAAAGTCAAAGTGACTGCATAACAAATATATTTTTGTTTATAAATGTTTATAAAATTGTTTATATAAATGTTTATAAATGTTTATAAAATTGTTTATATAAATGTTTATATAAATGTTTATAAAATTGTTTATACACTGAAAAAAAAAACTAGTAGATTTGACTACTTTTTAACTACTCTACGTAATTCAATAGGTCCTCAACTGAATTCAAATAGTTGTACTAACTGTCATAAAAGCAGTTAAGACAACTAAGAATGTAGTTGGTTGAATGTGATTTAGTAGTTTATTTGACTAACTTTAAAGTAATTATAACAACTAAGATTTTGGTAGTAGATTTTACTACTTAAAGTAATTCGATAGGCTTTAACGACATTTTTGTTGTAGAATTAACTATTATTTTGTTTTTAAATCTACTACTTTAAGTAGTAGGTTTTACTACCTAAAGTAATTCGATAGGCTTTAACGACATTTTTGTTGTAGAATTAACTATTATTTTGTTTTTAAATCTACTACTTTAAGTAGTAGGTTTTACTACCTAAAGTAATTCGATAGGCTTTAACGACATTTTTGTTGTAGAATTAACTATTATTTTGTTTTTAAATCTACTACTTTAAGTAGTAGATTTTACTACCTAAAGTAATTCGATAGGCTTTAACGACATTTCTGTTGTAGAATTAACTATTAAAAGTAGTTAATGATCTGTTTTATAAAGTAAAAATTAACATCTTTTTGTTTTTGTCAGCAACTACTTAAAAGTAGTAGAATTATTTATTATTATTTATTAATTATTATTATTACTGAAATTCATTTTTCATCTCCTCTAGCATTCCTATTGGTCACATATACTTTATAATTTTCAACACTTATGTACATAATGGAGAAAAATCCTCAAACGCCGGGGATTGAACGCACGACCCTAACATTCGCAAACCGATAACCTAACCACCTAACCACGCTCGCACGCTACGATGGTCTGCATGAAACCTGATGACATTCTTGACATAGATCAACCGACAACTGTAGTTCATTTTACAATGTAATGTAGTAGTATTTACTACTTTTACTAGTTCTTTTTATCTTCTTTAAATTCTTATTTCTGAACTTTGCTTTATTTAAAAATGCTGTTCAATCCTTTCTAATTACTTTAAGTAGTACAATCTACTACTCAATGTAGTAAAACTTAAGTTCAAAAAGTTAAAATTATCTATTATTTTCTCACCAAAACTACTGCATTGTGTAGTAGATTTTGCTACTTAGAGTGGTTCGATAGGCTTCAACAATATTATTCATTTATTTTTATTACTCTAATGTTGAAGTCAAATCAACTACTATAACTACATAAAAGTTGTAAAGTCTATTACACGAAAAAGGTTTGACTAATAAAAAAATTAGTTCCCTCTACTACTTCACGATAGTCAGTTGTGCAAGTCACGTGTTGTTTCAAATTCAACCGTATAAATTCTTTAATTCAACAATTTGGTGTTAACTATATTAAAGTAGTAAAATTTACTAGTTAAGAAAGTGTTACGTTACTTACAAAAGTAGTCCCTTTTACTACTTTCTATTTATTACTATAAAATTGTTAAATTTACTACTTATGAAATGTTGAGTAAACTATTATCTTAGTTGTTCTTACTTCAGCACTGTAGTCAATTCTACAACTTACCTGTTGTTAAAATTTAACTACATATATTAGTAGAATCAACTACTATTTATCAACTACATAAAAATAGTTAAATTAACTACGCAAACCGGGTTAGACTAACTAAAAAAGTAGTTGTTTTTACTACTTTTCACTTAACTACCCAAAGGTAGTTGAATTTGTCAGCCTAATTTTTTTCAGTGTATAAATGTTTATAAATGTTAAAATAAATTTTTAAATACAAAAGAAATTTTAATAAAGTGCAATTAGACTTATAGAAGTATTTTTCGCTAAAACAGTTTTCTTTTTATTTTAGAATCCAGTAGCTACTGCCTTTGAAATATTCTGGATGATCTTTGAGCCAATTCTCTTTGGAATCACGGGAACTCAAATTAAGATCTCCGAATTGGAGGAAAGCACCGTTTACCTGGGACTTGGTTGCCTCGCTGCAGGGATTATAATTCGCATATTAGCAACGATCCTCGTGGGAATTGGTTCGAATTTAAATATGAAGGAAAAAGTGTTTATTGCCATTTCTTGGATGGCGAAAGCCACAGTGCAAGCAGCTCTCGGTCCTGGCACACTCGACTGTATTGATGAGAAAAACGAAGAGCAAGTTCATCACGCCGAAACGGTTTTGACAATTTGCGTTCTATCAATTTTACTCACCGCACCTGTAGGAGCCATTATAATATCATTATCGGGACCAAAACTTTTGAAAAAGACTTCGGCACCAGTGGCCGTGACAGATGGCTGGAGGACACGCCGACCTTCAATTCGTGATATTTCAATCATCAATGAAGATCCTGACTTAGAAGAAACTGCCGAGAATGGAAATAGAGTCGAGAATGGAAAAGCCTGATATAAAGTTGCTGATGGCTTTTACCTATATATACTTCTATATACATATGCTCTGGAAAAAATCAAATTTAAATCCTCTCAAAAAGATTTCATAAAAGTCCTCAATATCCTTTTGAAAATCGATTCTTCAAAACCAACTTACACCTAGTAAAAATTTTACTCCCATTTACAATCTAATTTAGCAGGAATCATATAAAATAACCAGTATTTAATTTTAATCTTTTTCGAGTTGATTTTTATCAAGAAATTCTCAGAAAGTTTTACTCACAATTTCAGTAGACTATAACTTTTCGAATTGTACATATTGAAATGTAATGAAAGAAAAAAATTCATCAGTGATTTTTTTTTTTTTTTTTTGAAAATGCGATTTAGATAATAAGGAAAGAAAGTCAGAATTTATAATATGAATAATATAGAAACAATTTTTTTAAAACAACGAAAACCTGAAATCAGAGATTTACAACTGATATTTAAAACACATATCGACTGTATAAATTAAAAAAATATTTTTTCTATATAACTTTTAAATTCTAAAATCATGCAATGATGTAAAAAATAATGAAAGCGTCAATTACGTTTTATATGCGGAATAAGTATGTTGAAATGAACGTAAATGAAATTAATAATTAATGAAAATGTGCTTTGAGCTTAAATATAAGTTCTCTTGGAGAAAGGTATGATATAAAAGAATGAGATTCTTACAATGTATAGACACATATAATGAAAGTTACAAATCATTATTAGAGTATATATATATTATGTATCTTGATCTGAACGTGAAAGAAATATAATTAGGGGTGTTTCATTTGATCATAAAAAGACTTCTAATTCTTAATCTTTTCTGAGTCTTTATACATATACATATATGTATATGTACCTTATATATAAGTAATAGATCTTCGGAAATAACGCAATACACTATATATATATAGTATTTTATGTAGATAAATATACATATATTCTTTTAACTCTTCTGTATAGTAGTGAGAATTGTAACAAATTATTTGAAAACTGTCAATTTTTATTTTTCAAAAATTGAGTATATGTATAGTGAAATTGCGATAAACTCTGGAATAAGGATGTGATAATTGTTAAATAAAAGTAATTTTTCACTATACTGAAGCTTTGAAGTTTTTTACCATTTTAAAAAATATAAATCCCTCTTCTTGCCATAGCAGGAAATATTGATGTAATTAATCTTCAATACTGGTGAAAAAAATCTCTTGAGAATTTTACTAATTTGCTTTTTATTTGATATTTTGTATATATGGCAAAGTAAAAAATAGGCAAATTCACATTAAAAATATACTTAAAAGTATTCTGCGCGACATTTTGGAACAATTATTATTATATATTTTTCATATACCTGCATGCACATGCTCAGACATTTACATATACATTTATGTATAATAAAGCTTTTTTACGGGATATTTACAGGATATCCTGTGAAGTAATAAAAAAATGCAATATTGTAATATAGAAGACATTTTCCTTTTTTACAAATATGATTAAAAAATAGTTCTCAAAAAAGATCTACAAGTATAGTAAAAAAATATTTAAAATTTCGTAAAATTACGCTAAATTATATATAATTGAATGAATATTCTTCTTTATCATTATAGTTTCTTTGGTATAAACAATTACTTATCGCATATAACATTATATCAAAATATTGATTTATATCAACAATTATTTCTTCATTCACGATGAAAATTGTGTATACATGAAAACAAATTTGCTTAATAAATTAATAAATTAATCTTCATACACCTATCGAAATATATGACAAAAATCCATAGATATTAAAAATTAGTTTCTCACGTGGATAAAAATGGTATTTTTTGTCAATTAAAATTTCAGGACAAATTGACAATGTCTTTACTCATATGAATGGATATTTGTGTCTGCAACGTGATTCTTAAATGCACTTAAAAGTGTCAAACTTTGACAAATTGATACCAATGCTAAGCAAATAAAAAATTGACCCAAATTTTTCGCATCAATTTAATCCACTTTAGTATCAATTTGATTTTTTGAATAAAAGTTTGTAGTTGATAATTATTTGACATCACGAGTAGTGGTAAAAGTGGTCATTACTGTCGTATTACTGGAGCTTTTCTTCACATTTTTTGGATTACTATTATTACTCGTATTACTTGTGTTGGGTGTTTCACTTTTGTCAAATAGTCTTTGAAATAAAGCCTTGTACACTCTTTCCTTCATTATGAACAGGGCAAATATAAAAACACCCTGAAGACAATTAATTATATCGAAAACTAAAAAGAATTTGTACTCCAACAGATGTGGCAGAAATATATTCAGATAATTTGATATTATTTCACATATCCAAGTAATTCCCATCACAACGAAAAGTTTCACATTCATGACTAATCTGAAAACATAAAAACATTTGTCAAACATTATCTGTATTGAAAAAAAATTAAATTATTAGAATTCATAAGAAAATTCTCAATTTTTGGGTCTTTTTTGTTTGGCTCATAAACTATGAAATTACCACGAATTCTAATACAAAACCTTCAATTTTTTCAATTTCTGACAAAAATTTATTTTTAAATAACTTAAATTTTGAACAACTATCATAAAATAAATAAATTATTTAATGAATAATTTTCCTTAAGTATTTCAAAATTAATTCAATTTTAAAAGAATTGAGTTTACAATTATTATCATAAATAAATTAACTTGAAACGGTTTCAATTTGAAATTTTCAAAATTTTCAATGTTGAATGAATTTAATTAGAAATAATTTTAATAAACTTAGATTTTTGAAAAATTTTAATAAATCAAAATTTTCTAAAATTAGTTAAATTTGTCGATATATATTTAATTAATTATTAAAAAGAATGGATTTGTAGAAGAATTTTAGTTAAAAACACTAAAAAATTGAATTTTGAAGAAGTTACAATTACAGAAATTCAATTATTTTCAAAAGTAATAAAATTCTTGTCAAAATTTCAATTATTTAAAAAACAATTTTAATAAAATTGTACGCAAACATTTAATTATTTTCATACGTAATAAAAATTTCATAGGAATTCAAATACCTATTTAGAAATTTTTTATAAGTTTCTTCTCAATAATTCAATTATTTTCATAAATGATAAAACTCATCCTACAATTTCAATTATTTTTAATACAATTTTAATCAAATTCCTTGAAAAATGTAACTATTTTAAAAAATTTTATTAAAATTCGTCAAAAGAATCCAATTATTTAAAAATTTGTTAATAAAAAATTCTTTATAAGAATTAAATTTTAAGAAACATTCAATTATTCAATAATTAATTTATTACTATATTTAAATAATTTAATACTCGTAGAATTTTCTAAGAAAAATTGATTTAAAAATTAATTTTAGAAATTCAATTATTTTCCAAAACAAAAAAATTCTTTGCAGAAATTCAATTATATTCCAAAATTTTTTTAAATTCTCGTTAAAATTCCTATCACCTTTATAAATATTAAAATTCTTCTCCGAAATTCAATTTTTTCAAAAATTTTAATAAAATTCTTGGCGAAATTACAATTATTTTCAAAAAATTTTTTCAATATAATGATTTTCAATATCTAGTATTTTAATAAAATTTTCCAAAAGAATTCACTTATTTTAAAAAAAATTTTGATACAATTCTACGAAAACATTTAATTATTTTTATAAATATTAAAAATTTCATGTATTTACAAATTTTTTATAAATTTCTCCACAATAATTGAATTATTTTCATAAATAATAAAATTAAAATTCCGAATAATCGAAATTTCGTAAAATTGAATTGTAAACAAATGGATTTGAAAATTGTCAAAGAACTTTTTCAAAAATTATTAAAAATATTTGATTTAGAGAAGAATTTTAGTTAAAAATTGTAGAAAATAATAATTAAATTAAAATGATGAAAATAATTTTTAAGCAGTTATTACAGTAACAATAATCTTGTAATATAAAATAATGATTCAGTAATTTTTAATTATTATAAAACATGAAGAAATCGATTGCTCCGAGTCGCTCATGTTTTATAACAATTTTTTATAAGTTGTTTAATTTCAAAAAGGTTTGAATTTGAATCTTTTGAACAATTTTAATTCTTATATAGAAAAATTATAATAATTAAATATTTAAAATATTTAAAAGAGAAATTATTGTTTTTGAATAATTTTACAATTAAAAATATTCGTAAATAAATTTAACAGAACATTTTTTTCAATAAAATTTTTTCCTTTATTTTCTAAAAATTCAAAAATTTTCATTTTCAATTAAATTCTCTAATTGACAAATATAATTTATAAACATTTTTTTTCCTTTTATTTTTAAAAAAACTTTGTATTTTATTAAAACAATTGAAATTAAGAAATAGAATTGATGCAAATTATTTCCTTATGAAAATTGAGATTTTTCTAGAAAAATATTAAGAAACGGGAATATCTAATGTTTTTCTTCCCAAAAGAAAAAAAGGAGTTTGTAAACAATATAATAATAATTAATATATAGATTTAAATACTCGAAATTTTCGATTAAATTTTATCTGTTTAAAAATGAAATTGTTTGTGCTTATTTTTTTAAGTGTTAAACGACATTAATTTTCAGTAATTACAGTTAATCAAACAAATTATAAGACCGGAATACAAAGGGCAACTTTGTTATCTAATTTATTTTATGAAGAAAACTTAAGTTTAGCAACTCGGTTAACACTTGGCAAAGTAGTAGCTTCAGCAGTAATCAAGATAGAATCGATCTTCTGCTTTTGTCGTCCCTTCCACACTCAAACAAAATTAACATGGCTTTTCTTCGCTCGAGCAAATCAAAAAGGATTTCCTCCCACGATAAATCTCGAAGAGCCTCTGCCAATTTTTGTCTTCATTTTATGAACTCACTTTGGTTCCTCACAAATAATAAAGATCCATTATATTTTATACTTTATCAAATTTTTACTCTACTCAAGATTTTCTAAATTACTGACAATTAAATTTTTCACACTCACCTACTAAAACCTAGTATTTTTTTTTTTTTGTTATTTTTAATTAATAGATAACTAATTATTATTAGCTAAGAATAATTTTCTATCCGTTTAGTGACAAAAAAATTGCTCTTTTTTATCTCCGAGACACTTACTTATCCCTATCAGCTTCAAACCGTCGGTTCCTCTGATCAGTGGGTTCAGTCATAACTTTTTTAATCTGACTTTTTACTCGATTGTAATTTCTTGAAGTCATAATGAAGAATATTAAGTTTATCAATAGAATGATCGACACTGGTCCCGTGAAAAAAATTAGTTCTCCAATGCCAAGACCATCTGAAAAAAAGTATAGAATTATTAAACATCTATTTTTAACAACTCGAACGTCACTTGAATCGCAGCGTGTAAAAAAATTATATGGCTCATAATTCCTACAATCTTTCAAACGCCCCTGGTTTCTAGTTTCACAAATTGTTTATAATATTGATTTAGTTTGTGCTTTTCTCCTGAGTCATCAATTCTCTTCAACAATAACGCTCAATAAATTTTAATATAGTTTTTTCTCGTGAATATTTTTGATTTCATACTTTATTCCTTATCCAAAAACTTCTGCTCCATTTCCTTTAATGTTTAGTCCCGTTTTTTTATATGATATTTTAAATGTCATCTAATCTTTTTTACACGAGTAATAAAAAGAAAATATACATATAAATATATACATATTTAGATAAAGAAGGTGTAGTTTATAAAATTAAATGTAGATTTACAACTACAACATTAGCGTGACTTCGCACCAGTAATTAGAGTAAAAGGCGTAAATATTCTGACCTATAAAGTTTAATTAAAAAGATATTGCACACTTTTCTTTATTTTTATTTTATGTTATTATTTCTTAATTTATTCATTACTAATAATTACTTTCTGGCAAAACGATTAAAGTACATTTTCAAGTTTTCAATTTTTTTTTATTGTACATTTTTTCACTCCTTTTTTTTTCTCAAGCGTTGTTAAACTTCACTAAAGAACAAGTATTTGTTGTCAGCCATTAAAAGAACTATAGCGACATAAAATATCGAGAAAAAGTTTCCAGTGAAAGCCGGCAATCATTAAAGTTCTTTTCCTTAATATAAGAAAAATCGGAAAACGGACAATAAAAGTCTATAATCGTTTATAAAGGTCAAAACGGGAATACAAAAAGGGGAAAAAAATAAATAAATAAAGACATCTATTGTTTGGGTAAAATGAGTTTAAGAACTGACGTCTTCAAATTATATTTTCGAAACAAAAGATGAAAATATTTTGAGCCATCTTTAATCAGGGTAACCAGAAAAATTTAATTTTGATTCCATCGGCTTTTCTGGAAAAATAAAAAATAAATCTAGACAAAATTAAGAATTTTTGAACATAAAATAATTTGCTATTCTTAAATGGACTAGACGTGCCTACATTTTTCTTAATTTGTCAAGATTTATTTCTTATTTTTCTGAAAAGAAAACCGGTGAGAATTAATGCATGCCTCAATTGAAGTTGACTTGATATTTTTTTATTTTTCGTATATAGCAGTTTGTTATTAAACTTCCGAGTTTCACTCGGGAAGAGAATTATTTGTATTAGAGAAGTTCCTTTTCCGTAGAAATTGGAACATTTCATTTTAGATCACGACGAATTTATTATACGCAAGCATCTGCGCTCGTGCTCTTATAATAGCTTAATGCGCTATTTCTAACTTCGAGTCCCTTCGCGGCTTCGGGCATTTAATTAATTTTCCTGTCTTCCTTTTCTATCATCCACCGATTTCTACTCCCAGTCACGGCGATTGAAATACTAATGACTCTCCGTTCCTCTCTTAATTTAAGTCTAATGACATTTGAATCGGAAAAGCTCGATCGATCGCAGCATAGATTTTCTTCTATAAAGAAACTTTTTAATTACATACATTAATGTTGCCTGCAAGAATTTTTTATACTATAAAAATATATTTTTGCAAATGGACCAAGATTCTAGGAAAAAACGAGATTATTTTGATAGTCTGATTAGAATTAGAAATAATTTTAGTTTCTTCAATATTTTCTCTAACTGCAACGAATTGATACAAAAAATGTGAATCAAATCATAATTTTCAGCCACAGTACTCATTTTTGATGAATAAATACTCACGCAAAAACCAGCATCTATCCACACCAATTTGAGGACGATCCTTATAATTCACAACATTGGTATAATCCACTAATATACAGAGGGAAGTTATTAAACATGCCACACCCCAGGCATAAATGCAATAAATAATAAATCTATTCCTTTGTCCTCTACTCTGGGTAGTACCACTCGGTGACCTTGTACTTCTGCAAAAAAAAAAATTTACTCAGTCCTTAGTGCAGTTGAATAATATTCAATATTTTAACTATTTCTTAAGCAATTTTATGCACATCTGTACTTTTAAGATACACTAAAAACAAGAATTAATTTAATTCCAGTCGTTACTTGACTAGAGTCGGCAATAAATATTTTTGAATAAATAACAGGCCTCGGATCGAATTTAAGGTGCAAAAAAAAGTTGCTTTAGTCGATTAAAAATACGAAAAAAAATCTAAAAAGTCGTTTATTTAATTCAGTGTCGTCACAAAAATTTTGTTTTCTATTTCCTGACCTTTCACTGATTTCTAAATTCAACAATTCAAAAGTTAAATAATTTTTTATTATAAATATTTAAATATCTTATTTGTTATTCCACGGAAAATAAAATTTAAAAACTTTCAATTTAAAACCTTCTGAAATTTAATCATTTCTAAAAATTAAAACTACAAGGCTTTCAAAATTCAATTATTTTTCTTAATTTGCAACTAAAGTTCATCTCTAAATTAATTATTTTTAATAATTTTCCGAAAGTTCTTCCAGAATTCAATTATTTAGATAGTAGATACAAAAATTCAATTATCTGTAAAAATTTTTTACTGTAACTGTCCTTTTTTTAAAAAAGTTATTAAGGTAAAATATTTTCAAAAAATTATAATCAAGAAATTATTAAAATTAATTTTTTTTTAAATATTTTAAAATAATTTTTGAAAAATAATAGTTTCTTAATTACATACAATTAAACAAATTATTAACAATTGAAAATTGTTGAAATCTTTTAGGAATAATTCAATATTTGAAAAATATAAATAAAAATAATCAAATTCTTGAAGAATTTTAATTATCAGGTAATTAAATTGTAAATTATGAACATGATTTCACCAAATTTTAATAAGTCTAAAAAAGTCAATTTTTAAAAATTTTAATTTACTTTGTTCGAAGATAATTGAATTTTAAAAAATTATGATAAAATTAGTTTTTTAAAAATATTTTAATTAATATAGTTTTATAATTTAATATAATTTTTAGAAGCTAATTTTCATTAATTTTCGTTTATAAATTTACAATTATGAAGATTTTTTATTAAAATTTCTGAGAATTCAATATTATTTAAAAAATTTGCAATTAAAATTCTTCAAAAGTTGATTTTCAAAAATTGTAATAAAATACTTTAAAAAAATCAATTATTTTCAATTAAATTTTTAAAGAATTTCAATTATTCAAAATATTTTTAATTGTATATTTCGAAAATTTAATTAGAAAAACTACAAAAATAATTTTTGAAAGATTTGTCTATAGTTATTCTTCACACTGTAAAAATCGAAATTTTGCACTGTATACTAAAGATGTGGTATTTTGTCGGAAGAAAAGTAAAAAAAAAGTCGCAATTTTTCAAAATAAGTCGGAAAGAATTTCATTTTTTCAAAATTGTTGAAAATACCCGAAAAAGTAATAATATATCCGAGGCCTGTAAATAATTACATTTCTACAAATAAATATTTGCGACAATAATCAATAAAAACTAGACAACATAGTCAATAAGGATAATTGATTTTGTTTGAATATATTTTTGTTCATTGTATATATTGCAATTCTACAATGTACACAGTGCACTCAATGTTGGTTCGTGGTTTTCGGAACCCATTAAATAATTAACGATTTTCTCGCAAGCTCACATTTTCCCTTACAGTTAGTCACATAATAATCTGATATCACGCAATGTTTAACAAATGTCAATATATCGCAAGTATATTTAAATTAAAAACTTAAACACTAAAAAAATATTTATGCAAAATTTTATTACTTTACAGCTGATTTAAAAGTTGTAAAGTTTAAACTATATTATTAGTTTCCTATAAGTTTCAGATAAATTTTTATATGCAGCTTTCTCAATCTTTATTGAAAAACTAAAATTTATTTCACTTATTACTTTTATGAAAGTTGTTTGCTTATTATTACGGCAAAATTTGTTTGACTTAATAGACCATTAAGCAAGAAGAATTGTTTTTTATAACATCTACTTTATAATTTATAACATTTTGTTCTGCATCTCTTCTCACCATACAACACATTTTAATCTAAAATGCTAATAACACGCGATAACTTTGAACAGTTTGAAAAAAACGTGTTATAGCTAAATGAAAAAATTTAATTATAGAAAATTTTTTCGAAAAAGAAGAATGGAGATGGATTCTTTAGAATGGTGTATACATATTAATTTTGTATTTTAATGTTTATATTTATATTCCAAGCGAAGTAGAAATGGATATTAAAATCTTAATGAATTACAGTGTATGGTTGTGAATTTTTTGATGCGTCAGAAGACTTACATATAATATTCCTAAATGTGTATATCTTTTCCAGAGATCAATAATTTTATATATATATGAACAGTACGAATTTCTCAGTAAATCTACATTATGCTCGTCATTTGTTGATCTATTTCCACAAACAAACCATTAGTAAGGGTTTCAGAGATTAAATGATCATATATTTAGAAATCAAAGTCTAATTAAACATTGATTGTTTGTTTGTTTGCTTTTCATTAATTTTATCAACGAATTTGTTTTTGGATATGAATAAATAAATTTTAAAAGTGCATTCAAACAATTACAACAGTAATTTCTATCTACTTGGAACAAATAAGAAATTTTCGTGACCACTGAGCTGTACAAGCTCTGGGTATAATTAGAGCTCGAAATATGTATATGTCAGAAAGTTTTAATTTATTTAACTGCGATAAACTTACCGAAATGTCCACCAAATGTCAAAGCACATAACGTTGAGCCAGGAGAAGGATGAAATGAAAGCAAACAGCAAAGTATATCCTATGAAGCAAGATTTAAAAGAAACTTTTTTATACTCTTGACAAAAATTTAAGAACCTAGAAACTTGAAACTCAGACTCAATAATGTAAAGTTTAGCTTTAGTATAAAAAATACAAACCTAGAATTGAGCACAAAGTCTGTTTTTGAGGATCCTCGTTTTCCAAAGCATGCTGACTTCTTGATACGTCGAGGGTTACCAGAGACAGACAAACATAGGCAGTAAAAAGACTAGCAACGTGGCACATTAAAGTTTTACCATGTAAATTCCTCAAAGAAGGTATGCAAATGTACACCAGTAGTGTTATCAGGAGACAAATGCTACTGATTGACTGGAAGATTCCTTCGAGAATACGACTGTTGAATAAACAACAATTTTTAAATACTTGAAATTTTCAACATATAATAATTAAAAGATTGCAATTACAATATTACTATGTAATTGAATTGCAATCTTTCCCATCAATCTTTTTCCGATAATAATCGCAGAAAATCAAATATTCTCAAATAATACAAGCTTTATAAAATAATTTAGCATAGGAATTTACTATTTGAAGAAACTTTGATCGTCTATCTGATGTTACGTGATGTGTATACAAAATCCTTAGATACTGTGTCGACATTTTAATACATTTTCTATACAAGAAAACACAAGGAGAAAATCGTAAAATTTCGTTGAGAATTTTGACCCGGTAGTACTTATTATTATTATTATGTTTTAATATACAATTATGCTTTTGTTTACTAAACAATTGTAAGTTGACCTATTTTATTTAAATACTGTATATACAGAGAGGGAAAAATTTTACACTCGGTAAAATCTGAAATTGTGAGGGCTCTTCTCTAATGATTTAGCAATCGTCTACACAAGTGAATAGTAATACGTGCTTTGAATTGCAATTCAACTTATTTTTATTTTCTTTGTCCGGATTTTCAGACAGCTTCCAAAACAAGCGGGTTAACGATTTTGCTCTAGTTTTCGAAGTGAAACATAATATATTACAGAGATATGTATACATATTTTTTTATAGAAAAACAGGGTTGTCAGAGATCAGGAAAATCAGGGAAAAATCAGGTTTTATCAAAAATAGAGAAAAAATATTAAATTTTTAAAAATCATAAGAAAATTCTGATTTTTTGTGTCAAACAACCATGGAAAATATTGAACAGATTTAATTCTTCTCGAATTGTTTGCTTTATGAAATCAAGTACGAATTTTAATAGAAAAATTTAAATTTTTTCTCCTTTTTAACTCTTATAAATTATTCAGTTTCAAAAGATTTGCAGGGCTCGAAACAGTGAAAGTATTTAAAAATACGGACTTTACGGACCAATTACTGACAAAAATTAAAATCCGAGTCAAATAAGAGAACATTTTACTTAAAACTATAAATTAAATTTATTAATAGCTATAAAACATGAAGATATCTTCATGTTTTATAATTTTAATTAAAAATGACCGAGTGATAAAATCAATGCAATTATTATTTTCGGGAGTTTTTAACATACATTCTTGTTTAAATCGATTATTTTTAATAATTTTCGAAAAAGTTCTTTGACAATTTTCAAATCCATTTGTTTATAATATCCAATTTTACGAAATTTCAATCATTCGCAAATTCTACAATTAAATAAATATTAGAAAATAAGAACTTCAAATAATATTTAAAAAATTCAATTAAACTTTTTCAAAAAAATTAATTTCAAAATTCAATTATTTTTAAAAGTTCGCGCTATATTGCTTTTAATATTCAATTATTATCTAAAATATTAACTGAAATTAATTTTTAAATTAATTTTTATTTGAAAATTCTACTAGAATTCAATTATTTAAATAAAAATAAAATGCAAATAAATAATTTATTGAATAATTGAATGTTTCTTAAAATTCAATTCCCATAAAGAATTTCATCAAAAGTTCTGAAAATAATTGAATTCTATCAACGAATTTTAATAAAATTTTTAAGAATAATTACATTTTTCGAGAAACTCGATTAAAATTGTATTAAAAATAATTTAAATTCTGCAATGAGTTTGATTATTTGTGAAAATAATTGAAATTCTGCAAGTTTGAATGGGTGTGAAAATAATTAAATCCCTAAAAAGAATTTTATTACTCTTGAACAAAATTTAATTTTTGCAAAGAATATTATTACTCTTGAGAATAATTGAATTTTTGAAATAATTTGTAACTTTTACAAAATTCAATTTTTTTGTTTCGTGTTTTTAACTAAACATCTTCTATAAATCTATTATTTTTGATAATTTTTGGAAAAGTTATTTAAGAATTTTCAAATTAATTTGCTTATAATTCAATTTTACAAAATTTCAATTATTCGTAAATTCTTCAATTAAATATGTATTAGAAAATAAAAATGAATTTTCATAAAGAATTTTATCAATTAATTTTTAAATAACTGAATTCTTTTGATGAATTTCAATGAAATTTTTAAGAATTTTTTTGCAGGAATTCGATTAAAATTGTATTAAAAATAATTGAAATTCTGCAATGAGTTTTAGTATTTTTGAAAATAATTGAATTCCTAAAAAGAATTTTATTATTTACGAAAATAATTGAATCCTCGTAAAAATTTTATTATTTATGCAAATAATTGAATGACTGCAAAGAAATTTATAAGAAAATTCGTAAATAATGCAATTCCTGTGAAATTTTTATCATTTTTTGAAAATAATTAAAAGTTTGTGTAGAATTTTAGTAAATTTTTTTTTAAGTAATTGAATTGTTTTGGAAAATTTTATGAAAATAGCAGATATTGAAAATCATCGAATAGAGGAAAATTTTTGAAAATAATTGAAATTTTGACAAGAATGTTATTAAAATTTTTGAAAATAATTGGATTTCGGAGAAGAATTTTATTGAAATTTTGATGAAAAAATTAAAAAAAAATTTTTGAACATAATTGAATTTCCGCGAAGAATTTTATTACTTTCGAAAATAATTGAATTTCTGCAATCATTTGTAATTTCTTTAAAATTATCCAAATTTATTAAAATTTTTGAAAATAATTGAATTTCGGAGAAGAATTGAATTATTTCTAACGATAATTAAAATTTTAAGGAGAATTTTAAAAAATTTTTGAACATAATAAATTGAATTTCCGCGAAGAATTTTATTATTTTTACGGGATTTACGGACCCAGTTCGAGCCCTGGATTTGAAATTAAATTCTTTTGAAAATCTTGATTCCCATGGAAAAATTGAAAATTCCGTTTGGAAATTAGGAAATAGTCAAAAAAAAAAAAATCAAAATTTTGTGGCCAGCATTGGAAAAATGAAAAACTTTACTTACACATGACTCGGAGTCTCGTAAATTATTTCATCGAAGCAAATAAATGGAAATATTCCATCACTGTAGTCGGTATAATTGTAAAACATCTCCATACAATATTCGTCATGAACGTGAGATCTGTCCATTAAGTTTATATAAATGTAGCCCTCCGGTGTCATGGACCATCCATCCGTTGGATTAAGGGCATACATACTGTGCTTACAAGTTTTCCCCACAAGAAGACCATAATCTTCAAATTTTTTACATAAACATAATTATTTATTTAAATAATTTATATTAAAATAATTTATTTAATAATTTATTTAATAATTTAATTATTTAATAATTTATTTAAATAATGTATATTTAAAATAATTATTTTGATAAATTCTTACTTTATTCTTACCATTTGTATCGATATTGGAACTTGTGAAATTTGATATGTTGACAAGTGCCGAATGAAATTCATTTTCAACAGCACTCCCTGAATATTTCGTACAATTTGTATCGGAAAAAAATGCCTCTCCTTCGGGGCAACATTTTCTTAAGCACGGATTATTTTTACAATAGATGCGATCTTTGCATGTTCGCGCAACAAGAAAATTACGTGAATCGTCAATATCCAAACAAATGTTTTCAACATCACTCTGTCTCGTAAGGTCTATAGCTTCTTCCATCCAAGGAACTTTCGCCTGAAACAGTCAACATTTTTTTTCCGCTTATGATTTTCTATATTGATTTTCGTAATATATTCTTTGAAATAACAAAGAATCGAAAATTTTTGAGAAGATAAAAAAAAACTTGTTTGGTCAGTTTCAATGAGAAGGTTCTTGAGAATATTGACGAGTTTATATTATGTACATGTCTCTATCTCTATGTGTAGAGCGCTTGGAATTCCCAGAGGATAAAAAAACGTTTCTGGTACACAACAATTTATAGCTATTTTGTATGCCTTTAAAATACAAATTAGTAAATTAGACTTTGACTCTATTTGTGAAATCGTCAATTTTAATAAAAAAAAAAGAAAAAGAGTCATTTCACTGATTAAAATATTGTCTTCAATTATTGTGCAATTTTGTGTTCGGAAAATATATATTAAATGTGCGAATATCTTCGCCAAAATAAAATCTTTTTATATAAAAGGTAAAATAAATTGTTCGCTAATGCTCCATTCAATGGGATCAATGAAGTAAATGGCTTTCTAACTGTGTTAACTCCATTTCACGATAAAGCAATTGTAAGGGATATAATTGATCTTTTGTGAAATACGCATGCAATTTTAAAGCTTTACTTAACTTATTTTGAATGCAATAGAAGGCATCGAAGGAAAATTATTGCCGAGAAATAAATGAGATTTATAATTTCTTAGGAATATTCAAACTTATTTCTCGAAAAAGAACTTTCTATAACTTTTAACCCTTTTCTGATATGAAGTTTCTTTTAACAGTGAAACATTTTTTCGTCATTATTATATAATATTTTCAGAAAATATATACAAGCTTTGGATATTATGACTTTTTCGATTTTTTCGACTTATTTTAAAAAATTCCAACTTTTCTTTCAAATATTCCAATAAAATACCACATTTTTAGTATAAAATGCAATTTATTTTGATTTTTATAGTGTGAAAAATAACTATAGACAAATCTTACGTATTATTTTTTTTTCCTTTTATTGTTAAACATATTTTTTAAACAATTTTTTTTAAATAATTAAATTTAAAAAATTTACCTATAATTAAACACATTTTTAATAATTAAAATTTTGTAAAATTTAATTGAAAATAATTTATTTCTTTCAAGTATTTTATTACAATTTTTGAAAATCAACTTTTGAAGAATTTTAATAACAAATTTTGAAAATAATTTGAATTTTTATCAATTTTAATGAAAAAACTTGTAGTGTAAATTTAAAAATGAAAATTATAGCTTCTAAAAATTATATTAAAATATTTTTATTTTTTTCCTTTATTTTCAATATTTTTAATTATATATTTTCAGAAATTCAAACACGTACAAAAGATAAAATTAAATTTTTATAAAATAATTTTTAAATTAAAATTCTTAAAAAAAATTAATTAGTTTTTTTAAATTACACAAAATCTTTTTTTAATAATTCAATTTTTTTTGAAAAATTACATTACAATGTTCTTAAAAAACTAATTGTTAGAATTGTTTTATCATATTTTTTTAAGATTCAATCATCTTCGAATAAAGTAAATTAAAATTTTTAAAAATTTGCTTTTTTAGATTTATTAAAATTTTGGAGAAATCATGTTCATAATTTACAATTAAAATACTTCAAGAATTTGATTATTTATATTTATATTTTTTAAAAATTTAATTATTTTTAATAGATTTTAACAATTTTCAATTGTAATGAAATTTTTCAATTGTATGTAATTGAAAAACTATTATTTTTAAAAAATTATTTTAAAATATTTAAAAAAAATTAATTTTAAGACTTTCTTTATTATAATTTTTTAAAAAAATTATATAACTTTATAAAAAGGATAGTTATAAAATAATTGATTTTATTAAAATTTTTGAAAATCAACTTTTGAAGAATTTTAATTGCAAGTTTTGAAAATAATATTGTATTCTGACAAATTTTAATGAAAAATGTTCATAAGTGTAAATTTATAAATGAAAATTAATGAAAATTAGCTTCTCATAATTATATTAAATTATAAAACTATATTAATTAAAATATTTTTAAAAAACTAATTTTATCATAATTTTTTAAGTTTCAATTATCTTTGAACAAAGTAAATTAAAATTTTTAAAAATTTACTTTTTTAGACCTATTAAAATTTGGTGAAATCATGTTCATAATTTACAATTAAAATTCTTCAAGAATTTGTTTTTTTTTATTTATACTTTTCAAAAATTTAATTATTTTTAAAAGATTTTAACAATTTTCAATTATTGTTAAGAAATTTTTCAATTGTAATTGAAAAACTTGTAATTGAAAAACTATTATTTTTCGAAAATTATTTTAAAATATTTAAAAAAAATTAATTTTAGGAATTTTTTTATTAGAATTTTTTGAAAATATTTTACCTTAATAACTTAAAAAAGTAGTTACAGTAAAAATTGTTATAGAAAATTAAATTTCTGTATCTACTATCTAAATAATTGAATTCTGGAGGAACTTTAGAAAATAATTAAAAATAATTGATTTAGAGATGAACTTTAGTTGAAAATTATAAAAAATAATTGAATTTTGGAAGCGTTGTAGTTGTAATTTTTAGAAATTATTAAATTTCAGAAGGTTTCAAATTGAACTTTTTTAAATTTTATTTCCCGTGGAAAAAATAATAAGAAATATTTAAATATTTATTTAACCCGTCAGCAGTCGCGCCTTTTTTAGTGTCTCACTTGCACTCTAAGAGCGCCCTATAGGTAGAGTAGTGTTGCGTGAGACTTTTTCTCACGGCGCGACCGCTGACGGGTTAATAACCAAAATCCTCTAGCAAAAATTATGTTGTAAATTTTATGGAAACTTTTATGCATGCAAAGTTAATATTTCTAAATTCTATTTACGAAAAATATTTTCAGTATTTAATTAAGTTATTCAGTTTAATTAAAATATGATTTTCGATTAATTTCAATATATTAGAAATTAGAAGTAAAATAACAGTAAAATTATGATGATAACAACATTAAAATTAATATTTGTTTTGTTCGCATTTTTAACTTCAAATGTGAATATAGAATGAAAAGAGTGAAGGAATATAAAGATTAATATAGTTAATTAGTTACTAATTAATAAATTAATAATGAATTACTTTTTAATTGTTCGGATCTATTATTAATTCCAAAATAATAGAATACATTAAGCTCGTAATCCAAATAAAAAATGACAAAAGTTAATCTTATCTTCTCGCCTCTTTCTAAAATACAGAATGGCGAGAAAAAAAATATTATATCAATAAGTAACGATTCAAGGAAACGAGGAACAAATACACTTTTCATACATGTAACATATCTGCAGGATATGAGTAGTGGCATTGATTTCTATGTATAATAATAAACTGAATGAAAACACTTACCAAAATTTTATTTATGTATTGTAAAATTTAAAAATAGATATTATAAAAAACAAAATTCATGTAAAATCCCTCAAAAGATATTTTAAAAATCAAAAACAATAAATAAGAGATTTTTCCTCAATTCTAAATTTTGAATACAAAGAATATTTTCATTTTTGGCACACTTTCCATGTTGAAAATCATTTGAAAATGATATCAAATATTTTTAAAAACTTATATGTGCGTATATCACCCGCATTTTTCCAAGCGTGTTACGTAATTTATAAACGATCCATAAATCATATGAAATACTTTAAAATTTATTAAACAAGTTGTATTTCAGTGAATCGCTGACATAGAACACCTTTTAATTTTGATTGATTTTTCTGATATAACAAGCTACAAGTTTTTAAATTTGCATCACTGTAAAATGTACGCCATTTTCCTTGCAAGATTGGAAAAAAAGTTTCGAGATTAATTGCAGTCTTTTTTTTTTGAATATTCAATGTACGTGCGACAGGAGCGTATTGGCGTTCAATTAAAAATTATGCACTCATATCCAGGGATTTATTTTACATTTTAGAAAAAAAGAGATAAAGGACATTAAAATAAATTTAAAATGAGAATGTAAAAAAGATTCCTAAGAAATTATGCCTATATAACGACAATTATGCAGATCATTGAACAGGAAGAGTAAACCTGTTTTTATTCTTATTGAGAATGTTATTTATTTTTATAGTCGTGCTTCGTGTATAGAGTATTTAAATCTTAATTAACTTTAATTACTTCGGAGATGATAATTTTTTTTGAATTATATTAAACAACAATATAATTTCCGATCAATTTTTTTTGCAAAGAAAAAGTAATTTGAAATTTGAGAGTAGTTTCAAATTTCAAATTACTTTTTCCTTAGTTTCATTACTTCAGAGATAATTTTTATTTTAAATTACATTTATAATTATTGCGCAATTATTCTTGAATTTTTAATTAAAATTTTGTTTAATTTTTGTTCAGCATGGGAAAAGTAATTTGAAAGTTTTAATTTAAAAGTGAAAGTAGTGACAAGTTGCGTGACATTTTCATATTGAGGAGAGATGAATTTACTCTTACCTGTATTTTTCCTTGATATTTGTAAACATTCGGTGACTCAATCACGTAATTAACGAGAGTTTTTTCACATACGGGTGCTCCAGAATCGATGGCGACTAAATCGACTTCTTTGAAAAGATGAAGAAAAGTCTTAAAATTCACTTGATCCTGTGAAGGAACACATAATTTCCCTTCTATGTCAAAGTATTCTCCACTCGGACAACATTTCCTGACACTGAGAACTTGCGGTGTTGGTACCGAATTCTTCGAATCGTGAAGATCTCTCGCATTCTGATCGCAATATACAATAACCGGTAAATTGTTCTTTGTTCGATTGTCATAGAGATGATCCAAACAGGCCGAAGTTGATGTGTAAAGATTGTCATCATGTATTTTGTCCAAAGAGAGGTAAAAATGTTTTCCCACCAATCCACAGTATGGAAGTCCCACTGACTTTGAATTCAAATTATTTAATTCGATTAAAAGTGTTGAATTCACGCACGAAAGTTCTCCTTCCAGATCTTGTAGACTTTCTTCCTCTTGACAACATTTTTTCACCCCAGAGAGGAGGGAAGCTTCTTTTGTCAGTAAGAGTAAAAATATCCAATAGAATATCCGCTTCATTTTTGTATTCACAAACTTCCTTTTTGGATTAAGATTCAAAAAAACTGTTTCTCGTCCAGAATTTTAAAGATCAGTGTGTCAACATTCTTTTGCATGATTCTGTGAAACTCATCTTCATATCGTGGATTACACGCATTCTCCCAATCTTCTCTTTTCTATTTTTAATTCACAGTCTCTCTCTCATTGTTTTAAGTACGCACTCTTCGTTCTCCCTTGTTTTGAATACAATTAGTTTCGTGTAGTTATTCAAATTCTAGAATTAAGGAGAATTTTAATCCTTTAAGGCAACTTTAATCTCTTAATTAATTTAAAATCGTTAAAGTTGTAATTTGATAATTTTGTGCATTGAAGGGGAGCATTTTGTGTGTTGGGTAAAATGACAAGAAGCTCTAGGCAATTAAGGCGAGATTCGAGAGAACACTCTTCAACTCCTTCATGTAACCATCAGGTAGTATTCAAACAACCTCGAAGGTTTACCAGCCCTTTCTGTCTCTTTCTTTCCTCTCCGTTCCCATTAAATCTTATTCTCAATCACGATTTTTAAATTTCAAGAACCTACAAGGCAAACCAGAACGAAAACTTCTTTTTTCGACTTGCTATCAATACTTTAGTTCTTCAACATTTTTATCGTTTCTCCGCAGGTTTTGAAATTTATTCCATCATATTCGGGTATTTTTTTATTTATTTAAATTTTATATCCATTTCTTTTCTTTCGATTCAATAATCGAAATAATAATTTTGCCTTATTCGTCCTGCCGTGAGGTCATAGTATTACAATAATTATTCTGCAATTGACACTTTTGGCGATAAAATAATGAGCGGAATTTAACGATATCCCTGAACAGTCCGTTGAGAACGGACACGCGGTCGCGACTGTTCCTTCTAATTCATGAATGACACACGCTAGAATTTCTTTCTCCACTCCCCACTCGATATATTTTAACTCATTTATTGACGCATTATGATATAATTTTCAGGAAATCAAATTTATTCCCAGTTTGCGTATTTCCTTCGATGGGAGGAGAAAACAGCTTTTCATCAACATTTGGATATTTGAAAGCGAATTTTCACACACGAGCCGGGATAAAAATCCACTTTATTGATATTTCCATGACCATGAAAAGTAAAAGATAAAAAAAGGTGATCAAAACATGTTAAATATAACAGTTTTTAAATTTTTTTTACGACATTAACATATAAATATCAGAACTGTTCTTTTTGCTGTAGCATCGTAAAATTTATCAAATCCTGACACTTTTTACGATTAATATTTATAGACACAAGTTAGAAATTAATGATTCATTATTTTTTTTCAAAGGAGCGTAAAAAATCAAAAGTAAAAATAACTTGCATGTAAGAATGCGGCTTTGTAGAGATGAATTTTTGAGATATAGAAAAGATTTTAATTAGCCACACCGAAAAAAAGCTGACACACTATCAATATATACAGTATTTTTATTTTTTTGTGACTATTTTGCATGCAAATATCAAAATAACTAACAAAATTTTTAGCCCAAGTTTATTTTCTAAAAAAGATTTAAAAAAAATTGTTTAATTTGAATTTTTTAAGATTCATTTATGTAAAATTATTTATCTTCAAGAATTCTATAAGAACTTTGGAGGATCCATCATAATTGGCAATGTGATCTATAACGAAAGTCGGAGATATTCAAAAGCTCTGGAAAATATTTTATATAAAAGAATTTTCATCGATACTTTTCTTTTTATTTTTTGTTTATTTTTACATATATCAAGATGACTTGAATTTTAATAAAGGTCTACTGGACAATTGCCAATCTGATCTGAAAATTCTGTCGCTTTATTTAATCTTTCACTTTTCGTCATCTTTTTTTTTCTTCTTTAAACTCTAGGTATATAAATGCAAGTATGAAATACAAATCAGTTTCGTTCTATTCCTAGAAAAATATTATCAATATTTCATTTCTCCTAAAACAGGATTTATTAACTGACAAAAAGTATATATTATATTTTGAAATGAAATTTTCATAAAAAAGTATCGATTATTCAGTGCGGTACGGTGATTTTTGATGGTTTCATCACTTCCTTTATAGTCAATATTTCGTTTAGTACGTTGAATATAAACTGTTTCATACACTTTTCATGTTTCAGAGAACTTTAATTAAGGCTTTAATGTTTTTAATTGAATTTTATTGTATTTATTTACAAATTTTATTCAAGCCAGACAAAACTTTGCTCATTCATAATAATCAAATATAGGCTTCGATTTTGTTTGTATCGATTTTAATTCTTCAGTATATTAAGAATATTGGAGATAATCATTATTTTAATAGAAATAAATAAAATAGTTGCGTTTATTTACTTTAAATATTTAAATAGTTTTTGTTCCTTTACGAAATGTTTCAAAACTTTTTAAAATAATTAGAATTTTTAATGAATCATTCACAGATGAACCAGATATTTACATGCGTACATACTATCGTCAATAAAGAAAACATTTTTTTATTTTATCTGCAGCATGTATCCGCTTTTTACGGAAATCCTTTGACTTCACTACTCTTGATTAACAAAATTTTCTGATACTAAGAAAATATAAATGAAACTCCTACAAGAAAAATGATTATTTTATGCGTAAGATATACTATTTTTTTTAATTAGATGTTTGCTGTTTAAATAAAATAATTATTTTTTATTATTTCAGAAAAAAAATTCTTTACCTGGGACAGCTATAAAATATAAATTTCACTACATTAGCGAAATTTTTATTTGTTTCAATTAATACTTTCGCTATTCTAGAGAAACTTATCACTGTTCCAGGTGATGCTTTACTTTCGTGATTTCATTGCTATTATCATGTTTTGCAAAATGTAAATTAAGAAAGTGAATTTTGAATAAATTTTCTATTTATCTTGTAAATATTAAAGAATTACTAAAAAATTAATAAAATTACAGATTAAAGCATTTTCATTTTATTTAAATAAATAAAAAAGTTGCTAAAAGTTAAAGATTTTTCTCTCACCCTAAAAAAATTAATTTTCAATCTAGAAGATTCCTCTCATTTTAATGTATATTTTCCTCTTGTATATGGTATCAAAAGTAATATTCTCAAATTGAAAGAATTTTTTTCTTGCAATAATTTTTTATCCTAATTTTTTGATGTAAGAAAATTTTGCTATTTTTTATTTATTTTCATAATGTCACTTTTTAAACAATTTGAAGGTGCGTGCAAAAAAAACAAAAAACAACTTGAAAACTTTTTTTCTCTAATATTTTGTTTCATATCTCGAGGAATGCAAAGAAAGAAGATTAAATGTTTTCTTTTTCAAAATATTCTCAAATAAAGACAGAAATTTCTATTTTTTGTGAATGAATATTCGAAGATTGAGAATAAAATGATAAAGTAATTGTTGAGCAGTAAAATTTCAAGGAAATACTATTTTATGTCAGGTAAATATTTCCGTTCCAAAAGAGAAAATATTCAGTTTAATTAATTTATTAAATTCTAAATTGAAATAAATTGAAATTCAATCCATTCAATTTATTCATATTTGAAATTAAACATCACTTTTGATACAATTTGCATTGACCAAACAAATAATTTTTTAGTGCGCATAAATACAAAATTTTTTATTTTATATATTTGCATTTATACTTTTAAAAAATTTATTGTATGCAGTTGCAAATGAAACTCTACTTTATTAATTTTATTACAATTACTATTTACATATTTTTTTTCAAGTAAACAGTATGTCAAGGATTACAAAATTTTGCGCAGATTCGAAATCAACTATACACGAATTGAGGTTCTGTTTACATGAGAAATGACAGAACGATTTAATCACAGTTTTCCTTTTCTTCTGTTTAAATATTCTAAATTTAAAACGGAAAATCGTAATTCAAGAGGAATATATTAAAGGAATCCTTTTACCATTCGGCTGTTAAAACATACCCAAATAGCTCGGAATATTCCATCTACATTTTACAAATATTAAAATGTCCGAACTTTGGAATAATTATATAGAAATATTCCAATGGAATATTGTAATTGGAATATAGTAAAAATATTTTACTGGAATATTACAGAAATATTATGGGAATATTCCGTAGGAATATTTCTGTTTAAATTGGAATATTCCAGAAGAATATTTCTTTTTAAATTGGAATGTTCTAGAGGAATATTCAGGAATATTCAGAATTGGAATATTCCATTGGAATATTTCAGGAATGTGAACGGAATATTTCGTGCCATTAGGGATAGAATAAATATTTTTATTTCGAGAGAAAATATTTAAAAAAATATTAGAAGAGGAATTTTCCTTTAAATATGAGATTCATTTTCTTTTTAATATATTAAAATAAGGAAAAATCACTAACCTATGGAATTTTTATGCTATTAAATCTTTAGAATTTTCCCAACACAATTTACTTGTCATGTAGTTTTCATAGAAATAAAAGAAATAGAAAATAATAATAATTATTCCTCAATTATCATGCATTTCATCGAAACATCATTAAAAAACCTTTTATATTATTTTTAAACATACATTCTATGTACATCTATAAATGCATAATATAAAGATGAAGGTAAGGATAAGACACTAGACTATTATTAGAACTCTCAATAAGTAATAATCATGTCTGGAATTTGTTTAAAAAGCTTTTTATAATACTTTTAAAGAAGTCCTATAAGAAAGCAGGAATTAAGGCCTTTTAAAGAAATTATAAATCACGTATTGATAGTTTTTTATACATCAGTTAATTAATACCTACTGTTAAATAAATACATACACAGAAAAGAAATATTGTTTTAAACGGATTCCTCTTATTTTATTGATATTTTGATCTAGAAATACTATACGAATTTTTTAAAACTAGAATTGCGTTTAATTCAAATAAAATATTATATGGATACACAAATTTTAAAAATTAAAAATCTTAATTAAAATATGTAATCACAATTTATGAATAAAAAAAGCGAGTCTTCAGTTTTATTTAAACAATTACACATACTTTATTATTTTATAATTTATTGAACCAATTTTATTGTTTTACTCTAATTAGATTTAAGTGATATACTTTATGTTGATTGGCTCTATAAACTATATAGAATACAAATATTTAACATTTACAATTGAAGCTGTCAAGTATCGTAAAACAAGGGTGACATATTTCATAAATTAATTAATCCTATTATCATACATTTTTTAATTTCATATATTATATTTTCGGATATTTAAGTATTTTTCATTTGTTAATTGAAATATTATGTGATAATTAAATTCCGCTAATATAATTATACTTGAGTGAATGCGTTTTATATATAAGGTTTCATCATTCTAATTGTAAAATATATTATTTTTTGATTAGTTTTTGATTAGGTGGAGAATTTTTTTTCAAAATTGATTTTCTCATATTTCCCCAATCTCACATCAATCAAATGAATTGAGGTTCTATAGATTGCAGCCCACACAAAAACGGTAATTTTATAGATTTTCGTAAAATTCGACAAAAAACTTCAGAATTCGTATCATTCGTATTTGTCTGCAAAGATTAGAAAATATTCGTGGAAGTGTGAATATGCTAATATTTCTCGAACCTTGAAATAGAGAACGAGATCCTTTAATGGTTTTGTTAAATATTTTCTTGTTTTAGAACATTTTTATACGCACGAGATGAGGAGGATATTTTTGGATCGATTATTTATATTACTTATTATACTTATTGTATCTTTGCGCTATTCATCTAAACATTTTTTTATTCTATCTAAACATAACTAAATATAATTATTTAAAAAACTTTTTTTGGCTGATTTATTAAAAAAAATGTGTTTATTTTAAAAAGAAATTTTATTTAATTCTTAAATTATATAAACTTACCTCTGTAATTTCAATTAAAATTTTCTGTATTCTAGAGCGGCTTTTGGAAATCTTCAGAAAAGTTTCAGTACTATTAGGAAATTCCCGGCCACCGACAAAGTGTATCTCTTCTTTAGTATTTAAAATTTTTCCAACTTACCAACAAAAGATATGGATAAGAAAATTTATCGACTGAATGTCACAAGTCTAGAAGGAAATAGAATTCTATTTTAATCACTGTTGATATATTTCCAAACAAAGTTAAAATAGGAATCTGTTTTTTCTTCATTTCTACTTTTATTCACAGATGGTAACGACAAAAAGTTGTGTTACAATTTTTTTGAATTCACGAACATAATACAAAGAAAGAAGTCCCTTTGAATATTTTAAGATACAAAATTTTCAATTTTAATTAAATATTTCACTCCTATTTATGATTAGGTTAGCTCTAAATTTGAATTAGTAAAACTTGTTACTAATTTGAATTAGTGACTGACTTTTTGCAAGTCAGTAAATTTTAGAATAAATTTGTGAATTTTACTAATAAATTAGTAGAAATGACTATTTATTAGTAAAATTAACTAATTCAAAAGCAAAAAGTCAGTCACTAATTCAAATTAGTAAACATTTTACTAATTCAAATTTAGAGAGTGTTTATTATTTTTATTAAACACAAAATAATCGGAAGTAGATATCTCTATCTATCTTTTATTTATCAATAATACATTAATAAATTTGAATAAAAAATAAAGAGAAATAAAATAAACTAAAAAGCAGAATTTTATTATTTAAAATTAGAGATAATTCTCACTAATTTTAATTCCTGGACACGCCTTTAATAATTCAGATTCAGAGTTTTTTTAATTTGTGATGAAGGGAAAATAATTCACATACATATAGTTGATACATTTGTAAATTTATATTTAGTCTAGTATTGATTAAATTTGAAAAAAACTTGTACAATTAATAATTTTTGTTATACAAAATAAGGTTTAAGCCTTCGAATTCTTATTTTTTAAAAAAGTGAATAGATTTTTTCGATTTTCTTATTTATATTGAGAATTATTTTCTGGAGTAAATAGTAATAATCGTTATACTAAAAAAATATTTATTTTTACCCACAACCAGAGAAATTTTTTATTCAAACCCTAAATATAATTTATTTCAGTCAAAAGTATATTTCTCACAGAGCCTACAAAATTATTTATTTATTTTAAATACAAATTTTATTTGTGCTAAATTTATTTGTTTCAAATAAAATTTATTTAAAACAAATAAATAATTTCATAGGCTTTGAAATCAAATACATTTTTTTCTGGGTGGAGAAATGAAGTTTTTGTCGATTCAAAGAAATTATTTGCTTTCAATTGTTTCTTCGATTAAAATTTAATTTTTCTTTGATTCAGAAAAAATTTGATTAAAAAAAAAATTTATTTATTTAAAAGAAATTTTCCTTTTTAAATTAAAAAATTATTTCTTTACCTCTATATGTTAGTGATAAAATTTCTTTGATTTAGAAAACAGATTTCTTGGATTAAAAGAAAATTTGTTTAAATAATCAAATAAAAATTGTTTAAATGTACAGAATTTTCTTTGAATCAAAAATCCTCTTTTTGTTTAAAAGAAAAATTTTTTTATTTGAGTCAAACAAAACGAGTCTAAGAAACTGATTTTTATATTTATTATTTTTTTTGTTATATAATTAACTTTTGTTAATTATATAACAAAAAAATTTTTTTTTACATTTTTCTAGGTGTGTATCGAAAACCTTTTATTTAAATCAATTAATAAACAGTGTCTACATTAAATACAAAAATTATTGGTTCAAATAGAGTTTATATGTTTCAAATAAACATTAGTTATTTCAAGAAATTATTTACTTATTAATATTCAAGTCACTGACTACCATATTTGATTTAAATAATTTTTTTTCAGTCTATTCAAATAATTAATATTTAATAAATTCAATATTCTATTAAATATTTAATACAACCGAGTGATAAAATCAAATATTTATTTATAATTAATATTTGTATACTAAAAAAAAAATAATTATCCTCATAAACGAGTGGATATATTGAAAAAAATAAAAAATATTACTGAAGATTGTTAGAAAAAAAGCATCAAAATGGTGTGAAATTTTTCCACTTAACTCATTGATTATCGAATCTTTTTTACAAAATATTTTCCACAGTCCTCAAAGATTTTTTTTAAGAAGAATCGTTGAAGAAAATTGGGATGGGGAGGAATTCTGGTGACGCGGACCAGCAAGTAAATCGAAGTGAGCTTTACCCCATGGGGGGGTTTGTACGCCCCATCCGTCGAGGATCAATAGCAAGGCAGTGTGCTTCGCGCCGCGGAAAACACACGTTGCTCATCAGGTGTGTTAAGCATCCTCTTTGCAGCATCTACAGTGAAGATTTTTTTTTCTTCCAATATCTTGTAAAAGGTTTTTTTCTCTAAGAGAAATTACATTTTGTTGTTTTTCAAAAATTTTTAGATAATTATCCATTTTTAACTTGAATCGAAATAAACATTTTTAAATACAAAATACTCTTAGTTTATGCATTGCTCTTTACAATTCATTACATACTTTTATTTTTAAAACTATGATGTGTTTTTTGTAAATTAAAATTTGTCTAATAATTATTATACTATTTTTTTATATTTTTCCAAAATACAGTCTTTTCTTCAGAGATTTTTTTCATTGAGAACTGTTTTTGGATTCATCCAGAAAAAGGTTTTGAAAGGTTTTCCAATCGGTTTTTAAAAAAAAAATTTTGTTGTTGAATTAACTTTATTTACAGAATAAATTTATTATTAGGTTCTTTATTTATGTGGGTCAAGTTTACAATAGATGTAAAGAAAAATAATGATTGAAAGATATCGACAGACATATAGATACACTTATGGAAATAGAAGGAACAAGGGTGGAAAAACCGATCGATGCCTTTCTTTTTACTCCCAATTTTCGCTGTTGAAAAACACTTTTCAAACAGAGAATTTTTGTAATATAAAAATTTCGATTCTTTTCCTCTTTATTTTATTAATAAACTTCTTTTGTTTTTGTGATTTAACTCATCAGAAATGCAAGATGCAATGCAAAAAGAACTTTTTTAGAATAAATCTATTTTCCTCATCAACAATCAACTTCTAAAATCAATGTGCAATTTGAACTCGAGTTAAGAAGAGGTGTGTTTTTAACAAGCCAGTAAATTAAAAGGTATGTACTTAAAAATTTTTGTTATTTTATTTCAGCTTTTAGTGTACTGTAATTTTTATGTTTATAACTACTCCTGATCGTTTAAAAAGTTTGTGTTGTTTGCGGCTCTGAATTATTTACAATGTCGAAGCATTTGATATTAATGTTTTTAAATTTCTGAAAACTTTCTTAACTCTTTAAAATTGAATTTTCCTATAATTGAAGGCTTGAAAATTAATATAAATTAGTTTTTGTTATTTCATCTTTTGTTGAATTACGTATATCAAATTAGCGGAGATTGTTGAGATTTTCGATCTCACTGGGCCTTTATAATAGTTTTATTAATATAAATTGTCGGTTCCGGTCCTTATACTCCATCCAATATAGCAAGTACTTTCTGATTTTACTTATGTATTGCTTTAACAAAGTGCTTAAAATAGAAATTTGAAAAAAGGTTTGTTATTATTTTGAGAACAAAAATTATTTCTCTAAGAATCAGTTAAAAATTATAGTTTAACTTCCAATGAGCGACTGACTTTTTGCTTCTGAATCAGTTATTTTTAACCAAATGATCAGTAAAAAATAGAAATATTGCTACTTGAATTAGTGATTAACTTTTTGCTTTTAAATCAGGTTTTTTTTACTGATTCATGAGTATAGGAAAAATTTAGAGAGGAAAATTTTGAACAGGAAACATAACTTTAATAACAAAGACGAAAATTTATTTTAATTTTTTGATATTAAAGTATTCGAGAAACACAATGTGGTAATATGACATATGAGTGTAAATGTAATTATCCATTCAAGTTCATGACATCCTCATTAGGTCAAAATCTAGAGCTAATATCTCTCGAGACACTTTTCTAACAACTCTTCTTTCTCCTTTTCTTCTCATCCGTACACGTGAAAAGCTTGTTTAATATGCCCTATATTGTTGACCACGTTTAATATCAAATACTTTAATTCAAACAATATCCGGCCAATACTGACAGTTAATTTTCAGGTTTCAACCTTGATTTCACATATCATATTTCTTCTTTTCTCACTTCGTGTGTATATTAATAGACGAATTATACTCAAATTTCTGCGCTTTCTATGCGTGTACATTATATCCAGATAGCCCAGATAGATATAAATAGTTCCATTTTTTTTGTTATTGTGTCTATTTTTAATTTCGTATCATTCAGATGTATTTCCTTGATAAATAACAATATAGGTACAATGAATGACTGCGAGTACTACTCGACCTTTTATTATTATGAATATACCGTGATTGCTCAAAAGAAATAAATCATAAGACATTGTACAAAGAGTGCTCTGCTACTGCAGTTTTTCATTTTCTCCATTTTTACAGATTATTTTAAAAAAAGGAGAAAAAAATGTCAAGTGGAGTTGAAAGTAAAACCTTTTGAGTTAAGGATGAATATATTTACAAACAATCGCAGGATAAGAGCGCTAATTCAATACTACATTTTTTATATGAAAAAAATAATTTAAATTTTAAATGCCATTTGGAGAATGGAGATTTTAAATTTTCAATCACAAAATTGTTTGTTAATAAGAAATGATTTAATTAAAATAACCTAAAATCGAATTGTATTCATTTTTTATTTATCTGAAAATTTAATTTTAAATTACAATGGAATATTTATTTGTTAAATATAACAAACTAAATTGTTTGTCCTTTCAACTAAACGTTTTTTAAGTTTAAATTGATTTTTTAATTGTAAAACAAAAAATATAGAGTTGAACTTTTGTTTTGACTCTTGTTCAGATTATTTTTTAAAAACGGTCGAAGCAGAAAATTGATTTTCGTTTTTCCTGATTTTCAGAATGAATTTTGTTTACAAGTGCAACATAGAAATCGTTAACAGAAATTTCTCTCTGTGTATAGGAAAAGGAAACATCTGCCTACTGTAAAACTACTTATCAATAACAGATATAACACTCACTTAAACACTATTTGCATAATATTCTCTTTATCCACTTCTCATGTTTAAATCTTTTAATTTTTATTGATAAAAATTGTTACTATTTTAAAGACAAAAACCGCTGCCAAGTTGTACATTTTTTTAATTTTGGTGTTCATTTCATGAACACTTTGCTTCCTCATAGAAATAATAATAATTGAAATATAAGAATTACTTTTTAGGAAAGGGTTAAAAATCATTAAATCTTGGTCCAAAAAATGTGTTTTTATATATTCTATAAGATGGTAATAATAGTTTAATAATTACACATAAGTTAATAAACAAAAATGTTGAAAAAATGATATTTTCCACAATTCTTGATTTTTCAAATACCAATAATTTCATAATTTCTGCCCGAATCAGGTTCAAAAATAGGTCAATCGAAGCGTTTTTTAATGCTCTTCAAGTTGGTAATAATTTTTTGAAGTTACTTTTACATAATTTAAAAAAATTTTTATAAAAGTCTTATTTTTCAAAATTTTAGATTTTTAAAAGTTTAATATCTCCGGTTAATATGGACGAAAAATGTTCAATTAGGGCTAAAAAGATGCGTCTGAAAAAACTCTACAAAATAAATAAAAAACAAAACTAAACTTTTACATTTTTTAACAAAATTTTTAAAAAAGTCTTATTTACCAAAATTTTTGATTTTTAAAAGTTTAATATCTCCGGTTAATATGAACGAAAAATGTTCAATTAGGGCTCAAAAGATGCGTGTGAAAAAACTCTACAAAACTAAAGAAAAACATTTATAAGTGTCCTAACATTTTTTTAAGTTATGTCCAAAAAACGTTTTTTTACAAAATGAAAAATGCAAAAAAAAAATAGTTAAACTTCATGAATCGGGCTGAAAATACTCTCATTTTATGTCCCCCAGGGAGACCTACAATTTAAAAAAAAATTGAGGCCTTTAGCTCTTTCTCGTTCTGAGATATTGAGGCAAATGTAATGTTAGTACACACATACACACACACACACACATCGGGACAAATTTTTAAAATCCGTTTTTTGGACTTCGGAGGTCAAAATACGTCGAAATTTTTTTTTATTTATTTAGAACATTTATACGGGAAGTTCCTGTGCATATATAATAAAGTACTAAAGTATTAGGCATAATAAAAAAAAATTTATAAATATGTCAAAAAATAACGATCCAAAATTTTGCTAATACAAAGCTTCCTTTATGAGGAAGCAAAATAGTAAAATTTACTAAAATAAGAATCGCTTAATAAAGTCTAATAATTTAAATATAAATCCGAGATACAAAAATACATATTATTTTATTTTATGCACTTTTACATCTTGTCAACAAGAAACTGAAATATTACAGGTAAATAAATAGAATTACAATAGATAAATAAACTAATTTAAAAATTTACAATTCTTAAATTCCTCAAAAGATAATTATTTACTTGTAATAAGATTAGCTTTATAGCTATTTATTATTTACGAATTATGATAATTACGATTAATCAAGATTAATGTCGTAGGCCAAGGTCGGTTGATTGGCATATAAATATATATTATATATATATACAAATTTGACTCCATATATTAATCGACAAAGCTCTTTAAAAAATATATATCATCCCAGTCACATGAGGAATTTTTTTTTTTTTTGATAATAAAATACATATTCTTTGATAAATCCACTATCTAACTTTGTCTGGAAACTATCTACTCTTATCACTTTACAATATTTTTATCGTGACAAATTTTAATAAAAAAAAAGTAATAGAAAACAAATAGATTTGTTTGACAAAAATTTTTCAGAGTTGGAGAATGAAAAATTCTCGGAGAAATAGACTTTGAACTTGAAATTTTCACAATCATACAACAACGAGTCTTTTAATTCAAATAATAATATTTTTAACTGTAATTATTTAATTACAAACATTTGTAACTTTGTCTAATGGTTTAAAGTTTCAGCTTTTAAACGTTTTGATAATCTTGATAATTTTGAAGTTATTGTATCATTGAAAGAAATAGGATTCTTCCTTATAAAGGGTAATTGATCCCACGTGTAAAACATTAAATTATAGCTGAAAAAATAAATTAACGAGAGGATATTTTCGAAAATATTTATTAAATTATCGCGTGATGGTGAAAAAAAAAATTGTTTTATTAAATTGAAATATGAAATTGAATTTAATGGTTGATATTACGTTAATGCTTCGATTATTCCCTTAGAGTTGATGAATTTTCCCAATTTTGAAAATTGATCAAGAAGTGAAAGGTTTGGTTATTCTGTAATAATTTAGAAAGTTAGAAATTAGAATAATTTCAATAGAAAAAAGTATTTTACCTTTCGGTAAATAAAGAGAGTAAAAGTAAAGAGTAAACTAAAGAGTATGTAACATGTAATCATTTTGAGTTGTCTGAATAGAATAGTGAGATAAGCAGAGTTTAAAGGGATGGATATAATCATTTTGTCATCACACTTCTTTCTTAAAAAACATTTTATAATTTCATGTGGACAAATATCTGTATTTATAATTACATATATAAGCCAAGTCAGTATTAACCGGTTTGAAGCGGAGAATACTATCTGGTTCAATATTCTTTCAGGTAAAAGATCGCATTCACAATCCTCTGGAGGTATTCCTTAAGTCTTTAATATACACCGGGTTTAATAAAAGTGCGCAAATACATATATTTAATAGCTACATAAATAACTTAAGTCGAGCAGATATCACTTTATATTGAAGTTTTCAGTAATAAAGCTTTAATGCTTTATAGGTACTGGACGGTTTCCTGGAACTGATGATATTTTATTGATGGAATCTTATAAAGTTAAATAAAAATCAATTCAGATGCGCGTGTATACTGCGACAAAAAATCAATTTTAACGAACTCTTCGGTTCTTTTATTAAACTTTTTCATTACTCGAAAAAAATTCATTTTCTCTCTCATTGTGCATATGCACAATTAATTTTTTTCCAGAGGAAGGTTTTATTTGTATCAAATACAATTTTTGATGATTTTTTCCAGTAGTTTTAATGAAATTTGATTTCCCTGACCAATTCTACGCGGTCATTGATAATTTAGTTTTAAAGATTATGTCCAAATTTTAAATTAGTCGGTACTGATAATTGTCTGCAAGTCTCTTCGACCGTTAAAATTTAAAGAAAGATAATTTAATTATCTTTCCTTAATTTAAGTAAAAATCCAATTTCTTCAATATCAATAAATACAATAGTTAATTGCACAGAACATTAGAATATACGCGAAAAGTAAAACATAAAATGACCAAGTTATTAGACGAGTAATATATGTCTTAATTAATCTTTAGGGCAAACAAAAGGTCATCTACGTCATTCGTTTAATGTTTATTAGATATCAACATTAACACCGAAAAAATATATTGTTTCAATCGTTAGTTTTTCCTGAAAACGCGTATTTATACAAAATTTGAGTGAAATAGTAAAAAAATGGTAAAAAAATGGTAAAAAAAATGGTAAAAAGCGGTGAAAAGTTATAGAACAAAATTTCAACTCTATTATTTACTTCTCGAAGTATAAACATTCAAATGAATCTAGTTATGTGTCATTATCACCATTGATGTATAATGAATCATCTGGCAATATCATACGAATAATTAATTAAAAAACAATGTCAGATTAACCCAGTGATATCTAGTATTGACTTGATGAAACAGATAGTTTGTTGAAAAACAGTATTTAATTGTTAAAAATGTTAACATAAATTAAAGGTTTTATGTAATTGTGCCCGAAGTAATAATTACAATCAGGTATGCAGGGGGTACTTTCTAACTAAGGTTTTGTTAAATTTTGAATTGACCGAAATATGTTGATAATTATTTTATCAAATGACCGGACGCTAGCACGCTTGCCACTCGCTTCACCGGCGAAGTAATAGTTTGTTAACAACTGCGTTAACGCACAGTTGTGCGTTTGAAGGAATGTGCTCTTTGCGTGAAGATCGACATGAGTGTTACTGTTGACAGAAATTTTTTTTTTCGACAATTATCTCACGAATTGGATATAATTTTTAATTCTATCATTGATTAGAGTACGATGGATGATTTACTTCTCAAGTATGTATTTAATTATTCGTTTTAGATAAAATTAATAATGACTCGCGTGATCTGTGTTTACTGTTTACAAATAAAAAAACTCGAAATAATACTTGCTTTTTGACCAAAAAATATCACTGTTTTTAAAGTTTATTTAATTGATTCATAGCTATCATATAAAATGGTAAACAAGAGAAAAAATGTTTAATAAAATGAATGTTTCTATATTGTGTGTATTCCATAAAAAGAGGGTGACATGATATTTCTCGATTCTTTCATAACAGTGCGGAGGTGTTTTAATTGATTTGTGAACAATTTACTTGTTTTCAGTTAGAATTTACGAATATTTGTGCAGTTTTATAAAATAAATTTCTACCTGGGGAAAAATTGAAATACATGGATTTTTATTGATAGAATTATTTTGTTCGAGTATAAAAAAAAGTTTTGATGAAATTAGAAATTTTCTAAGTCTGTAGTACAATATTCTATATTTGTCAAGTGAAATAGAATAAATTTTCTAATATGTAGATTAAATAATTCTTGAAAATCATTTTCAGTGCTTTCTTTTTAATATCCTGTATTAATATTCATGAGAGGCTTTTATCTCCCAATAATTCTTTAATGTCGATTGTCGATGAATCGAAGTCATTTTCATAATTATTATTTTTATGTCAGTTTTGTACACACGTATGTGTACTGTACTGCTTGACGTAATCATGTGTATCACTTGTTTCTTGCCTTAAATAATAAACAAAGACTTGTGTTAATTTTTTATAATATTAATTTCTTATAATATAACAAATTTGTCACTTTATCAAAATATTTTAGATTAAAAATAGAAGTTACTGAAAACCTTTATGGGATTTTTACGAGAATATGATGCAAGGTCCGATATTAGTTGTTTTTAATTATACATACAAGAGCTCTGAAAAAACTTTAATCAATCTACTTTTTTTCTTGTAACTTCTTACTTTTCCAATTTCAAAATCTTGAAAGGAGAAATTTTTTATCGGTTTGCATGTTTGCAATAGCTTGGGAAAAGTTTACAAGACGAAGAAATGCCTAAAAAGAAATGTTTTTTTTTTTTTTTTTTTGAGACTAAGTTTAGATTTTCTTTCGAGAAAAGAAAGTTGACTCCAATAATCTGAATTCATTCATTTAATTGAATCTCTGGGACAATCTAATTGAATTAGCTCCGCATTTTCCTCCTTTCTGGGAGTGAAAATTCGTTTAAAGAATTAGAGAAGCTGGACATGAAACAAATTAACTTAATTTAGCTGAAAAATTGATGTACAAGGTCCCACATATTTCCGTCCTTAACTTTGTGAATGTACGACGACTTCCGACAAATAAACAATTACGTTTACTATACTATACTGTCACTCTCCCTTTCCAACGCCTGATAGGTAAATGGGCTGCTATAAAGCTGTTTGTAGAGGAGTAGATAATTATTGCTGCAACTGTAATTAATCACTTAACTGTTCGTTTGAAGTTTTGGAGTGATGCAAAATTTTGCTACTATCTATAGAGCCAATAACATAAACAACTTTTCAAACTGAAGAAAAATTAAGTGTGGATAAATATTCTTTATTTATGGAAAAATGGTCTATATCTATATGGAGAAATCTATTCTATATCTATGGAAAAATTTATCTATTTATAGATATATTCCCTACTTGAATCCATTTGTAAATAAAGTGAAATATTTTAGAGAAATTTGAAGCAATATTTACAATTTTAGAAAGAGTCATTACAATTTGTTCTGTCGTTTAGAATCAATTTACAGCTGTTTGGTTGTTTACTCAACTGATTCTGAATACTTAGGGAAATAAATTAAAACTCGAGTAAAATGCTTTTAAAATGATATTCTCGCCTAAAAACAAATAAGTCATTTTTTTCATGTAGAATTAATTTTTTCTTTACATAAGAATTTTTTTTCTTTCTATTATAAGAATACCTCAATTTTTATTCATTGATGAGAGTAAAAATTCAGATCTTTTATTGCTAATTATAAATGTTATACAAAGATTGAGTGCACACTTGCGAAGCACATTTTTAAATCTTCATCAATAGAGGTAAAAAAAATGTCGTAATTGATTATTTTTTGATTCGCTTCTAAAAGTAGCATTATTGTATCACTTTTTTTATTACATAAATAGTTTATATCATTTATCATTTCAGAAAATTGGTTATTAAAAACTACTTAGATTTAATTACACTTGCAGTATAGGTATTTCCTGCAAGAAGAAATATTCGCCAACAAAGTTATTGCTTCTTATGAGATTTTAATAACTTCTTTACTTTGAGACTAAAATCTAACATAAATAAACAATCATTCGGAATTTTTTATGTCTCTAATATGTTAAACATATGTAATATTGTCATTGACTTAAATTACAATTTAACAACACTTACGAACAGGTTAACACTACGACATGAAATATGCAATGATTCCTGACAGTCTCTGTAATTTATTACTTTATATGACTTGAATTTTAATTTATGTAAATGAAAACTTTTGAATGTACTTTTTAAAAGTAATTCGTATTTATCTATAATGAAATATCTCATCTGATAGTTAACATATTGTGTTAAATTTTATTTTGCTTACAAAAGCTTTATATAAACATTTAAACAATCTAGTTCGCCACTTTTGAAATAAGTAAAAGATAATTAGTATATTGATCATTTAATCACCATGCGTGTACGCGAACGTTTTGCTGTATTTGCAATTGTTTACAAATGTTTCAAAGAAATGCTTTTAAAAACCATTTCCTGTAAAATTTTTAATCATTTAATATTAACATATACTACAGCGTTATTAGCGTTAACATGTAAAAATATGCTATTTACACCTTGAATGCATTAAGCACATTTCCTTTTCATAAGAGGAAAACCACATGCATTTAGAAGCAGTTTTCTTCTGACATCGACGAAAATAACATATTAGGAGAAAAATTCCTATTCAATTTTTATTCTAATACATGTAGAATAAAATATTAAATTTAATAAGTAAACAAACTAATGATAAATTGATAATTAAAATAATGGCTACTGTTTCTAGTGGTATAATTGTGAGAAATTTTATTTTTCAGACCCTGGATGCATCCGGGAATTGGTGGAACGAGCGACCGAGTGGGCGCTTCAGGTGATGATGAAGCACCGAAAGATCCTGGTGCTCGAGTCATTCAACATTCATACACGGAGAAATATACCGAGAAAGAATATGAAGGTGAAACTAAAATTATTTTTAACTTTTAATGAGTTTCTCTGTCACTGAAATTTCTAAAAAAAAGTTGATGAATCAGGTATTTCAGTCATTTATCCCTTTTTTATTGTCTCACCACTGAAGAAATAAAGAAATCTCACAGGCTGGGGAAAAGAAATTTATCGATCCGAAAATTCTAAAAATTCTCGAGATATTTTTATAGTGATATTTCCAATCATCATTATATCTCAAAGTCTGAATTTCAGTTCATTTAATGAACTAAAGTTCATAGTTTGAATCATCGATATAGTTTGAATATCGAAAAAACTTTGATCGAGAATTTGACTTTCAATTGTAGAACTGTCGACAACTGTTGCGTTAAATGCCAAGTTTAAATCGCACGCTTTACATTTTAGATGAACTTGTCTCCCTTTCTGGACGAGTTACTAAACTCAGCTTTGGCTCTCGACTAGTGATGTAGCAATTGCTCATTTAAAATTTTTCCATTGCGAGCAATTTCATTTCAACTATTTTAAAACATTCATGTATATATGTTGTAATTAAGTCTACTTTAGTTCAAACTTAAAAAAAAGATGCTACTTGGCATGAAAATAAGTTACTGTTTTTTCAGTGAAGTGATTTTCTTATCATTCTTCAGAGATAACGGAGATAATACATAAAATAATATAAGATACTTACAACATGACATATTTATATATGTATTTACTTATTTAGTAAGTGAAATAAATATAAAATTAGTTAGGAGAATTTTTAAAATCAACTGTAGTTAATATGGTTGCTGATAAAGCAACGGTTTTATTTACAGTGTGCATCAAGAAGAATTTAAAATGAAGTTTGAAATTAAAATAAAAAATTTCACTTACCTCGTAGAAATGTAAATTCAGATTTATAAAGATTTTATTTTCACCCTTGCAGCAGTAGTGGTTGTGTATAGTGAGAAGTGGGTTTCTTTGTGTCCTCACTGCGAAGATGTTTTCTTTTGCGAAATTGCGTCTTACCTAGAAACATATTAAAATGTCTGTCAATTTCTTTTTGTAATAAGAAAGAAAATTGTTTTAACAAGCGTTATTGGCATCCTAAAAAAATTATTCTTCAATTTAAAAGAAATCCTAATTTTAATATGTATATTTTCCTCTTACAACCAGAAGAAAGGTACATCTGACTCTGATTGTGAACCTAATAGATTTTTTATTTGTTTAAAATAATTTTTATTTATTTAAAAAAAATTTAAATTTTAAAAGATATTTGCATAATAAGTTTGGATCAGACATTTATGAGAAATATTTTTGAACCGTTTTACTAAAAATAGTTGACTTTATTAAACAGAAAAGTATGTTTGTAAAGAAAATTGAAACGTTAGCTATAATTATTAGCCGATGTTTATAATGTTTTGTTTTTGTTTCGCTTGATGATCATAAGTACAATAAATTTGACTTATAGGTCAGCCAAGAAATGGCTTCAGTTTGCATAAAGAATTCAAGTGCTTCAAAAATCGTTATTTCCTCGGATTTATCGTCTCATTTTCGATACAGAAACTTAACATTGATTACTGAGAATCGAGGTTAGCTCACTGGATCATAGATGCGGCCCTTGAACATCGCCATTGAAGTCCAAGTGCATCTGCAATCCACTTAAACGTTGACTTACTTTACTTCGTGACGAACTTCGTTTGCGCATGTATTTCATCTCTTTTTAAATCATTAATTGATTATTCATTAATATCTTACTTGAGAGAGCAAATTATTCAAATTCAATCAAGTTGTTCAGTTTCTGTTTTCATTTTCGAAAATTTTATTCCTTAATTTTAAAGCAACATATTGTTAATTTAATTTTTTAATATACAATTGAATTTAATCAAGTTTCTTTTGTTGAAAAAAGGATTTTTTAAAATTGTTTTCGTTTTAAACCTTTTTTCAGGTCATCGGGCACACACAGTTTATGTGGGTGTGCATTTGCCTGGCGAACGAAGACACCGCCGGCATCATAAACACCATCACTCCCGGCCATCGAATGAAACAAATAAAGAAGAAGTTGATAGCGAAAGACCTAGTAAATACAAAATATTTCACTTTTTTGTCAAATTGTGTTAGTTTTCACTTGACATTTTATTCAATTATTATTTTATTATTTTTCCTATTTTTAGCTACACCACCGGCTCAAAGAGTACAATTCATTCTTGGGGAGGAAGTTGGAGATGACGCTCATGAATCTCATCCCTTATTTTCTGAAATGGAAGAACTCATCAAGGATGGCGATGAAATGGAATGGAAGGAAACTGCTAGGTATTCTTTTTTATCCCCTCCAGGAAAATTTATGGATAGAATAAATTAATTAAATTGAAAAAAACAACTTAAATATAAATATAGTTTCGTTTTTAAAAATGTTGCGAACTTCAACTTTATAGATATCTAAAAATAGCGAATATCTTGTGAAATTTTCCGATAGACTGGATTTGATTATATCATTATAAAAATTGCATTCCTTATAATCTGCTTCAGATGGATCAAATTTGAAGAGGATGTTGAAGAAGGAGGGAATAGATGGTCCAAACCTCACGTAGCTACTCTTTCTTTACATTCTCTTTTCGAGTTGAGAAGTCTTTTATTAAATGGAACTGTCATGTTGGACATGGAGGCAAGTAATTTGGAGCAAATTACAGATCTTGTACTGGATAACATGATCAATAAAGGAGCTTTGCCATTTGAAATTCGAGATAAGGTGAGTTGTAGTAATTTTCATGTTCAATTTCCCTTCAATTTAAATGCAATTGAGATTGAATTATTCTCCAATATGAATATTTACCAAGAGTCAAATGGCAATTTATTGACTGCACTATAGACAATTCGGTGGTTTTAGAACAAAAATATAATAGAAAATATGTAAAATTTGGATCCTCTCAATTAAATATTAAATGAAATAAAAAACATTGTATGACATTGACAATCAAGTTAACATTGAAACATTTCGTGAAATTGAATTCATTTCGCTCGTAACTTGAATATTTGAAGAATCGGATGCACATTAAAATTTTGTTTTTATCACCAGACGTCTTTAAAATAACTTTTTTGCGCGACCCATATGTGTTTTGTTCTTTTTATGTTTTAGGTCAGAGAAGCTCTTTTAGTTCGACATCGGCATCAACATGAAAGAAAGACCAACATGTCAAGGCTTCCTATTATTAAATCATTAGCAGAAATGCGGAATCATTCATCGTCGAAAAGTAAGTTTTTGTTTTTTGTTTATACTCATTACAAAAGATAACAAACGCTTCCAACAGTCAAAATATTTCTCTTGTAACAGGAACTTCATATCATGAATAATGGATTTTTTTGCAGTATACTTAATTTCATTTTAATTTATTATTTTTTGAATCCATTAATTTTTATTATGTTTTCAATTATACATTCTGTTGTTATGTTAATTAGTTTGCAATTTTGTTTTTAATTTTCCTTTTTTTATTTCATATTTACTTTTATATTTAGTTTTATATTTTATATTTACTTTTATAATTTTATACTTTTTTTACATTATAATTTAAGACCGTCAAATAAGAGATGACGGCGTTAAATTAAAACAATGTGCCCATATTGAATCTATAAAGCAATAAATCACCAATTTCAGATTTTAACTGCTCTTGTGGTATATTTACACAAGATTTACAGGATCGTCATGACACAGGTGATGTTTATTCACCAAGCGTATCACGCAGCAGCAGTTGCCCCGCTTCGAATGCAACAAAAGATGCTAAAGATCTTAAAGGACCATATTTATTGGTTCCAGGTATAATTAAGCCAGTTGCTAAACTGCCGTATTAATATGTTGCATTGTCCATCCGAGTGAAAATTAACTCATTTTCTTTCAAATTACTAACAGAAAATAATTAGAACACATAAAATTTATTAAAATTACCTATAAAATTAATTTTATGTCTTTTTTTTGTAAACTGCTCGAAATTAGAAGAGTAATTACTAATTAGTGGAAAATTGTTTTTAAATTATCATAATATAAGTATAAATTTTAAAAATTTTATGTATTCTAAACAATTATGTTAAATTGTTTGGTCGTTATCTTTTTTGCTATCATTAATGTTGCCATAACATTTATATATTCCATTAAAAAAGCTAATTTTTCTAAATGATTTTATAAAAGCGGGAAAATAAAATTTGATTATTAATGTAATTGGAAAGGCGGATTTAAAAAAGTTTGCGCCTAATTTATTTAGTGTAGAGCTTGACAAATTTAATCGCTACCAGCAATGATAAGCAGTGTCATCTATATTTGTACATTTCATGCTTAACGGTTTTCATTTTATTTAAAGAGCGTAATAATTTATCATAAAAAAACATCTATTAACAAAAACATATTTTAATAGAATATTGTTGTATTTAACAATGTCATTTAAACATTACAAAGTAATTTATAGACGTAAAGACCTTTTTTGTTTTTCGACTTTCTGATTTGACCAATTTTTTGAAAATTGAGAAAATGAGAGAAAATTGAAAAATATCTTTAACATCTGAAAATTACTAGCATAAGTTGTCGTAAAATTGGTGTGTTTTATTAAAAGTTTTCCTCAAATGAAAATTCAATGTTCATTGGAAAAAATTAGCCCGCACTGTCGAGAGAATTCCAACACTGTTTGTAAATGGCGATTTTTGAAAAATAATAATTGTCAATTAGATGAGAGCTTGAATAATTCTGAAAGTTCCGTGCTTTGTAGTGGAGGAGTCAAACTCTGCACCAGCCTTTTCCGGCGCTACAGCGGCGGGTCTCTGCGCTACTACTCGCTTTCTAATTCCGGGTAACTTCAATAAATCAGTGTTTGACATTTTTAATGTTTTATCATTTTCTTTATAAAATTAGAATTTTGCTAAAATTTTAAAGCCTACAGATAAAATTTCTATTAGAAAAATTTCCATTATCTAGCATATATATTTTTATTTATAGAATTAAATTTATTTAATTAAATTTATTATAATTTATATGCATTTAGAATTATATGCATTTATGACACTGAATTATTGGTTTATGAAAACAACATGAGCATGTGGTGACATAAAATATTCTCAGGAATGAATCCTTAATGCTTTGCTTGTTAAGAATTTTTTTTTTCCGCATACTGTTAATTATCTGGACTGCATGTAAATAATAGATAGTGTTAAATGGTTTTGGAGTTTTTATAAAATCTAAAGCAGTAGGCAATAAGCTAGAAATATTTCAGGTCAAGAGCCAAGCAACAACGGAATGGATAGAAGCCCTAGCAGTATCTCCATCAGCAGGAATCATAGTTCCTCTGGATTAGAAAATGGAAAGGTACTGTTTTCTTTTTGTTAATTTTTGTTTATAATGTTTGTTGAAAATTAGTGATTTATACTGTTTTCACTCTTTTAGGGAAATACTCATTTTATGCGTAAAATACCACCAGGAGCTGAGGCCAGCAATATTCTAGTGGGAGAAGTCGACTTCCTGGACAAAACCTTGTCTGCTTTTATAAGACTTAGTCAAGCTTTCATATTGGGAGATTTAACCGAAGTTCCTGTCCCAACAAGATTCATTTTTGTTCTTCTTGGACCAACTGTAAGAAAACATTTTTCTTTACTATAATACAAAATTAGAAGTGATATTTGATCAATTATTCCAAGCTTCGATTTTTTAGCCAAAGTTTTTAGAGATATTTTCCATTTTTTCCAGGGCGGTATCTCTAATTTCCACGAGATAGGAAGAGCCATGGCAACTTTGATGTCCGATGAAGTTTTCCACGACGTTGCTTACAAAGCAAAAAACAGAAATCATTTATTGGCAGGAGTAGATGAATTTTTAGACGCCGTGACCGTTTTACCACCTGGCGAATGGGATCCAACTATTCGAATAGAGCCCCCTGCGGCAATTCCGGTAAGAATTTGACATTTTCTTTCTGTTTTATAAATGTACGATGTCAACAACCTCCTTTCGCAAAGTCCAAATAATTTCAAGATTCTGACTTCTCATATCATGCGTTTGTTTCGATATATTTGTGTCTATCAGAATGAGAAACTTGCTTCAGTTGATACAGACAGATGTACATTTAAATGTATAAACTGTGTTTGCATGCAATTATCATTCAGCTTCACGTTATAAAACAGTTATCACACATAGGATACAAGAAAAAGACCAAAGGAAGAGAAGCCAAAAGAAGAAGTGGACGAGGAGGCTGACGAGCAAAAATTGAGAGAAGAGTCCGGTTTGTCGAGAACTGGCCGACTGTTTGGAGGATTAATTAATGACGTGAAAAGAAAAACGCCTTTTTACTTTTCCGACTTCAAAGACGCGTTGGCCCTGCAATGCGTAGCATCATTCATATTTCTCTATTTCGCATGTCTAGCACCTATAATCACTTTTGGTGGTCTTCTCAGTGAAGCTACTGACAAACACATGGCTGCTATGGAATCTCTTGTAGCCGGCTTTGTATGTGGCATTGGTTATGGTTTTTTTTCTGGTCAACCTTTAACAATTTTGGGATCAACTGGTCCAGTTCTGGTATTCGAACAAATTGTCTTCAAATTCTGCAAGTAGGTTTCACAATCATTTTTTGCCCTTGCCAAAAAATATGAACATCTTTTAATGAAATTTGTCATTTATCAATTTCTAGAGAGTATGCTTGGAATTACATGTCCTTCCGATTTTGGATTGGCACGTGGATTAGTGTAATTTTAGTTATTCTTGTTGCACTCGATGCCAGCGCTTTTGTCTGTTACATTACTCGATTTACCGAAGAAAATTTTGCTACTTTGATAGCTTTTATTTTTATCTTTAAAGTGAGTATTACAAAAATACGTAATTCCAATTTCATGCAAGGCCGAATTATCAAAGGCCATTTATTATAATGTTTGATAATAATTATTGATTTTGTTTTTGTATCCCAGGCAGTTGAGAACGTACTTTCGATAAACAAAAATAATCCATTAAATAGGCACGGTAGCGATGGACTACTCAACTATAATTGTTCTTGTAAATCGCCAGATAATTACTTTCCATCTAGTTATGACAATATGAACTGGACATCAATGGATAAAATTGCTTGCAAGGTAGTTTGTAGAACGATACATATATCAAAGTTTTGAAACATACATCTTGTAGTATTAGATATTGTAGTAGTAAATGTTTGGTATGCTTCACCTTTAACAATCTAAGAAGTATTTAATTATTTTTTAGACCAACAATGGTACAATGATAGGTGATCACTGCAATTATGTACCCGATGTGTTCCTTATGTCAATTATTCTCTTCGTGGGGACATTTTTGATGTCCGTTGAGCTCAAGGATTTTAAGAACGCTCTATTTTTTCCATCTAAAGTAAGTTTTCATCTAAACTTTTTTTCTATATATAAACTAAAATAAAATTTACTTTTTGACAGTATATATGGTGTGACAAAAATCTATGTTTTGTTTTAGGTAAGACAAATTGTGAGCGATTTTGCCGTAATTATTGCAATCTTTTCAATGTCGGCGTTAGATTACTATGTAGGAATTACTACACCAAAATTGGAAGTTCCTAACGAGTTTAAACCAACATTACATGACAGAGGATGGATTATATGGCCTTTCCAGGACAATCCTTGGTGGAGTGCACTTATAGCAGGTCTTCCAGCCATGTTGGGTACTATTTTAATTTTCATGGATCAACAAATTACGGCTGTAATTGTTAACCGAAAGGAAAACAAACTCAAGGTAACTATTTATTTTTCTCTTTAGTCAATCTTCTATTTCTTAGAATACCTTTTATCTAATTGGGATAAATCTGTTTATTATTTATCAGAAAGGTTGTGGGTATCATTTGGATCTGTTCATACTGGCCATTCTGATCCAAATCTGCACAGTGATGGGTTTGCCGTGGTTCGTTGCAGCAACAGTCCTTTCTATTAATCATGTCAATTCGCTGAAACTGGAATCAGAGTGTGCAGCGCCAGGAGAGAAGCCACAATTCCTAGGTGTCAGAGAGCAGAGGGTTACTCACATCCTGATATTTTTGATGATTGGCCTATCTGTTCTTCTAACTCCACTGTTAAGGAAAATTCCAATGCCAGTGTTATTTGGAGTTTTTCTCTACATGGGTGTTTCGTCTCTGAAAGGTCTTCAGTTCTTCGACAGAATACTCATAATCTTCATGCCCGTTAAATATCAGCCAGATCACATGTTCCTTCGACAGGTTGGTATTGGTCGAAAAATGGAAACAAAATTAAAAACTTTATTTGATTGATATAAAATGATGTGCTTTTAAAAATAATATTTTTTCAGGTTCCGTTGAAAAGAGTACACATGTTCACATTCATTCAACTAGCATGCCTCATATGTCTGTGGTTAATTAAATCCTTTCACAGCACATCGATTCTGTTTCCATTAATGGTAAGTAAATGCGTGCTATTAAATTCCATTGATTCAACCCAGTTTTATTCTCTTGAATATTATTTGTTCGGTAGCTCGTAGTGATGATTGGGATTAGAAAAGCATTGGACATAATGTTCACCCAGCGAGAGTTGAAAATTTTGGACGACATAATGCCCGAGAACTCGAAGAAACAACACGAGGACGATCTCTGCCACCTGGAAAGCGGAGAGGTTAGCACGGCAATTAAAATATTAAGGGCAATATCGTGTCGTAAATAGCATTCAGCAAGTGATCATAGGGTTCCTTGTCCTGTGGTCACAATAGCCCTTTGCGATAAAACCACTTTGTATGAAGGACATGCCTGATCTATGAGTTTAAGTTATTAATTTACACATAAGACAACAGTAATATTAGATTTCCAAGACAAACCAAATTTTTTTTCTCAATAACAAAAAAAGACGTCGATTATTATTATCGAACGTCGAAAGCCTCAATATTTTACAAGTCCTGTTAGATTGTTAATTAGCCAATAACTTAAGAGTTAGGTAATTGTGTATACTTGACTCGATAAAAGTATACAAAAACAATAATCAGTATTAGAATAATTATAAATATTGTCGATTTCAATGTAAATCAGGTGAAAGTAGATATTTGTAATTGAAAAACAAAACGGCGCTATGTTAATTGTAATTCACATTTATCTCATAAATATTTCGATTGATTTTTTAGACGCTATTGAAATTTACCAATAATTTTTATTAATCGGAATACTTGTGAGAAATAGTCAAATTGTACAAGTTCGGAAACATTTAAATAACAAAGGCTGAAAGGTGTTTTTTTAAAAAGCAAACACTCCTTTTATACTCTTGTACTTTTTGAAAAATTTATTAGCAAATTTTTTGCAAAGTTAAAATTTGTCAATTTGTGTACGAAACACTGTCAAAACTGCGATTGGTTAGTAGATTGCATATCAATGTGTTATATATAGCACACGACACAACCTGCCTACATGTAAATACACTATTATGCCACTAACAATATTTTTTCATGTTACTTCCTTCAAAATATTATCATTTAAGCACCTTTCCTTTCGTCTCGGTGTAATATTCTTCTATAAGCTTTTGAACACTCGCTTTGAATAAAATCACCCAATTGGATATAAATTCGAGATGTGGAGTCTTAATCAAGTTATAAAGGTACAAAAACAGTTCAGTCTGGCTTTTATGCCTCTTAGAAAAGTGTATATCAGCTTTTTTTTCATTGTGCTTCGTTTTGGAAAATTTTATTTCCTGACACTATTTATCCAGTACAATGCATGGCCTTCTATATAAAATTCATTTTTATTTTTATAAAATTAATTTCATTTCTTTCTGTCGTTTAATTGCTTATAGGATCTGAATGAAAATCTCGACTTCGATTCATCGGGAGATAACAAGACTGGAATCTGGCAACAAATTAACGAGAAGCAACCAAAAATTATAAAGTATGTTTTTCGCTGTTTTAAATCAATACAGAAAATTGTGAGGTATTGAAATAAAATGCAATACTCGTATTTTAATGGAATAATTGGGATGGATTAAATTAAGAGTGCTGTGTGTTATTTTAATATCTCCCAATTTTATGTGAATTGACTAGTCGTTTATTTATCAAAATTGAAAAGGGGCTTCTTCTAAATTAAAGATGTTTAGGAATGAAAAAGTAGAGAACATTTTTTAAATAGTATATTTTTTGGGAATGCAGCATTAGTAAGCAGAAGAAACAGCAGCCGAAAGAAGTTGTAGGTGACTGTGGAATTTCAATTAAGGTAACACACGTTTAATCAAATCACACTACGCAATAGAAGAAGTGATTGAACTCAATTGAAGTAATACTAATCATCTAATTCATTAAAAGAAAAACCGTGCAAAGAAATTAATTCTCGTTATAGGCATTCAATGTTGTGTTTCATATTCCTTCTTTGCAAAAGTTACTTAAAATTGTTATTTTCTCTTAGGTTGATTTAATTCGATCTAAAGAAACAAGTCCATTTAAAGCAAATGGTAACACAGCGGCTGAGACTTCCGTATGAGCAAAAAAAATTTTGTTTTAACTAAGAATAAGAAATATCCTTCCAATATTGAGTTTAAGAAGACTAACATAAAAAGCCTAAAAGAACACGGAAATTTGTACAAAAGAAATAGACAAAATTTAGTAGATGGTGGAAAGTTTGCAAAGTAAACAAGCAGAAAATTTTCTTCAGCAAATTCATAATTTAAAACAACTTCGGCCTTATATATTTTCTTCTTAATTACCTACTTTTCATGCGCTAATTACAAAACTGATTTTAAACTATTATTTACTAAAAAATTTTCAATAACTTTGCGTAGAATATTTTCTGCATGTATGTTATTGTTATAATCGTCTATGGAGCAAACTTTCCGTACTATCCGAAAACGGGAGGGGTGGGGGCGGGGGGTTGTGATCAAATAAATATTAAGCTATTCTTAAATCTCAAGATTTTAATTTTAACAAAATAAGTGCGGATAAGTTTAAAAAGTTAATAATAATATTCTAATTACTACTTATTTTATTATTTTCTTAAGTAGAATTCGAATTTTTAAAACATTTTACAAATAATGACAAGCATTTGTCAGTATAATATATACTAAACGGAATATGTTTAAAAAAAAGTCATTAAGATTTTAAGATCTTTTTAAAAGACGACTTTGTCCCATAATCGATAGTGATTTTTGTAATGTTGTTGACTAGTTTTGACATTAACGATAAAGAGGAAAGTATGTTATCTGTGAAACAATTTTTACCAGTGGAACCTTGAAGGGAGATGAATTAACGTGCAATAATATTATAATGACCTAATTAAATTTAAGAAAAAGTGATAGTCCAGTATGTTTGTAGGACATTTAAACAAATTAATAAGGTACGAATGGATTATTATAAGTATTTATCAATTAAAACTCAATGCGTGTAAATCGATTTGAGGGGAGACACTATATTAAATTCATTTTTCCATAATTGAATTTTTAATCATTTCTTTTTTTTATTTAAAATCTATCTCTTAGATCTTGTTAGATTTTCAAATACTTTCTATAAAAATAGAGAATATTATGTATTGTCAAAAATACAGATAATTAAATTATTTATAAAAAGATAAAATTCTTTTCTTATGAAAAGTTTCAGAATGTCGCGTCTTATATTAATAATTTGTATTTTTTTCTTTTTTATACATAAAAATAAATGAATCGACAAAAGTAAAATTTGTTTTTTCGCAAAAGATACAACCAATTTTGAAAAATGGTTCTTCTTGTAAATTCACGTACATTTTTGTTCTGAATTACATATTTCTAATTTGTTCAGAATTACGACTAGTTTTTGTAAACTAAATTTTTTATTAAGAAGCAGTTATCACCTGAATATTAAATTTCATATTTAGATAATAAATACATTAATTTTGTTATCTTTTCTATTTTTATTTCAAGATTGAAAAATCATAAAAGCATAAAAGAATTGTCATTTTTCACTTTATTTTTCTCGAAAGAACGTTTCTGGTATTTGGGACTTATTTGGAATTCTAAGCGATTTTTTGGGTATAAGACCTCATAACTGTAAAATGTTTAAAATTTAATCAGGAATACGCCCATGTAAGATAAATTCATTAGTGTGAAAATAGCAAATCTTCTCACGAGGACGTATGTACATACAAATGATTCTTTAAAAAGTATATACAATTTTAAAAATACATTAAATTAATATAATAAATCACGATAAATATTCGAGTATCATTTTGATCTGTGCACGCAGTTGAAATTAATATAACAAATTCTATATCTAAGAGAAAAGCACAAGAGGTAAAATTTTGTCTAAAATATTCTCAGCGAGATTAAATTAAAATTTTTTAAAATCTGGTGCCTTACATCATTATCAATAAAAAAGTGACATAATGGGAATTTACTGACTCATGCAATTATGAAAGCTATTTGAAAATATTTTATATTTTCACGATAATATATAGTAAATCTATATGAAGACTCTTTTTAACAACAAACAATGTCCTGTGCTACTCTTGAATATAAGAAATTCGAATTATAATAAATACTTTGCAGATTTCAATTTCAACTGCTTTTGTTATTATCAAACAATCTAAAATGGTAAGAATGGTAAGCACAAGTTTTAATATTGGGAGTGATCAATATCATATGAAAAAGAAAATCTTTATTTAAGAACAGTCTTAAATTCAGCACTGCCTGCTAACGTGTAGAATCCCTTCTTAAAATAAGACTTTCTTTTTACTGCACCGGAAAACAGTATTCTTATTTTAAGCGGATTTTTCTTATTTTTATGTCCTCAAAAGATGTCTTCTTATTTTAACGTTTAAACATTTTTTTCATATATAAAACTGAGGTTTAAAAATGTTTAGAATGTCATTATTTTAGCTGTTGCATAAATTCAGTTGAATAAAATTGTTTAATTCTTTTAAAAAAATTATAATAGTGCTAAATTTTTACTATGAAAATGGTTAATAATTATTAGAGAGTTAGTAGAGAATCACCAAAATACAGAGGAAATGCTCTCCTGTAAATTTTTAATTCAAGTAGGTTTAAAATATAAGAGGAATTTATAAGAAGAATTTTCCTCTTAAAAAGTGAATCATTTTTTTCCAGTGCGTGATTATTGAAAAGAAAATATTATTTCATTATTAAGTTTTGATTTCGAAAGTTTATGTATTATAAGTTTTTTCATTTATATCCTTCTTAAAAAATGTCTTCCTTATGGTATTTTTAAATTTGAACAATTTACATAATTAAATAATATTTTTTCAACAAACAAAATTATCAAATGTTTCAGCTTTGCACAATTGTTGATTAACCCTCAAAGTACACACTAGGTCAATTTGATCCACAAAAGTTTTTCAACCGAGAAATTCTTAGATAAATTTGAAAAGTGTATGGTCCATTAAGCTCTGATAATATAGTTTAAGTTTGCAACTATTGTTTCAATCGTTTTCCGTTAACTTCAGAGCGTCCAGCTATCGTTGAGAAAAATTCGAAATCATTGAACAAAGACCCAGTGCACTTAAATTTAAAAAAAGTATCTTTTTTTAAAGATTCAATAGTTTATTTTCTCTTTATCAATTTAGTACACTTTTAGAGCTTCCGTATAAATTTTCAACTTAAAATATTGAAAATCTAAATAGTAAATACAATGTTATTCCAATTTTTAAAAAATATTTTTATTCATTTTGTAATTATACTCGATTAAAAATATACAGGGCCAGACTGACCCAGAGTGTACTCCGTGATCGAAAAAATAAATATGTTCTCTGAGGGTTAAAAGAAAAAAAATTTTTCTAAACATTTGATTAAGATTCTCAAATTTTTTACAAAAAAAAAGTTAATCGATAATTACTCCGCATATACATAGTTTAAATATCAAGGTATTAATAATGAATAAACGATTTGTGAAAAGTTACGTATTGTCGTTTAATATAAAAAAATTATTTAATTTAATAATGTAATATCGTTATTTTATTATTATACTCGAAGAAAAATTATTATTGTTCATCAAATAAAAAGTAGAATTGGCTTTTTCAGAAATTGACGTGTTATTCAATTTTTACCTGTTGATTCTATTTTCCACAGATTAATACAACAGCAATAGGTACAAATAATGACAATATTTGTTGAATTAAGAGAATAAAAGCAATAATAATAATTCCATTTAGCTTAATAGACGTCGAGAAAATGAAATGTCATATCCATGGAAACGAATTTTCAAACATTGAATATTAACATTGACCACTTAATATTTTTCAGTTCATAAGAAAAAACCATTAAATTAGCATAAAAATGGTGATATTCAGTGAAGTAAATCCCTTTAAGAGATTAAAAATTGAAAATATCGTTTCGTTAATGAAACCATGCTACATTTTATCCCGCATTCATGGCATACATCCTTACTCTTACAGCAATGTGTCAATTTCTTTATCTAAATCTTGGTATTTTGCTTCTTTGATAATAATGGCTGTTTACTTAGGTAGTGGAGTTTTTATTCTGTATCAAATAGACGTATCAGGTACTTTAAGGTATGAGTATATACCAGGTCTCCTTCAGGGGAATTCCTACGTAATAATTAGTGCTGTTTTGGGATTTTGGAATCTACTTTATACCGTTCCTCGACTCTCCTTTCTTCAAAGCTTGTTAAAAATTTCATCGAATATACCCAAGGAAGCTTTTCAAAAAATTGGACTATTTATTTACATAAAGGATATTTTTGGTTTTATCTTCTTAGTCGGACAAATCCCCAATATTTATGATAAAAACATTTATGTCGCAGGAAGCAAAGCTCATTCACTATTTGCGACATTGTTGGTATTTTTGACAGACGGACTTTATATGAACATTGTGTCAGTCTTGTTAATTTGCTTTAAGAATATTAATAACAATCTTATTAAACTAAAGAATAATATTATAGCGAAGGAAAATCAATTATTAGTGTCATTTTTTCATGAACGTAATAATTCTCTTTCGGCTTTGAAATTGCATTCCATTAAAGAAATGCATTTTGCTATTAGTGAAGTTGTCGAGAAACTTAATTCGACATTTAGTTTTCCGATTGTTGCCTCACTTATTTTGACTTTTGCGGAAGTTACATTCAGTTTGTATTTCTATTTATTACACACGCGCAGTGATAAAAAGATTAATCTCGAAAAGCAAATTTGGTATTCATATTTTATAACGTCCGTCTCTTACTACTCTGTTAAGTTGACTGCTTTAATTTGGGTGTGTCAATTAAACAAAAACGAAGTATTAACAACGGGCTCTTTGGTCCATGAAATTCTGCTAAATACTGATGAACCTCAATTCAAAGATGAAGTACGTACGATAAAAAGATACTCAGGTAGAAAAATTATACATGCTATGGCATAATTTATTATAATTTCTTTGAATACATCTCAATTAAAATAAGTTTTCACATTTTGCACATAGTTTTAGAAACGAAAAAAGAAATTAGAGAACAATTATTAATATTCAAGGAAAAAAATATAATTTCTTTGTCATGTATTAAATAATAATATATCTAGTAAAAATAGAATTTTCATAATGTTACACTTTTATTTATCAGCTTCAACTATTTTCATTGCAAATACTTCAGCGAGATAATTCACTGAAAGCAAGAGGAATATCTTTAGATGCCAGTTTGCTAACAAAGGTATTGAATAATTTTCAAATAAAATAAATGTTTAAAGAATTTTTTTAACTAAATGTACCATTGTTGATAGTAGGCCTTTTTTATTTCTCTCGGCATTTGATGAATAGACGACGACAAAGTTCACAACATTTATTATTAACGATTAATGAATAAAATATTTTCCACAGCAAAAATAGAAGAATTTTTTCTGTTTACAAATTTTTCTTCTTCATACAAGATTTATAAAAAAAAATTCTTTTTCAAAAATACAGGGCTAGAACCAGTGAAAGTATTTAAAAATACGGACTTTACGGACCAAAAATGAAAAATTACGGATCAATTACTGACAAAAATATAAACATTCCGAGTCAAATAAGACAAAACATTTTTCTTCGACTCGGAGTCATCGATTTCTTCATGTTTTATAATAATTACAGATGATTCAAGCATTTTTAACTAAAATTCTTCTTTAAATCAATTATTTTTAATAATTTTCAAAAAAGTTCTTTGACAATTTTCAAATCCATTTGTTTACAGTATTCAATTTTACGAAAACTTTTTCAAAAACATATTAATTTCAAAATTCAATTATTTTTAAAAATTCACGCCAAATTGCTTTTAATATTCAATTATTATCTAAAATTTTAACTGAAATTCATTTTTAAATCAATATTTATTAGAAAATTTTACCAGAATTCAATTATTTAAGTATATAAATGGATATTCTTTTAAATAATTGAATGTTTTTTAAAATTGAATTTTCATAAAGAATTTTATCAACAAATTTTTAAATAATTGAATTTTTTTTACAAATTTTATTGAAATTTTTAAGAATAATTTCATTTTTTGAGAAATTTGAGGAAAATTGTATTTAAAATAATTGAAATTTTGCCAAGAATTTTATTAAAATCTTTGAAAATAATTGAATTTCGGAGAAAAATTTTATTATTTATAAAGATAACTGAAATTTTTACGAGAATTTTTATAAATTTTTGAACATAATTGAATTTCTGCGAAGAATTATATTATACTTTTGAAAACAATAATTGATTTCTTGAGAAATTTTATTAAAATTTCTTTTTAAATAATTGATTTTTTTCTGAAATTTTATTGAAATAGTAGACATTATAAATAAATGAATTTTTACAAATGTTTGAAATCAATTAAATTATTAAAATTTTTGAAAATAATTTAATTTTTTGAATAAATTCAATTAAAAATGTATTGAAAATAATATTTAAATTGTAATAAATAAATTGTAGTAAAGGCTTTTTTTAAATATCTAATTTAATTTCTTTGATAAATTTTAATAACATTTTTAAGAATAATTACATTTTTCGAAGAATTCCATTAAAATTGTATTAAAAATAATTGAAAGTCTTCGATGAGTTTTATTATGTATTTATGAAAATAATTGAATACCTGTAAAAAATGTTACTATTTATGAAAATAATTTGTAAATAATTGAATTCCTGTGAAATTTTTATTATTTATGAAAATAATTTAATTTCTAAAAAGAATTTTATTATTTACGAAAATAAATTGAATCCCTGTAAAAATTTTATTATTTATGAAAATAATTAAATTATTTCGATGAAATTTATAAAAAAAATTTGTAAATAATGAAATTCCTGTGAAATTTTTATTATTTTTTGAAAATAATTAAAGGTTTGTGTATAGAAATTTATTAAATTTTTTTTAAATAATTGAATTCTTTTCGAAAATTTTATTAGAATAGTAGATACCTATATTAAAAATCATTGAATTGAGGAACATTTTTGAAAATAATTGAAATTTTGCCAAGAATTTTACTAAAATTTTTGAAAATAATTGAATTTCGGAGAAGAATTTTATTATTTCCTAAAAATAATTGAAATTTTGACGAGAATTTTTTTTAATTTTTGAACATAATTAAATTTTTGGGAAGAATTTTATTATTTTTGAAAATAATTGAATTTATGCAGTCATTTGTAATTTCTCTAAAATTATCCAAATTATATCGTACAATTTACGAACTTTTCATTCTTTTTGAATCAAATTACAGACTTTACGGACCTTTTTTTTTAAAAACCGACTTTTACGGACTTCAAGCACAGTTACGGACTTTTACGGGATTTACGGACCTAGTTCGAGCCCTGAAAATATTTTAATCTTACTATGATTTTTAGAAGCTAATTTTCATTAATTTTTATATTTAAATTTACGCTTGCGAAGATTTTTCTTTAAATTTTACAAATTTAAAATTTAAAAATTTTACAAGTTTTTCTTTAAAATTTGTAATGTATATAATTTTGTTTTTGCAGCTGGTCAGTGGGATCACAACTTATTTATTAATTTTAATACAATTTCTCGTCTCATCAGAAAATACTTGCGAAAATAAGCAAATTCCAAGCTAGAATGTATGATATTTTTACATTTAGAAAAATTACCATAAGAGTGTTATTTTTTTATTAAAAATTTATAACTAATTGCACTTGTGCTGGAGTTATACAATTTAGAACAACTATAGTCTTTTAATGAAGTCTATTTCATAAATTGATTGTAAACAATAAAGTAATAGAAATGAATAATTAACAGCAAGATCAATAATGCACTTGGGGAATGAAACTGATTAAACTCAATAATGCAGTAAAGATGTGTATGCACAACATGAAAAAGTCGTTGTTTCGTGCCTCAAACTTTTTGTCCCTTATGAAACTTAATTTCCTGCTTTCCCGTTTTCACGGCTTATTTCCATATTCAATCGAAAAAAATACAATTATTTTCTCAAAATTATATTACGTTTATTCCTGCTCACTAACGTTTGTCGATATCTGTTGCATATTTGTCCTGCTTTACCAAATGAACGTTTACGGTGTTTTAATATTAGAAGTCCCCGTCATGTTACAAAAGAATTGTTACCTACTATTCGGAGGATTTATAATGATTTTCACTCATGTATTTACTATCCCAAGAATGAAGTTTCTGCAAAAGATCATTGTAGTATCATCAAAAATCCCCTCTGAATATTTTCATAAAATTTCTCGATTTATAATAATTAAGGACATTGTCGGTTACATTTTTCTAACAGCGCAAACGGTTTATGTTCTTATTTTCGAAATTAAAAGTCTCACAGCTTTGGCATATTTTAACATAACTTTGGTAGTATTTCTCGCAGACATGCAGTACATTAATTATGTGTACGTTATTAGAATATGCTTTGAAAAAATCAATCAAAATCTTCAAAATTTAAAGTACACGATGATGACAAAAGAACCGCATCTTTTGAGAAGAACTTATCATGAGCAGAATAATGAATTATTGCTGATTGAGCTGAATAATCTTCAAAAACAACATCACGAAGTGAGCGATATTTTGAAAATGTTAAACTCAACGTTCGGCCTTCACAATGTTGCGAGCATAACAATGATGTTCACGGAAATGACATTTCGACTTTATTTTCATATTTTAAAACTTTTTAGTAAGAAACCGACAGATCACATTTTCGAATTTTATTTTTACACATCAATGATTTATTATATACTTAAATTAACTTTTATCGTTGATATTTGTGAGAAGGCAAAAAATCAGGCGCAGAAAATTGGAAATACTGTTCACGATGTTTTGTTATCGACTCATGATATCAAAATAAAGGAAGAGGTAAGATAAAATTTGTAATTATTTAAAAAAAAATTAAATTACATATAATTTTAAGTAAATAAATAAACTACATGTGATTTGAAAGAAGTTGAAAAATAACATAGTAGAATATTCAACTACTTTTGTTTTTTAGCTTTATTTATTTTCTCTGCAACTTCTGCATCGAAATAATATCTTCTGTGCAAGAGGTCTAGTCATCAATTACTCACTATTGAATGAGGTATAATTTTTTGACTTATTTCTCACGCAACATTGTAATTTATTTTCTGAATTTGAGTTCCTAAATATTGAATTTTTATTTTACATGTAAAGAATGTCACTTTTTTCAAGTTTCATTTTATGTTGAAACAGAACATTAAGTTATTATTTATGGAAAAGTTGTTTTTTCCTTTTATAAAGAAAAAAAACTTTTATTGAATTAATCAAAATTTGATTGTATCATCGAATAATATTTTTACTAGAATCACAAAAAAAGTCTATACAAATATTAAATAATTTTTTGATAAAGTATGACTTCAAAGTTTTGGGCGTTCAAATAAACCACGATGGTTTATCATTTTTTTAATTTGAATATTAAGAAAATAATTAAAATATGCAATACATTTTTTGTTATGGTAATTTTTTGTGAACCAACTACTTGACTATTATCAATTAAATATTTACTTGAGTCAATTAAATTCAATTTAAATCAAATTTTATTTGAATCAATTACATGGTATTTTTTTCAAGTACTGAAATAATTGGTTCAATTACGATTTAATTGATTTAAATAAAAATTATTTGATTCAAGGAAATGTTTATTTGATAATAAACAAGTAATCGGTTATTTAAATAAAATTTTGTTTTCAGTGCAAATTGTCAGATTTGTTATAGATACTGCATGTTTGTTGTGGTCTAATAAAAATATTTATTTCTAGCTGTTACAAAAATAAAAGTACATGCTATTTATTTCTAGATCGCAGGTGCAATCACAATGTATTTATTAATATTAATACAATTTCACATGTCATCGCCGTCAGCAACCTGCAGTATTGATAATATATTAAAGGAAAATTAAATTTCAAGAAAATTGCAAACTGTAAACAAATTAAAATATTTTATATTATTCACGACGAGTTCCTGTGCATATATTTCCTGTCTTACACAGAAGTATGAGGATTTAGCTCTCAACTAAAAGTACAACGGCGCATGCGTGAAGAAACAACGGGACGGAGCAACAGTGCAGAATAATGTATCATTTGAAAATAATCTCACCGTAAATTCCCCTTTATACAAATAGAATTCAGTTTTTAAATATTTCTGACAATTACCCTTTTTTTGTAAAATAGTAAACTATTTTTTATAATTATCCCCATCAACCATTAGAGACAATTTTTAAATTCAAAATCTAAAAGATATTATTTATCATCAACTTTATTGTTTTATATTTTAAATATTTGAATTTTGAAACAGACCTTAAATTTTAAATTTAATTACTTATTTTTAATGTGAAAGTACATAAATAAACATTCTTGTGTGGATTGTTAAGGAGTAAATTTAATTGTTGTTAACATTGTATTTTTTGGTAATTTTATCGGACTGTCTGTGGTAATCAGTCGACAGCAGTCAGCTGCCAGCGGTGGCAGCGTTCAGATTTAAAGTGGGTTGTTCTTGTTTTAAATTGTGTAATTATTTGCACTTTATTTTATTTCCAAGTCTTTTGACTTCGATAAAGAAAGTTTTATTAATGTTCACATGGCGGGTTCTTCATCTTTTCTCTTAAAAACAAAAATGTTCAACATCTTTTGTAAAGTCCGTCTAATTCCTAAACCAATAGAAATGAGTTTTGAAATTTGAAGATGAATAATGACTAGCACTTCTGTCATATCAAAACAAAACGCATTAATTGTCCAAATGCAATAAGTCAATATATCCATCAGTTGATAAATTGGTCTCTTAACAACGGTAAGGATAAACTATTTACAAATTTCTTTTTACTATTAAACTAAAAGACATTTTCAAATACGATACTTCAATTTTCAAAAATCTAATTAAATTTATTGTATATTTTGATTAAAAACATTAATTGGAAAAAAAATAAAATCTTTAAAATAGTTGTAAAATAACAAACACTTCATTTTTAAAATTTGTTTAAATTTAAAAAATACTTTAACAAAATTTTTTCTTAAATTAAAAAAAATAATAATAATAACAAAGTAGTCAAATTGTCTCATAGAGTTTATCAAAATGTAAAAAAAACATGTTGTTGCAAAATTTTATTCACGGTACATTGTTTTTCATTGACTGCTATATATAGGTATAAACGTAAACAGCTGTTATTTTTAGTAACACTGGAAAAAAGTTGAGACGAAAACTTTACGCATGTACTTAATTAGTTTTAGAACTATTCAATTACACACGGTTATATCACAAAACTAATTTATTTAATTAATTTGCAAAAATTATTAAATCATTAATTTTTTAAATAATTTTTTATGATAATTATTGTTAATAAACAAATATAAACAAGTTCTTTTTTGTGTTTCTTTCAGTATGTTAAATAAGTTTTGAAGTATACTAGTTTTCCAATTTTACACTGAATTTTTTTTTTTTTTACAATCAATGTTCGTTTATTGAATGTGAATGCTTTCAAGAGAAGACGTCATATACATAACTAAAAATAACCGTGATAGTCGGTAAAGTAGTCTCTCAGAGACACAGTATGTATAAAAGATAAGACAAAAATTTTATCAACAATTTTTTTTTAATTAATTGTAAATAGTAAATAAATAGATTATCAATAAAACAGAAATTTGAAATTTTACTTCTCACACATTTCGCACGCAATTTATTTTTGTGAAAAAAGTAAATTAACTTTATGACAGAGTCATTTAAAAGGTTAAAATGATTATTAGATTAAATGAGAATAAAAATGAATAATCAATGAAACGCCTTTTTAGTTAAATTCGCAACAAATCTGACTGAAAAAAAATTCCTTAATTTTTTCAATAAACTTAGGAACAGTAAATTTCGTGAATCAAAAATTTATTTTTTATTGTAAAATTTGATTCAATTTTGCAGATTTGAGATATTATTTAGTCATATTTTTAATTTCAGTTCAGAGAAAAGGATTGCATTTTTTTCCTCTGTTATGATATTTTTTTTATTACTTTAAATTGTGGTTGAATAATAAACCATTTAACAGGTTTCTCTATTTACACATACAAATGGAAATTTATTGTTCTGTGCGTTTAATTAATAATATTTCTCCTATTTGTAATGCGCAGAAAGCTCATGTACGAGTATAGATCATCATATAAAATAATTAACATGTACGTTATTTGTACAGCAGATATGTTCAAAGTACAAAATTAATGCGTGCTACATTCTTTTAAACATACAATATAGGTACACGTACCTGTCGTCTAAAATATTGTTCATCATTTAAAAATGTATAATATTCGAGAGTGTTAAAAATTATGTACATATAGTATAATAAATTCACGATTATTATAACAAACAAAATTATGTATAATTTATCTACTTTAATTTAAATACACGCAAGTAAAGAAATAAATAAATTTTTCCTTTTGTCAAAAAAGATAAAAAAAATTCAACTGGACAAGTTAAAAATATTTACGAATAAAAAAATTAATATCTTTGAATTTAATGTTATATAAAAGCTAGAATAAATTTCAGTCAAAGAATGTCATAATGACTAAATTTTGAAAGACTCTATCCGAAAACTTTTACTTATTTATTATTTGCATATTATCTGATTTTAATTATAGTTTCGAAAAAATTTTCATCTACAGATATTTCATAATTCCTGGCATTTAAATATTAATAAATTATTCTAACTTTCAAATTATATTGTAATATATTAAACAATTTTTTATTGTTATTTTTTACATCCTTTTTATGATAAATGAATAAACTTTTTACGAGGCCTTCTATTTAAACAATTTATTATCAAAAATGTCAAGTGTCGAATAAAAATAAATTTTAATTGGGTGAAGTTTTTAATTTTTACATTCTCATTTTTTTTTTTATATTTTTGCATTAATGTTTTATTAAAGTGCTTGTCAAGAAATGAGTACATCACTATATTATAGATCTTTATATTATGTATATATGTCTATAAAATAACGGCAGTCATTGACGTTGTAAATAACAGTCATTGATCATAATCAAATTTTTTTACACTATAATGTTTTTCAATCATAAAAGTTTCGATCAAAATAAATTATTAAAAAAAAATAACTGTAAAAGAAAACTAATGTGAACTAACGTTCATTCAGAAATAAATTCATCCTCCTGGGAAATGTCATAAATTTGTACTAATTGTATGAAAGTAATTTATATGACTATTCATTCTTCTTATATTTAATGAATCACAATTATTATCAAATAAAAATATATTTGAAAATAAGAAAAATAGTTTTTCCATTAAAATGTTTCATGCTTTATCAGTATTGATGATTTTTAAGTAAAACATTTTGCAATCAAAATGTTTTAAGTCAAAGATCAGTATTAACATCATTTTAGTTTTTTTTCTAAGATTAATGCGCAATTGTTCATAATTTATGTGATATAGTAGATTAAAATTTTCATATATGAGAGACATAATAATTTCTGAAAGACATAATAAAGAAGAAAGATTAACTCTCTAGAAGAAAATATTTGTAATGTTTCATTATCTTTTGTTATAGGTGAACATAAATGGTACATAACAAAAAATGCTTGTTTCAAGGTTTATCCTCTGTTTAGTGGTTTTAACGGTTTTCGTAAAGAAATCATATTCAAACACTTGTCTCACTGAAGGTCGGTTTTAACTTATAAACGTGAAATGTAAATTTCGAAATGATCGAATTTTTCCAATTTTTAGATACACAGCCGAAGAGGGTTGTTCATTATGAAGGTCAAGTAATAAGTATAAATTTCGAAATTTCACGGAGAGTGACGCAAAGACTTGTGACTAGGATAATGAAACTTTTTTTAACTGATGTTTTGGGCCATCCGGATGTTGCCGTAATAGAACATGAAGATTTTTTTCAAACAAATGACACTTATTCTAGACTTTCGGATAAAATGATAAATTCTGGATATAAAGTGTAAGCAAACTTGTAGTAACTTGTACTAACATTGTATTAATAATTAATATTAATAACTTATTGTTTTACCATTTTTGTTAGAATTCCAGAAGTTATGGTAAATATGGAGGTGTGGATACCGCCTCATCTTGACACAATGCCACTTTTAAGTAAATACAATGTGAGAGAATTGGGTTCAGTCACGTCGCCAGGACGATTTGGTTGGTTCACGCCAGAAACACTGTCAAAGATTGACGACAATTGGTTAACTTTTACAAAAAGAGAATCTGTTTCGCGCTTCGTGCTTGACGATAACAGTTTAAAGCTAGTCAGAAATAATTTAATGAATCCCAGGACGAGAGAATTTTACTGTCAAACGGAATTTTGTCAAAACGGAATGTACATTCCGAAACAATGTCAATTACACAAAAACGAATCTTGTGCAACACTTTTAGCCGAATATCCGGACGTTACTTTATTTATTAAGGATCACATTGACTTATTAAAGTTGTATGTTCAAGTTGCGTGGGTTGGACCAAACCTAAAGTACTTAGCAAAGTACTTAACGAAACAATTATCAGAGAATATTACCTTAACAAACATATCAAATAAATCAATTGTTATACTTCACTGGACTCCCAGTTTGATCATTCCTAACGAAAGAGAATTCATACCCATTGAATTTCCACATTGTCGCGAACACATGGTCGTGGGGTGTTCGTATGAATCTAATAAAATGGAAAAAGTAGTGTGGGATCAATTAGAGATTGCAGCACGATTTGCATTTGAAGCTATAAGTCGAGCCAAGTTTACAAGACAAATGTACGAAGACTTAATCGATAGATATAATAAATTCGGAAAATCTGTGGTAGATGAAGAAGCGATAGCTTGTGGTTGGCTGAAAGATAATTTAAATTACACTTTAACAGAATGGAAGCCAAAAATCGAGAATAAGAACGAACTAGTGATTGGGGGGATATTTCCAATGACCGGCGACTTTTACTCGGCAAAGTCGATCGTTATTGCTGCGAAAATGGCCAAGGAAGCTATCAATGTGGATAATGTGGTTTTGACAGATTATAAAATTACTCTAAAGGCCGGCGATGGACAATGCAAACCTGAAATGGTAATGAAATCCTTCATAGATTATATTATTCATACGACTTATGAGAAATTAATTGGAGTACTAGGTCCAGCTTGCTCCGAAACAGTAGAACCCCTAATAGGTATTTCTAAACATTATAAAACTGTAGTCATTAGCTATGGAGCTGAAGGTTCGAGTTTTAGTGACAGAAGTCGATATCCATACTTTTTTAGAACAATCGGCGAAAATAAGCAATACAAGTACGTGTATTTTACTTTATTTAAAAAATTCCAATGGAAAAGGGTGGCTGCTCTCACTGAGGATGGTCAAAAGTACACTGAATATATTTCCTACATGCAAGACATACTCAGGGACAATGACATTAATCTGATTGGCAACATCAAGTTTCCCAGAGAACGAGAACTCGATGTCATGACAAAGGTATTTTCACATTATATACTTAAATCTATTTTGACATCTGTACTATCTTGAAATTATTGTTCTATAACTTCGTTTCCTCAGTATTTGCAAGAACTGAAAGAAAAGCGTGCTCGAATTATTATTGCTGATGTGAATGATCAAGTAGCACGTCAGGTGATGTGTGAGGCTTATAAATTGCAAATGACTGGAGCACAGGTAGTAATACTTTGAAAATCTAAACCGTAATTAAGATAATCATCTTTTCGTTTTCCAAATTAAATTTTTCTTAGGGTTATGTTTGGTTTCTTCCTGTATGGCTTCATTCAAATTGGTATGACATTGATTTGCACAATGAAAAACTTGGATCTAACATATCATGTTCTACAGATGAAATGAAGAAAGCTATTGACGGCCATTTTGGCGTCTCTCATTCTTATTATGGCAATGATAATGATATTATGCAAGAAGGTATTACTGTCGGCGAATGGAGACGAAAGTATGAACAACGTTGTGCTTCGCAAAACCAACGCACATCAGGTACGATCACTGCAGAATAAAAATCTGAATCTGTTCGGGTTATTACTTCGATTATTAATTTTTGAACATATTTTTTTAGCATACGCGGGCTTTGCATATGATGCAATGTGGACTTATGCTTTGGCAATGGACAAACTTTTAAAGGAGAATCAGAGTTATGTGTTCGATCTTCATTCTGTTCAGACAGTAAACAGATTTACTAAGATAATTGCTCAAACTGATTTTCATGGGGTAAGTAAACTACTTCTATTATATGTAAAACACCTCATCTTACTGATAATTAGGTGTTAGATCGGAACGACAAAAAACAGAAAAGTGAAGGAAACATTTGTCTACCCTTTTAGGTTTCGGGTCACATAAAATTCATTAATGGCCCATCAAGACTTTCCATCATAAAAATAATCCAAAGAATTGGCGATGAGATACGTGAAGTAGGAAACTTTTATCCCAATGAGTCAAAAGGCTACGGAGGTAGTTTAGACCTGAATATGTCTGCAATAGTTTGGTTAACAAAAAGCATACCCGACGATGGATCTGAAGCGCCAGTCAAATGTGTTCTCTCAAACTTGGCAGATCTCTTGAATGTTTCATGTGAAGGAGCTATAATAATAGCCAATGTAATCGGATTTGGATTTCTCGGATTGTTCCTTGTAATTGGTTTCATGATGATCAAAAGAAGGTAAGAAAAAAATTAAAAACTTTATTTCCTTTATTTCCTTTATTTCTAATAATTTCCCATTTCTTTTAATTTCTCTCTCACATTATAACGAAACTTAATTTCAGATACGACAAGAAGATGCAAGTTCAAGAAAAATATATGAAATCTCTTGGTTTAGATCTTCAAGAAACGGACTCTTCAAGTTTATGGGAAATACCGCGCGATCGTGTTGTGATAAATCGAAAAATAGGAGAAGGAGCTTTCGGCACTGTTTACGGAGGGGAAGCATTTTTCCCTGAGAAGGGCTGGTTGGCCGTAGCTGTCAAAACTTTAAAGGTCGGTAGTTCAACGGAAGTGAAGCTTGATTTTCTCAGTGAGGTTGAAGTTATGAAAAGATTTGATCACAAAAATATTATAAAACTGCTGGCAGTTTGTGTGAAATGTGAACCCGTACTTACTGTCATGGAATTTATGCTTTATGGAGATTTAAAGACTTATTTGCTAGCCCGCAGACATCTTGTGAATGATCAAAAATATGAAGACTCTGAAGAGATTTCAAGTAAAAAACTGACAGCAATGGCTTTAGATGTGGGAAGGGCTTTGAGTTACTTGGCTCAATTGAAATATGTTCACAGGTAAGTCAAATCGAAATGGGATTTCTATTCCTCAAAAATGTATAAAATTACTCATTAGATTATTTTTGTAGAGACGTTGCTTCTCGTAATTGTCTGATAAATGCTCAGCGCGTGGTGAAATTAGGCGACTTTGGTATGACAAGGCCTATGTATGAAAATGATTATTATAAATTTAATAGGAAAGGTATGGATTCAAGCTTAGTAATAATTACTTTCAGAGACTTAACTTGACAGGGTTTTTTATAAGAAAATTCATGTCTTATTACAGGAATGTTACCTGTTCGATGGATGGCGCCAGAATCGTTAGGTCTTGGAATTTTCACACCAGCTTCTGATGTGTGGTCATATGGTGTTCTTTTATACGAGATTATCACATTTGGAAGTTTTCCATTTCAAGGCTTGAGCAACAACCAAGTACTCGCTCACGTGAAAACTGGAAATTGTTTAACGATTCCAAAAGGTGTTAAACCACAATTGTGAGTATATTTAAAAAGAGTTAACAAACGTCCTGGATGCTATTCTCTAACTTTTAACTAATATTTCAGAGAAGGATTGTTTCGATCCTGTTGGTCGGTGGATCACACAAAAAGGTCAACAGCTCCAGAAATTGTTGAATTTCTAGCTAATAATCCACGCCTACTGTTTCCATGCCTCGACGTTCCATTGGCAAGTGTCCAGATAGAGCACAGTGGACAAATGCAAATGCCACATTTATCTTGGCCGCAAGAAGGTCCTAATTTACTCGATGTTAATACTGAGAATGATTCAATTCTGCAAAACCCCGAACAAAACACATCTGCTCAGTTTAATGAAGAAGAAAGTTTAAGGCCGCTGTTAAGGCAATTCATTGACTCATCTAGATACACTGAACAAGACAATGATAACACAAAAGCAAATGCTAGATACGTAAATGTACAACCAGGATTAAAAACGTCAAATAACAACATTGATGAAGGAATTCTAATGACAGAAAGAGGATCTCAAGAAACTGAATTAGTTTGAAATAATTACATACCTACTAGAGACAAAAAAAGCATTTTTAATTAGTACATAGAAACAATAAACCGCATGCCAAGAAGAATTTATACCTTTATAACGTTATAGAATTGCTGGACTCTGTGATTTCAATTTTAAGAAAAATATTACTATGCATAATTTTAGAACTTAAGGATAGATAAAAGTTTCCATATCTCTCAATATTTGTTACATAGTTACCTATTTCTCAGTTTTACTTGAGTGACACATTTCAATATGTTTTTCTTTAATCATTAATTATTCCGGTTGAAATTTTAGACATTCGAAAGAGTCTGGTTTTTGTTATCCGGAATCAGTTAGTTCTGATCGAACAACTAGACCGACGCTTGAACTCACACTCTGATACTAAGAAGAGAATAATTGGGACATCCAAATAAATATTTCGGATATTTTTTTCGTGAGTTGGTATATCAGAGCGAGCCTCCAATTATCAGTCGAGTCATTCGATCGGACCTCTCAATTTTAGTGGGGAACAAGTCAAAAATTTGAACCAGATGATAAATACGAAATAAGTCTGCTCAATCGCTTTCTGAGACTGTTAAAACAAACGCACACTCCTATGGTATTTTTATAACATTATACTGAAATCTGATCGAATCTACTGCTCGGAAGTGGTGCCGACTCGATCAAATAAGGTCATCTCGCGCGAAAATAAGTACAACTATAATAGCCGTATGAAGAATTTGATATAGGTTAAAACTCGTACGCTACCAAAAATAATGTAGAGGAATATCACTCGACAAAAAATCCTTGATCGAGACTAATAATAAGCGCCCTCATTCACACTCTGTTTCTGAAATTGGTTCGAGCTTTGAGTCAAACCCAGAATTAGAGAGGGGCAATGAACGTGAGAAAGAAATTTCCTATACTCGTTTCTGTCACTCTCATTGTCCTCAACTCGGATTCAAAATCACACGCTTGTTGATTCGATCCACGAACCAATGTTGGAAACGCATTCAAGTTGCATAATACAAGTATTAGGTAGAAAAAGTACTGCCTTTAGAATTTAATATAAATATTGTATACACTAAACAAAACGATTAGTTGAAAATACCATTTAGATTTAGTAAAATATACCACTATTATTTGTTATAGTTCTTATGATGTTCCTTTGTCTCGTTTCAAATTTCAATCGATTCGATTAGTCTCTTACATATTCATTTGTCATTAACGGTCAACCTGTATTTTTATCTAACAAATTAATGAGTATCATTAAATAATCAAATAAAATAGATATACGTAATATTTTGTTTGAGAATTGCTTTATACTGAAGAGCGTTTTGTTGCATATTTTACTAATCGAGAATAGTAATGGTTCCTAACTAATCTTTGCAATCAGTGTATTAATAAGCTTCCCGCAGCTAGCGCAACATTTTTATCAAGTTTGTTGCGTAAAGTTCAAAGCTTTGCAGTAAATTGGTTTTAAATTAAAAAGAACTGTTCTATATGTATCGAATTTTCCAAAATGAGCCAAAAGTTTGCATGACAAACTTGTTTTAAAATATTGTGCTAGTTGGATTTTCGCATAAAAATATGTTATTTCACCATGACACTTCCTTCTATTATAATTATAGACTCTGAAACAAAATATTTTTATAAAATTTTTTAAAAAAATTAAATTAATATAAAATTTTGTGAAATTTTAAATTCTTGTCTTTTATAACATAAAAATATTATTGAAATACGTTGTATAAATTTGACTCCTTATTTGCTTTAACAAGTTCATTTGACTGCAAAAAATATAAAATGTTAGCAGTAATATGATGCATATCGGTTTGAGGCTTGGGTTAGCAAAAAATAGTTGGTATGTGGGGAAACTAGAAAAATTTTCCTTTAATTTTTTTTCGACTGCGAAAGGATTAATTGAAAATCGCTTAAAATTAAAAAAATACGTAATATATATTTATTTATGTAATATTGTTGTAATATTATTTTTATTATTTATAATTTAATACTATAAATCGTTATATTTGTTTAACAAAGTATTAACACTTACTTCCGCTCAGCGATAAAGTTTACGGAACATTATAAACTGGAAACAATGAAAACAACATAATAAACGCATTCATTTGAATAGTTTCAGTTTTCACAGCTTGCAATTATTGTGAACCATTGTCATCAACTATATAACAATAAATCAGTATTGTTTAAAATACTTTTCAATCAAATTTAAGATAATGCGCACATCATAAGGACAATATATCTTTCGATCATTATAATTAATATGTAAACATACAATTATTTAGTTATATACAATTTTATATTGCAAATAAACATTTGTAAATAATATGTTATATTTTCATTCTTTACTAGATTTTTCGTATGGAAAGTAGTGTAGTTAATGTAATTATATAGTACTCTTAATGATTGATGTAATTCTAATTGAAATGGTGTTTACTTGGAAAGTACATCTTGATTGACTTGACCCCATTTTATGGCATTCAAAATCAAGGATGCTAGGATCAATTATTCATCAATTATTCAAAAGAGGAAAATAATTGCTGACTGTTGATCATGAATATTTCTACAGAAGGTAATAGTGTAAATGATTACCACCTAATGGTAATTTGCCGATAGAAGATAAATTTACCAGCAGTATAGGTAGCACTTTTTTGGAGGACAGTAGAAAGTTAGTACATCAGAACAACGTCAAGGGCGTTACATACTTATTTTGGTATTACAGAATGAATTGAATAAAAGTTTCAAATAGTTTCGGTTTAACGTACTTTGAGCTCATTCAAATTCACACCCAGAAAAATGTTTTCGTTGATTTAAAGATATCATTTGCTGTCAAAGAAAGTTTCTTTAATTAAAGAAAATATTTCTTTGATTCAAAAACAATGTATTTGTTTAAAAAACATGCAAGTTGCAGCTTAAAAAAATATTTATCTTCAAAATTTAATTTCCAAAATTAAATGATAGCTGGGTGCCAGTTTCAACTTTATATTAATTTTTCTTAAATATTATGTCATCAAATGAAAAGTGTTTATAATTGTTAAATTATAAACAATTTTTAAATTTGTACTGGAGTTAATTTTAGTAAAAAGTAATAAAATATGTACTTCAGTAGTAAAAATTTTTCCCAAAATAGTAAAAAAAAAAACAATTACAGACTATTTTAATCTCGATTTTAATTCAACTTTGTAAATAGTAAATTTGTTGTATTTTATTTGTTTTTTTTCTTGTAAAAATAATTTTACATTAAAGAATTTAAAATGTAAAATCATTATTAAATTTATTTTGATTATTATGTAATAAAAAGCTTATAAATACGTATATTTAGGTCTTTTATTACAAAATAATTTAAAAAACAATTTTAACAGAAAAAAAATATTGAATTCGAGTTCAAGAATTTGTGATTTATTTGAATATTATTCTAATCTAGTATGCATAAAATTATTTTTCAAGTAACTTTTACAACATATATGTTAGGCTATTTTACTAAACTCTGAATTTGACTTATAATAGTCAATTATTTAATTGATTTATGTAAAAAGATACAAGCACCACAATCTAAGTGATATAAACTGTAAAATTTGAGTAATAAAAAGATCATAATAAAAAAGCACTAATTCTTTGAACAATTCAGTAAGCTATATATGCTGTTAATGCATGTTCAAGTATTAAATTGAATTGCCGGTGAAATGCAAATTTATCTAAATTATCTACATACTCTCAGTTCTTAGAAAAATAACAATAAATGATTGTTCAATATTTCATGTAATTCACTTGTTTCTAAAAGTATATTTTTTAACACAGATTCTCAAGGCTATATTGCGTTTTCAACAATCTTATAAGTAATCAAGAAAATGAATATAAAGTTATAATTAAATAGAATGTGGAAACTGAATAAAAAAACAAATCTGAACAAATCAACTTCTGATCTAGTTCAATTATTGTAATCGATTGTGATTTTATGATTTATCGATCGCAAAGTCAGTGAAGAAAAATTTATTAAAAAATTTTACTCGGATAAAATATGATTTTATATACTATTGAATATTGACTTATAATGAAGTACAAATTAATTTTTGAAAAGCAGCTTGCTTTATAAGCCATTAGGTTAATTTGACGTCATTTAGGGTGTGTGTGGGTGGCAGATGCACTGACTTTATCTGATGGAGTCTTATATATAAAAACATTTGGTGAAATTCCGCATTTAAATTAATTTCCGAAATACACACGCTATATTCTCTGCTATAAAGTTAACAAAGAAAAAAGAATTATGTTTAAAATTATAAATTTTCTTTGTCAGGGATTTTTGAAAAAAGAAATTTCAATAAAATAGTCCGCGGCCTATGATTTGAGGTTAGTGCCAGTTTTAATATAATAACAGTGCAGAGTGATTTTCGAAGGTCATGCATTCGGTATAAATAATGATTTTAGACACGTGTTGGCCTAACCATAAATCTTTAACCCATTATAGGACAGATGCGCTAAATTTAATACTAATCAACATTTTTGACAGGACCTTAATAAAAAAGTTGAAAACTTAAAACCAATTATTACCGTTTACTGAAAAAAATCTCTTCAAACACAAAGGTAGCTGTTTTCATAAGTTTGTAAACAATGTTTACTTTTTGAAATAGAAAAATAATTTACGCACCTATGAAGTTTAATTAATTTAATAATAATAATAAAATGTGAAATAATAATAATCTTTCTATAGAATGAATGTTATAACATTCATTTACTTTTTTCAGAATTTGACAGTTTTTCCTATTAGTAACTAATTTTGTAATATAAACATTACAAACATGAAGTGAAAAGCTTATTAAATTTTTTTCTTGAAGTAAATTAAAGCAAAGACTATTGTGATAACTATTATAATTTATATATAAAAGAATTATGGCAAGAAACAATGACAATGGTTTGGTAATACTAGTTAATAAAGCAGTGCCAATATTAACGTGGGTATGGATCTGCCCAGTCGATATAACAATCACTTTCTTTACTCACACCACTCACACTTTCCTACTAACAATCTTGTGTATACATGTATGCAAAGGCGAAATGTACCAGTCAATTATACATTTGTCCTAAAAATAATAATACCAACAGTGCTTTTCATTTGCAATTTCAAAATGATAAGCATTTAATAATACTTAATAAATATTTCAATCATAATAAATGCTTAATAAATAATACTTAAGAATACATTTAAAAAAACTTCTATTTAAATTATATTAAATATTTTAATAAGCAATTATAGGGTGAGAATAAGTAATAACTAATAAGGTTTGTTGTTCACAGATTTTTTGGAAAATTTTTTAGCAAATAACACAGTTTTTCTAGAGGTATCAAATTGAGACAAAAAAAGAATCAAAAGTGTTGCTTTGCAACACTTTTAATTCTTTTCTTGTCTCAATTTGATATCTACATAAAAACTGATTAATTGTGTCGTTAAGAAAATTTTACACCTATTAATTTTTTGTTAATTCCTAAAAGATTCAATGACTAAAATTGCATACGCTTAAAACTATCGGCGCATTATTTCTTTTCGCATGAATAGTATTGTATTGATGATGCAACAATATATTTACAATCATTCACAATACACATAAACGTCAGAGCCCTATATGATTTCTGTTTTACGACTTAATTTTCTCAGGCAGATATGAGGAGAGACTTCGGGATGAAATAGCCGAAGGTTCATTAGGGCGGACATGTTTTTTTATTTCTAGGGACTTTGTTCACGCGAAAGCTGTTAAGCACTTAGACACCATCAATGTAACCTTTAATTGCATGTTAAACTTGATCTTAACGACATAATCGTTTGTATAATAACATGTTTCTCTTAGAAAGTGTAAAGGTAAAACTGTCAGCGCTTCGGTGTTTATTGAATTAACTAATTATACACATATCGCCTCAACAAGCTCTTTGAACAAAATTGCCTCAAGTTCTTTTCAATAACTTTAATCAATATATAAGTTATTATTTTTGTATAGTTGATCTTTAGTGTACAAAGAAAGTTAATAAACGCATTACTGTCTATGAGTATTAAATTAACAAAGGTACATGCAACTTGCACAAGATTCTTTAGAAGCATTATATTGTAAAATATTAATAAATAACGGAAATAATTTTTTAGTACATATCTTTGTCTATCTATTAATTCAAAGTTTAACATACCAAGTTTTCTTAATAAACATTTTATAAGACATTTCATTGAATCAGCAAAGTCTTCTTAAATTACAGAGGTGTTTTAAGGAGACTCAGTTATCTGGCACGCGCATAAATGTGCACGATATAAGATTTCAAATTAAATATGACAACTATTTCTTCCAGGCACTTTGCCTTTTATACGCGGTAATGAACTCATACTTCTTTTATTTTTTTAACTTCAACACAAAAGCGATACACACATATGCTTAGGAAGGAAAGTTTTGCTTAGTCTATAAAAAATTAACCGCTTCTTATATAAATAATTTTTTACACAAACAATACATATGTATTTCATGTCCTGAAATACTTTGAACGTTACATTTAATACATTTAATAATAAGAAAGAAAAACGAAGAGTTTTTGATGAAACTTTCTTTGTTCATTATGATGTTACATTAATTTTGCAATAACAGTAAATAGATTTTTAAATATTATTGATAGAGTGACTGTGAGTAATATGTGAAACTAGTTTGTGCAACACTGAGACATTATTAATACGTGAGTTAAGATTGTTAAGAATAAAATTTCTTCTGAACGTCGCCTTTCGTCGTAAACTTTTAATTTGGCTATTATAAACATGTAGCAGCAAGGAGGTGCTAAAGATTGATAAATTATCAAGAACTATACTCTTACTAATAAGAGCCGAATTGTGTAGGTGTGTATAATATATACATCAATGCTCCTTCTTCGCAAGGAGATGAACAACTGCTTATTTAATACGTAATACATTTTTGATAAAATACTTTTTTCTCAGTTAATAAACACAATAATGTATTCATCGCCTGTTCGATCTTCGATATTAATAGGTTTTGAACGTATTTGGAAGAAGAATTAAGATTTATTGCTTTTATAATTAAAACTTATGCACTTGTATTATTGAATAAAATTCTGTTTTATCTTTATAAATCCAAGTCGACCAATCAAGTAATATGGATTATATTAATTTATATTAAACTTAATATTAAAAACTCGTTTTTGTACATCGAAGTTTTAAGCACTCTTGAGTGGATGGACTTGAAAAATTTATTATATCTTTGAATTTAAATGAAAAATATCCTTTTCTCAAAATGTAATATATGTTCTGTTTTCTACCCGATCTTTTGATGTACAACATTCCTATTATT